AAATAAATAAATATATATATATATATATATATATATATATATATATATATATATATATATATATATATATATATAGTATAAATAATATTTATGATTTCAAAAATGTTTTTTTATATTCTCAATAACTCTTTTTCCTTTATAATGTATTAATAAACTTTATTAGCATTTGTTATAACAGAACTAAAATAAAAATTTGTATTAATTTTTAAAATAATCTCCTCTTAGCATATTTATTATATGGATATAAAATTTATTTCTTGTAATATTTTTGGTGGACATAGATAAAGCTAATATTTTATCCTATTAATTCATGGTTATATTATTGTTAAAAAGAAAAAATAGCAACTAATATTTGTTTTCAGAAAAATAGAATATCTTCGTTAATATTCGTTATTACACAACACAGGATATAATAAGATAATTTTATTTACAGGAATAAGAATTCTTGATTAATCCAGAATGTTAAAAGTTCTCTTATTTTCTCTATTATAATGGATTATCATCAATTTAATTATTTCTTGAAAGTGTAGTTGTTTATAAAATAACTTATCCGATGCATGTTCAATTGTATATTTTCTTAATAAAATATAAATAAATAATTCTTACATCACTTAAGTAGAAGACATTTTATATTTTTTTACATTAATATAAAATATATGTGCATAACACATTCATATGTAAAAAATATTATTACAGATTCTAAACACAATTACAATCAAAATAAAAACTTAATATATACATATAGAATGAATTTCCTTTGATCATAATAATAAATATTTATTAAATAATAAATAGTTTACCTAAATGATACTAATTTATAGGACGAATATAATTTTTAATTTACGTTATATTCTTCCTAATAAAAAGAGGTATTCATTTAAATATAGATAGAAATATTTAGTAGCAATAATAAGACACAAGAATGGAAATGTCTAAAATAAACATAACATATAAAAAATGTACAGTAGCAAATTTAAATCATGATCATACATTATATATAATGCAAATTTACATATATAACCTCTTGTTTAAAACAAATAACTAATTAAAAAAATGCATATAAAATGCAAAAAAATGGCTGGATGCTTGGCGAACAAAAACAAAAACTACTTATTGAAAGGAAAATTCTCAATATATAAAATATATACTATATATTAAATTTTGTTCACATATATATATAATGTATTACACAATGAAAGCTCAAAATGTAAATATATCCCTTTTGAAAAAGTTTAATGTAAACTTTAGTACTCGCGCTAAAGTATAAACTATATATATTTTTCTACATACTAACTGATATTAAGATATTATCTTAAAGCATACATTAAAACACAAACGGGAAACATTATTGTCCTCGGAAAAAAGAATAATAATTAAGATGGAACATCCTTCCGCTAGTACATCAGTGCATTTACATTTTTCTAGACAATTTGTTATAAATTAAAAATACTCTATTTTGTAATTACTTGATAGACTCAATATATATATTACCGACACTGAAGAAATACATTAATATTAAATTAAAAAAGACAATTATTTATTCATTTGTTTTAAAAAACTTGATATATCACCCCATGCATATTTAAAAGCTTTTACAAAAACGTAAAAACCTCCAAGTGCACTGATTATCAGCAGTAGGACACCCAAATATTCAAAATTTGTTGGAAGTGAACTTGAAAAAAATATTAAAATTGTTCCAAGTAAAAGAAGTATTAATTGTGGTTTCATCACATATAACAACATTCTTTATTATCTTTTTTCATATCTTGGTATGATCATGTTTTGTTTTAGCTTCTAAATAAGTTACTTCATTAAAAGCAGAAAAAAAATTTCAAAATGTTGATCAATTCTTTTAAAAATATTAGGTTTACGATATGTTCTATTATATTTTATTCCACATCCTTTTTCATATTTTAAATGTTCATTATCCATATTAGACATTATACTATCATCTGATTCTATAAAATTTTCTTCATCATGAATATATTTTGATAATAGCACTTTATACCATAAATCAACTTTACCTTGTTGTTTGTGTATTTTATTCAATGATTTTCTACAGATAGACTAAAAAACATTTGTAATTATTTTTAAAAAAAATATAATATAGAACATTTAAGTTTTTTTCTTTTTTCCTGTATTTTATTTGGGAAAAAAAAAGGAAAAATATGAATTTATTTAATATAATTTCTTATACCTCATTGTGAACGTAACACATCGATGTTATAATTGTAAGTGCCAAAATTTTAATTAAAAATAAGAAGTTAATGTTTAGCCTATGGTGATACTCCATTATGACAAATATGAATTTACTCGAAGAAATATCGAAATATCTCTTACTATTCCTGTCTAGCGAAAAACAAATATTAGTAATTACGATCATGAGTTAATACAAGCACTAATGCTTTATATAAAAGAAATGGAAAAGGCATAACAAAAAAAAAAAAAATAAAATAATAAAATAAAAAAAAAAAAAACTCCAATTTTTCTCTTGCCATTTAAATGTTTATAGCGTGGGAACTCTTTCATTCTTTAACACAGAGCCGTTTTTTCATATTTTATTAGTTAAAGGGATGAAAATAAAAACATAATTAGCAGCCAATATACACATATGTACATATATAAATGTATTTACATACATTTATACAAACGTTTGCTTGAAGATTTCCTTAATTCTATCTACACGTGTGTATCTCAAATCTGCTGTTAAATCCTATCTACTAAATAAGTATACTGTTTGGAAAGGAGCAATAACGACTTATATGTATAATCACGAATAAATATTATAATCTCCATTTTTAATGCACAACGAGAATACTCACCAATTTGAATACTAAAAAAGAAAAAAAAAAAAAAAGTGTGACATTATTTAAGGGGTATTTCTTACTAATTAACTAATAGTTTGATGAATAAAATAAATTGTTGAAACTCAAAGATGCGTATGTACATTTGTGTAATCCATTTTCAACGCCTTTTATCCATGTATAACTTGTGCCTTTTCACAATCCCTTCCATTTTACTACCTACGTGTCTTTGCGTGTCATATGCATTTATCTTTTCCTAAATTTTATTTATTTAATTTTTATTTTTTTTAACGAATTTATATAAAATTTTAGATCAAAAGTACAACGCGGATCTTGTTTCTGCAACCTGTTTGCAACTATTTTTTTTATGAAAAAATTTGTTGAAAAGAAAAGAACCAATCGAACTTGAAATTGGTTCTCCATACTTTGTTCTCTTCTGTCACAGTCACGTTTCTCGTTAATTTTTATTTACCATTAATATAATTATAATCATTATCACCTTTCTCCCATCATTTTATCATCTTTTCTTTTTTGCACAACATTAAAAAGTTCCCATTTTCACCTTCTTATAAATTCCAAAAGAAGTATACTCTTTTTTTTTTTTTTTTTTTTTTTTTTTTTTTTTTTTTTTTTTTTTAATTTTTTTTTTTTTTTTTTTTTTTTTTTTTTTTTTTTTCCTTCTCGTAAAGGACAATAAAATGTGTCATGCAGCTTTTTTTTTCCATTTTTATCGCCATTCCTTTTTGATGTTTTCATTTTTCCCTCAAGTATATTATGTAGTGGTAAAATAAAAAAATAAAAATTGATATGCCTCTATATACTTACAACTTTACTGCACACACGCTTTTTCTAAACAGTTCTATTTTCATAGATTAGAACAAATAAATTTTAGAGTTCAAAAAAGAAAAGAAAAAAAAAAAAAAAAATTGATTAAAATGATTATATTAAAAAATAAATTTACTATTCCACTTATTGTGCAAAATTTTTTACTCCACCTTTTTTCACCTTATTTTGCTGTTCTTCATAAAGTAAACTCAAATAGACTTCAACAAAAAGTGGAATTATAAATAGTGTTACTTATAGAGGAATTGTTTCATACGATTATTAAAATTGTGAAGTGTTGCAAAAAGGAAAAGATGTCATGTCGAGTCGCTTTATTTATAAATCTAATTTTGCGTTATACTTTTCCGTGCAACGTTTTAATTATATGAACAAATTTGCAAAGTAAAAATTTCCACCCCAAAATAGATCAAATATAGAATAGTTTAGATAAAAAAAAAAAAAATGGGAAGAAATTGGAAAACATAGGAAGAGATGGGAAAAGATAGAAAAAAACTTTCTCTACGCATAAAATTTTGAATTATCACGCTTTCCCATTATTTTTAATTTCCCCTTTTTTCTATTTTTATGTAAATCCCTTTTTACCTATTCCTCTCATTTAAATTGGAAAATAGAGCGTTGAACAAACTCTACAAAATTTTACTTTTTTTTTTTTTTTTTTCCTCTAAATAATGATTAGATCCGTAGTGGGGAGAAATATATAAAAGATAAAAAAAAAAAAAAAAAAAAAATGAAAAGGGAGAAAGGAAAAAAAAAACTCACCATTTCAGAACAATTCTAACTATTTTTTTTTTTTTTTTTTTTTTTTTTTTACAATTTATGACAAAAATAAGTACTATCCCCTGCATGCTCTGTCAGCACATTTCCTCATGGATAACATTTTTCACAGCATGGAGAGATAATTTAGAAAAAAAAAAATTACATAATTTATTTTACCCAATTTAATTTGTTTAATTTGTTCTGCCATTGACTGCTTCATTATTTTATTGCTTTTTTTTTTTCTTTCTTTTTCCTTCACTCCCTTATAATGCACATTTCTGCCTAACGACACCCAATCGGTCTGCCCCGAATGGTCGTCCCTCTTTGCAATAGTCCTTAAGCAAAATTTAGAACTTGTGTGCACCAAAATTTGTTGAAAAAAGTTTCAATAAATTCTTCATTTGTGTAGGTATACCCTTCTACGAACATATTTCACATTTTTTGCGTTTGCAATTACCTCTTAGCTTGCTACCACATGAACCTTTCATTCTGACACACTTCACTTTTAAGTCTACTGAATGATTCCACTACCATTGTTACTAACTTGTCTCCCGCACACTCACAAACACACACATAGATAAGCATTAATAATTCAGCATGTTAATCTTAAAATTTGCATTTCTTATATTTTTCGTCCTGAGGTGCTTAAGTAGGAATAGACAAAAAGACAAAAGTGTAATCATTATAAACGATGAAATAAAAACAATAAAAAGTCCAATTCACTGTATTTTAGCTGTTTATTTTGTACTTCGCAATGAACTGTACAAAACATGTGTTCAACACATTACGAAGAAACAAAGTGAAATCCATGTAATCGTACAAAAGAATGTTGAAGATACATGGAAAACACAAGAAAAACTATTTAGTGACTTATCATGGGTTGAAGTTCCATCTATCTTCAATTTTATAAATAAAGATGAGGCTGTAATTATAATTTGTAAATATAAAGATAAGTCCAAAGAAGATGGTGCAATTTGTGAACGCTGGAGCACTTCTACAGGTGAAAATTACACAAAGGAAGATGTTGCAATAGATAAAGAAGTTTTTAATAATAAAAATATAGAATCATACACGTCTCATCCTTTGAAAATATCCAATAAAGAATATTTCCTCATATGTGGAGTACGCTATTTCGATTATGAAAATGATAGCATAGACAATTTTATTTCTTGCAGCGCCAGTGAAGACAAGGGGAGGAAGTGGACGTAAGTTCCAAAGAGGGGAGAAAAAAAGGGAGAAAAAAAGAGAGAAAAAAAGAGAGAAAAAAAGAGAGAGAAAAAGAGAGAGAAAAGGAGAAAGAAAAAGAGAAAAAAAAAAAAAGAGAGATGAATAAACGTTTTGTATGTCTTTCTAATTTCCACACTCCCATGTTACTCCAAATAATAACACGCAAAAACACACACACGTAGCGAATTTACTATTCTCCCTTCACCTCAGGACAAAAATCCTGATAAACTACAAACAATATAAGAGTCGAATGCCTCATTCCTACGTGAAACCTGTTGTATTAAACGATGAATTCGGGTTATACTTCTATTCAAGAAGAAGTACCAGTCATTCCAGCAGAGAATACAAGTACATGAAATGCACTAAAGATGAAAAACACACAAACGATAACGAATATAAGTTTAACTGCAGTGATGTTAATGTCACGAGATCAAACAAAATATTGCAAAACATAACTAAATTAAATGGACATTATCTAACAAATTATATATTGAGAGATAATTTCAAAGAGTGCTATTTGTATTATTCTGACGAAAATGCTATTGTTATTAAACCAAAAATACAAAACTATAATCTCAGTGGATGTTATGAAGGATCCTTTATCAATTTGAATGAATCGAAGTCATTATTTATATATTCTACAGGATATGGAGTTCAAAATATACACAGTTTATATTGTCTCAAATATGACTAATTACAGAACCATTTGTAGTCTCTCTGTGTGTGTATGTATGTACATTCAAGTCAGGTTCAGAGTCTCTTACCGTAGAAAAACTCATTCTTCTCCTTACCATTCCCATATTATTTACTCGAAAGCGTTTTACCATTCACTTTACATATATATATATTTCTTTTCTTTTTTTTTAATGATACAATATTTTTTATAAAAAAAAAAAAAAAAAAAAAAAAAAACATGGTCCACTTAAACTTTCCCCATAACAACTAAAATTAACAGAACAAAAAAAAAAAAAAAAAAAAAAAATTGAACCTTCTTAAATTCACAGATGTATATCTTTTCCCTATTAGTGTGTCATTCCCCATTTTCTATTTTAATCTACAGATATTCTATATTCTTATAGTTTCACATATAAATTATTTAATTGAATTTTTTTTTTTTTTTTTCCTAGTTTTTTTCTTGTCAATGTCAAGTGTGTGATTAACACACAATGGGATAGAACTTGGTTCATTTTAAAAAAAAAAGCAAAACGAAAAAAGTAGAAAATAGCACAATATTGTAAAAGTGGAAAAGAACTTAAAATCGTAACAAATAAGAAGAGGTAAAAAAAAAAAAAATTTTTAAATGAAAAAAAAAAATTTTAAATGAAAAAAAAAAATTTTTTAAATACAAAAGAACAAATGTGAAGAGACAAAAGAACAAATGTGACGAGGCAAGAGAACAATTTTCAAATGTTACCTTTTAAATCTTACGAAAAGGCATATTTTATTCGATTCACACGAGAGGGTCCTGGTTCATGTTCATCACCCAACTGATGACATATAGTTTACATGCAGAAATCTGCACTTTGTTGTTCTAAAGACAAAGCATAAGAAATTCGAATTTCCTAAATAAGACCGAACTATCTCACCTAAACTTGCCTTTTTAAAAATTTAGCCATTCTGCTCCTTCTTTAGAAGATATAGTCAAAAAGTTAAAGTTACAACCTGAACAATCAAAATTATTTACGTAAAAAATCTTCAATCTCTTCATCTTCTATATTGTCTTCATTATTAGCGCCATTCACATCCACATCATGGCCCAGCCTTGCGTTTCTAGGATTGTCCTTTCGTAAAAGAAAAAAAATAAATAAATAAGTAATAATAAACAAATAAGCAATAATAAATAAATAATAATAAACAAATAAGCAATAATAAAAAAATAAGCAAATACACAAATACGTGGAAACAACTCATTTAACCACGACAGTGGAAAGGCGAACAAGGGATGCTGCAAACACATCACATTTACAACATGTGTGACACAGCTATTCTTAAATAAAACATGCGAACATTTCCCCACATATTCATTTTATATGTGTATATATATATACATGGATAGATAGATATATTACCTCTTTTAACAAATAATAAGTTATCAAATAAAAAAATAAATATAACATAACAATTATCGTAAACAATACTCCCCTCGCATTGATTTGCTTATAGGACAATGTTCCATTCCTGACACGTTCTCCTAAGCCCCAAGAAGTTATTGAAACGGGTTCGATTGGCATGGTGTTTTCACAGATTTTATGACTTTTGCAAAGTTGTTTAGAATCCTCAGGGTAAAAAAAAAAAAAAAAAAAATGCCACTTTACACACTTTAGTTAAACGGGTTCTACTCTTTTTTATATATGGAATTTTTTTTTTTTTTCATCCCAAGCGTAGGGACTTCTCTAAATTCGTGCTTAAAGAAAAAGTTTGGTGAGGCACGAGCAGCAGTAGAATTATGCTAAATAGAGAAAAAAAAAAGAACGAAAATAAAAAAAAAAAAAAAAAAAAAAAAAAAAAAATGAAAAAAAAAAAAAAAAAAAAAAAAAAAAAAAAAAAAAAAAAAAAAAAAAAAAAAAAAAAAAAAAAAAAAAAAAAAAAAAAAAAAAAAAAAAAAAAAAAAAAAAAAAAAAAAAAAAAAAAAAAAAAAAAAAAAAAAAAAAAAAAAAAAAAAAGGAAAAAAAAAAAAAAAAAAAAAATTAACAAAAAATTAACAAAAAATTAATAAAAAATAAAAAAACAAATAAATAAATATGGTAAAGAAAAAAAAAAAAAAAATTAACAAAAAATTAATAAAAAATAAATAAAAAAATAAATATGGTGAAGAAGAAAAAAAAAAATTAATAAAAAATAAATTAATAATAAAGAAGGTTAAGAAAAAAATAATAATAATAATAAATAAATGAATGAACGAATAAATGAATTTATTAATAAATGAGGCGAAGAAAAAAAACTTTTATTAACGCTTTTACCACCTTTTATTTGACAAAAACGAAACGTATATACACAATACAAAAGCAAATTTCCTGATCGTTCTATAACATTGGTAAATCCTTAACCAGAGATACATAATTCTATGAAGGTTTAAGATCCACATGGAAAAATCGGGAGAGAGAAAAAAAAAAAAAAAAATATATTAAAAAGATCTATTTCAATTATGAAATCGAAATTTCTTTACTATTAATTATTATGAACTACTATTAATTTTTATACCTATTAGAAAAAGAATATTTTTAAATAATTTTTTTTTAAGTTCAGTAGGAGATGGGTATATTTAAATATTCTCTGTTCATTAGACTGACAGATGAGGTATTGTTCATATGGCGACCAATGTAGTATTACATAATATAAAATGGAAAAATAATGAAAAGAAAAGAAAAAAAAAAAAAAAAAAAGTTTCCTATAAGCAAAATTTCTATTATGAAAACAAAAAATCTTCCCTTTTCTTAGCTTTTATATTTCCATCACTTGGAACGTTGAAGTTTTTCCAGTTAACCATAGCTATCTTTTCTTCTTTTAACAGACCTATACATATATATATATATATACATATATGCATATTCTCATGCGCGTGCATGCTTGCTGTTTCTTTATTTGAGCACCCCTTGAATATTCGCGGACAGCAGCATCCGTTTATTGATTAATTAATTAAAAAAAAAAAAGAAATTCCATTCTTATCATTATATATATATATATATATATATATATATATCATATACAAAATAAATTCCAATGTTTAGAAACTTAGATTAAGTCCTAAAAAATAGAAATTTTAACAATTTCCCCTACTACCCCTTTTAGTAATATTCGTGAATTGAAAGCATAACCCAGATTCTAGGGTAAGTTAGGTTAATTCTTCCTTTTTTTTTTTTTTTTTTAAATATCCTTATGTCTACCTATATTTTCTCGCACAAACTTATACGACTAAGTTTAGAAGAATAAAATTATGCATTCAACATTAATATATATAAAATAAACATGCCCATGTTTTCTTTGGATTAGAAAAAAAAAAAAAAAAAAAAAAAAAGCTCTTAATAGAAATACACATAAACAACAACTAGGAGAGGGGATAAAATTCCACTACTCTTACTCATTTGTAGTAATTTTAATTGACAATTAATTTTTTAAAGACAAAATTATACTCAATATTTTTACTTGCAAAATAAAGCACTTACTTCACCCAGCTTGAGAAATTACTCTATCCATCTACCATAGCGTGGAAGAAAAAAAAAATATATATATTTCCAAAAAACATAATATCACATTTATGCATGCCCAGATATATGTTCAAATGTTTTCACGTTCATATTATAACAACTCTAAAATGGGTATCACTCTAAATATAACAGAGCTGACTAATACAATTCCTCTCTGGGTTAAAAAAAGACCATTTTCTCTCACCCTCTCTTTCTCCTTTTTTGATTACAAAATGGAAGGCATATTGAGTTCTGGGTTTATGGAATATGCATTCCTTGAGGGAGCTTTTTTTGTAAATATGCTCAAGCAGAACATGAAAAAAAAAAAAAGAAAAATTAAAAAATATTCCCCAAAAAATTCACAAAAAATATATCAGTAACTTTTCCCCCACTTTTCATGTGAATAAAAAAATAGGTATTTTCTCAAATAATCGAAAGGACAACATTAATTATTTTTTTATGGAACATAGGTAACCATGTCAAACCAGAATAAACTTGTATGATTTTTTTTTTTTCTTTTTTTTTACCCCAATGAGTAAACTCATTTATAATAATTTTCTATATTTATCCTCTTATACCAATCAATGTTATGCACCCCAAAAAATGTACAGAAGAAAAAAGTATTCTGACAAGTTTCGAAGAAAGGTATTTCAAATGCAAATATGTGTGGAAGTATACGTACGTGTGAAGCACACCTAGGTCTAGAACCAAACGGATATATATAAGTACATTTTCGTATATATATATCTATTTTGATTACGTAGGTATAATAAAAAAATGAGATATAACTTGGCAAATGACTTTTTCGTCCATACCCATTTTTTTTATGATGGTACATTCTTAAAAATGCATAAACACGTGAGGTATAAGTGATGATATGATATATATTAAACATGTGCACATGCGTACTATTCCCATAGCAAAGTGAGAACATTAACCTATAAGCATTATCTACCTCGCACGTACACTCATGTATATATCCATATACATACATCTATACACGTATCATGTATGCATGTATTATGTATGCTTATCTAAACTATTTTTACCTATGCTTCTATGTTAGGGGTTGTGTAGGTATTTTTAAAAAAAAAAAATTCATCACCCCGTGCTTCTATCCCTGAACGTAAGCAAATAAAATGTAGTAAAAACACGCCTTCAAACAATTACACGTTACAGGTTACAACAATACAAATATGGAATGAACCTGCAGGCAAGGGTAAAAAAAAAAAAAAGAAAAAATTTTCTACAAAAATTGTGCCCAAAAATGCTACAAAAAATGTGGCAAAAACTTCTACAAAAAATGAACTAAAAACTTCTACAAAAAATGTGCTAAAAACTTCTACAAAAAATGTGCTAAAAACTTCTACAAAAAATGTGCTAAAAATTTCTACAAAAAATGTGCTAAAAATTTCTACAAAAAATGTGCTAAAAATTTCTACAAAAAATGTGCTAAAAACTTCTACAAAAAATGAGCTAAAATCACGAAGAATACCCTTATCGAATAAAAGAATACATATTAGATGTGTAACGCAAATGATGAGAAGGAGATTCACCTAAAGCCCCTCCTCCTTTTTCCTCATTATTTTTTGTAGCACGTGCTATACATATATATATAATATATAGTTGACAAAAAGGTACCCAAGATGTGAAAAGGAGCAAATGTTTAGAATAGAATAGTGGGGATACAAAATGAATTATAGAACCGAAAAATGTATTCATATCTATCATATAACATATTATATACAGATGTATATATACAACATACATAATCGTATATATATAACATAAATATATAATTATGTTGTTACTTTCCTCCCCTACCTACCTCCCTGAACCCCTCGTCTCTTCTCATCATTTTATAATATTTTTTTTTCCCCCTTTATTTTTTTCTTAAAATCTTTGCTCACTAATATATATTATTTTTTTTTTTTTTTTTCTTAAAATTTTTGATCACTAGCTGTATATTATTTTGTTTTACCTTTTTTTTTTTTTTATTAACTACATTAGAAAAGGTTTATATATATATTTATTCATTTATTTACACACCATATATACACTATTTAATGTACGCTACATATACACCACATTCTTCATAACTTGGATTTTAAAAAAAAATATATCCTCTATAAGAAATAATTTCTTGAAACACTTTTGAAAAATATACATCCTCCCCACCTCGGTTTTCTAGCACATGCATAAAATTTATGCACAATTTTATACACAATGCTACGTTTAGAAAAAAAAAAAAAAAAATAAAATAAATAAACTAATAAAAAATAATAAGAATATTATAAATAAAATACTCTTTTTATTTTTTCTTCCTTTATGTAAAATTTTTTAGGATACTAAAATTTTTAAACTTAAATTATTATTATTTTTTTTTTTTTTTTTTCTTATTATTATTTTACTGTTTCAATTTTACTAATTTTTTTCTATCACCTAATTTCTTATTCTTTAAAATTTTCGACAATTATACATAATAAATATAACTATAAAAAAATATATATTTTTATATATATATTATTACATTAAATTATTATATCATTTTCCCCCCAATCCACGTGTCCTCATACCCTTTTATTTTGCCTGTGGCCATCTTTCTATCCTTCTTAACACTTTTGAGAAAATGAAATTAGCTAAATTATTCTATTTCGTTGCCTTCCTTATAACTATTAAAGTGTTTGTTCCAGGAATTAACAATGACGTATGTGTTGAAGCAAAAAGTGCAGGATCTGATGCCAAATCATTAAAAAAATTAGATAATGATTTTATGAGAAAAAAAAGAAATAAAAGAATTATGATCATATCATCAATTGCTACTAGTTTAGCTCTAATTCTTGGTGGAGCTTTAGGAGGATATACATATTATCTTGAGAAAAAAAACAAATCACCAAATACAAAGGTTCCACAAACTCCACAAACTCCACAAACTCCACAAACCCCACAAGCTCCACATACTCCATCAGCCCCTACTACCAGCAGACCCATTGGTAAAGGAGAAACAAGAAACCTAAGTCGATCACAAGAAGATATTTCTAGTTCTTCATCCTCTGCAAGCCACAAAACTTATGCTCATTAAACAGATCAAACCGCAACTGACTTGGTAAAAAATCAATAAATATTATATGTACATCAAAATGTGTGGAGAAAAAATTATTGCACGCCCAGTTGATATTTTGTCTACACAATTTGGAGAGTTGTACACATGAGAGCTTATTTGTGCTTTTATTTTTTTTTATTTTTTATTCCTTTATTTTGTTCTGTTTTGCTTTGTTTTTTCCTCCTTTATTTTTTTTTTTTTTTCATTATTTTTTTCTTTTTCTTTTTCTTTTTTTTTTTTTTTTTTTTTTTTTTTTTTTTTTTTTTTTTTTTTTTTTTTTTTTTTTTTTTTTTTTTTTTTTTTTTTTTTTTTTTTTTTTTTTTTTTTTTTTTTTTTTTTTTTTTTTTTTTTTTTTTTTTTTTTTTTTTTTTTTTTTTTTTTTTTTCTCTATTTTTTTTTTCTTTATTTTTTTTTGTTTTATCTATTTTTTTTTTCATCTTCATTATGTTCCTTTCCCATATCAACCCTTTTATAGGTTTTGGATGTAACATCTTAAGAGGCAAAAAACATACTAGAGAGACCACCCACATACAAATGAATGAAGAACCAGTAACTTTTGCCTGATGCATGAGAGCCAAGAGTTCAATGTTTTAAGCTCCTCATTTCAAAAATATTTGTATTGAAACAACCGAGACGGGGAAAAAATAAATGCACATTAAAACCGAGCTTCACGTATTTATTGATTCATTCATTTATTTATTTATTATTATTATATATTTTTTTTTTTCACATGTAAAATAGTACATATTTTAAGATTATCTATCTGTTTATGTATAGTAGTAATACAATATATACATGCGTATCCATAAGTATATTTATACGTGAGTATATTTATGCGTATGTATAAATGTATACATAAGTATATATATACATAAATATGTTTATGCAAATATATATACGCTATTATTACAACGCATGTGAATTTCCCGATTCCTTTCGCCCGCCATTAATTGTTCGTACGTAAACATATTGATCGTGAGCTTTTTGTGAGTACATAAAATTCTTGTATATGTGTATATGTATATATATATGTGTGTGTGTATGTATGTATGTATGTATGTATCTATATGCTTGTGTGTGTGCGTGTGTGTGCGTGCATATGCATATATATATATATATATATGTATTGTGTGAAATATGTAACGTTCTTGTTCTGTGTGTTTTTCTTGTCTGTTCGTTCATGTGAGCTTTGTTCTTTATAGTACTTTTTTTTTTTTTTTTTTTTTTTTTCTCCTTTTTCTTTAGCCGTTCTTCTTTGTTCTCCAATTTATTGTACTGTGTGTGTAAGGTCCACCATGTTTTGTGTTTAAGTGTATTTTGTGTAACCTGAGTGTGTTTTTAGTCCGTTATTATGCGTCCGTTTTCCAAAAGAACTTTTTCGTTCGTGTTTTACCTCTTTATATGCTAATATGTATACGTATGTGCCAGTCTAACTGTGTCTTCATACGTATCCATACGTACGCATAAACACACACACACACATACATGTATGTATATATATATATATATAAACACATACAAACACATATACAAACACATATACAAAAAACACGCTTGATAAACTCTTTAAAAACATCTCAGCACTTGAATGTACATTAAAGGAAAACCCCAATCCATGAGAAAGCATGGTAGTATATAACCTTAAACTGCCACATTAAAAAAAAAAAAAAAAAAAAAAAAAAAAAATGACTAAGTTTCTTAGGCATATACCATGAAAAAGAACACTTTTCCATCTTGGTATTTACATATATGTGTATGCACATCCGTTGGCATATTCTGTGTACATATAGGTTTCTATAGAAACGGCAATTTGTTATTAAATATTCACCTATTGTATGTAATTTATATCAAATCTATTCGGCATGCTATCCGAAATGAGGATTTGTGTAGACGTAGTAATGAGAGAAGGGCTATGCGACCCCCTTTGTTTATAAAATAAAAAAAAAAATGATTACATATGTATGAACTGATCATACAATTTTTTTTTTTTTTTTTTTTTTTTTTTTTTAATAAATTGTACAAACAAGAACGACGAGAAGGAGAACAAAGAAGAGGATAAACAAATATGTATGAGCTTATTCATCTTTACGTGATTTTTGCTGAATTTTTTTTTTTTTTTTTTTTTTTTCTTTATCACATTATGATGTTTCCACAATGTGATGCGGTCTTTTTTTTTTTTTTTTTATTCATTTTCTTTTTCATTTATTATATATTCATTTTAAGTGCTCAGGAGAGAGTTATACTAAAGAACCCTCTAAAAAATATTTACTAAAAACATGTAAACTGATGAAAGTGTATCAGTTTTTATAGACTGATAAAAAAGACTATGCGACATTTACAAATATTTTTAACAATGCGCAAAATTTTTTTTTTTTTTTTTTTTTTTTTTTTTCTCCCTTTCATCCTCACACATACAACATTGTAGATTTTTCACCAATACTTGGGACTTCTTAAGAGATCTTCCTTTACACATGCATGGTAAATATTGATATAATGCATACTTGCCCATATAAGCACATTCAAATATATGTATTTATACATATCACAAAAATTTAGTTTTCATTAACAGCTATAACTTATACTGCGGAGAGATGGCTCTACTTTCCTCCACTTTCCATCACTTTCACACCACATTCTCTTCATGTTCCCCCAAAAAAGGAAGAAAAAAAAAAAAAAAAAAGTGAACAACCAAAACGTAGCAAGCAAAAATTCACAATGCAAACAACAAGTGAAACACAAACAGTTACCTTCTACAACCAGCAATTCCTCTCAGAGAATTTTTTCTAAGAACATGCACATTTATTTTTTAGTGGTAATTCAACGTACAAAGAAAACATAGTTTTACCACTTTTCATTTTTTCAATGTCTCAACAGAACACCTCTTCACAGAACGAGGGATCATTTGGCTCTCAAGAGAAAATATCCCACGTATGTAGATAATATATGCACTTACATGTATATACGTACATGCGCATGGTATGTATGTGTCTGATGCATGCATACATTTGTGTTGATATATATTCACACGAAACATGTATAGAAACACTAAATTAACACCAGAATTTATTTATCTTGTATAGTGGCATGCAAAATTCTCTTAAGAACAGAACGCAATGCGAGATTTTTCCCCCATTTGTAAATTGTGTTGGCCACTTATTTTTTTTTTTTTTTTTTTTGGCGCATTTTTTTTTTTTTTTTTTATATTTATCTTTTTCATATTTTATTCATAATTTATTATGTAACATTTCTTTGATTTTTACTTGTTCTTGTAATTTTAACCATTTTTACAATTCCCTTCGAATTTGCTTTTTTTTAATTTGTTTCGAATTTTTCTGTATTTACGCATATTTCATTTGTCACCTTGGTTGCAATTTTTCGACATCTTTTTAACACATTTTTGACACCTTTTTAACTCCATTTTGACACCTTTTTAACTCCATTTTGGCACATTTTTAACACCTTTTTGATATATATATTTTTTTTTTTTACCACGCTTCTTCATCGCCCAGCGCTTTTTCAAATTAAGTAATAATAAAAAAAAAAAAGAAATTTTGATCAACGCGTGTGCTCCCTTTGACATATGTACGAATGGGCATAATATATTATACAGAAGTGTACCTATATGAATATGTACATATATATATAAATGCATATGACCCACCAATTTAAGGTCAAATAATTTTTTTTATTTCCTCAAAGAAATTTATGCTAACACGTGTTAAAAAAAGCATTTTACATTACATAGAGAGTAATTTTTTTTTTTTTTTTTCTCTTTTTTTAAATCTAATTGCAAATTTTGTTCCTTTTTACAACGACCCAAAGAGGGCGGATAGTTCTACAGTTTATTTGAACACGCCCCGTTTTATTCTTTTTACCTCCATTTTTTTTTTTTTTTTTTTTTTTTTTTTTTCCTGCTTCTCAGCTAGTTTGTTATTTTATTTTATTTTATTTTATTTTTTATTTTTTTTTTTTTTTTTGTATTTCTTATTAGGTACCTAGAAACAGTTTTGCATGTCGACGTGCACATACCGCATAGATACTACATTTACATTTCTACATATAAATATATAAATAAGTATATAAATATACATATATATATATATAAACACCTAGATATTTTAATATTTGACCGTTTGAATATTTGAATGTTTAAATACTCGAATGTATCATGTTTTTCGCAAAACGTGTTTTCTTATGTTTTCTCGTATTTTCAATTTTAGTACTAAGAAATGTAGGCAGCTTAAAATCCAACGAACATAAAAATTTAAGCAACCCAGATGAGCTGAACTCCACTGGTGGAGGAAAGGACGAGACTAACAAAGGCGAAGCAGGAAAAGGGCAAAACGAAAGCCAAACAGAACCCGTTGGTGATGTACAACCCATTGAAGGTGTAAAGAAAGGCATTGGGAAGACAGAAACGCAAAATGATGTAGTAAAAGAGACAAAAGAAGAGGATGATGAATATAAATACATCATGGAAAAAATCTTAGGAGGGGACAAGGGGGAGAATCTAAATGAAAACCATATTGTGTCAACAAATTTATCAAATAAGCAAGAACAAAATGTAGACCTCACGGCAAATACAAAGAAACTTAATGATATAATACAGCAGTACTATAAAAATGTGTTAGTTCCAAGGATACAGAAAAAGAGGGAAGAAGAAGAGAAGAAAAAGAAGGAAAATGAAAAATCACCACTTATAACAAGAATTAAAAAATTTTTCAAAAAAGAAGACGAAAAAATAAAAACACCAACTACAATAATAGATTACATAAGAGAAAAAGATAAAAAAATATTAAAACTTGAAGAGAAAAACACTTCAATGAACTCAAGGGAAACTATATATAAACGTTTATTTTGGGCTACTGCTTATGTGCTTTTTAACATAGCCCTAGTTCCATTAATTGGTTATCTATATGTTTCCAAAACATGTAAAGATACTATCATGAAAGAATATGAAAATAACAAGGACAGGAGAATTGTACCATATAATTACGATTTTGGAGATGACAGGCCTAATATAAATTTTATGGGAATGAATTTCCAGAACTGTAAGCATTACTTTGCAGATAATGCACGTAAATCTCCCTTCCTTATTGGGATGGTTCAAGGAGATCCATACGGTACGCAATTTCCTTCACCCCATCATCCTCAACGCTCGCTGTCGATGCATTCATTCATTGGTGATTGACACACTGATCCATTGTTGAATATCTCTGCTTGAACGTACCTCTTTTCGCACATAAACATGTTCTCATACACAAAACCTAACCCATATCATCAGTACAATTACTTACTCTACCTCATCTACTATTTTTTTTTTTTTTTTTTCATACCACTTTCCCCACCCCCTTTCCCTTATTTCAACAGCAATCATAAAGTTGTAACATTCGAAATGATCAAATGCATGTGTGGCATGAATATGGAGAACAACTCATGGGCAAGTTACTTTATCGTTCGAAAAAATTCATAGAAGAATTATCTCTCCTCCTCATCCTAATCCTTTCACATGTTTCAGAAAGACAAGAAGAAAATGTTCCCAATTTAGCAAAATGTAAAAAAAAAAAAAAAAAAAAAAAAAAGATAGAAGACGAAAGAGAGAGACGTAGATATAAATGACTATTTAGAAAATGCCTCTTCTCATTTTCGGTTTTTCATCAGAAATTACAAAAAAATGAAGAAAAAAATAAAAAATTTGATAAGCAGAAAACGTGTGAAGATCATTCCAACCCTGGCATATAATATATTACTCAAACCAAGCTACCTCCACATAACTCCTATATATGCATACTAATACAAAATGTACACATACCATAATATCCAAATATGCACATACGAAAATATTTAGACATGCAAAGAGCCCCAATTTTTTTAAAATAAAACACGTTTACAAAATGATGTTACAATAGGGGAATGATATTATAATCCTCACCCTTCATTTTTTATTCTATACATTTGACACAACTTACTGATGTAGGGAAAAAGTACGTAGAGGTGAAAAGTCTCCACATGACTTTCACACAGTATATACCATTTATCCTACACACATGAATAATTATCTTATATTTCTTATTTGTTTAGTATTAAACATTTAGCCATGTTGTTATGTGATGGTCATCATCACCTTGAACTTTTTTTTTTTTTTATTTTTAAAATGAAAAAGAATATTCAGAAAAATAAAAGAAACGTAACAATGAATATTTAAATTTGTGCCTTTGTAATTTTGTATGCACATTGTCACACATGTACACCTGACAATTTTTTAAACCTTTTCTTCTGTTCAACGAGAATACCACAGACCAGCATACTTTGGTCTTTTTATTCTATTTTTGCTATAATTTTGCCCTATTTTTGTTCCAAGTTTGCTCTATTTTTGCAATAATTTTGCCTTATTTTTGTTCTAATTTTTTTTTTTTTTTTTAAATTTGAAAATATAGAACTTTTTTGCAAATATATCACTTTTAAAAATGTGTAAACTTTTTTCCAAATATAGCACTTTTAAAAATGTGCAACTTTTTCCAAATATATCACTTTTAAAGTGTACAACCTTTTCCCAAATATACCAAGTTCCACTGACCTGATCCGTATGTTTCAAATTCTTCATTTCTCACCCTCTCTGTTCTCTCCTACACGGGCAAAAAACCTTTAGTGGCCCCAATGTCCACATATCTCATCACATTGACTCTTTTGTCACAATGCTCATTTCCTCAAATAGGGAATTTTGAAACAACAATGTAAATTTCTTTCGATGGCGTGAAAAAAAAAGCCAAAGAGACGAAAGTGGCGAAAATGGCGAAAAAAACGAAAAAAACATTAAAAATCAATCATTCAGTAAATACTGAACGGGTGAATAATTAGAGGTATGAAAAAATAAAAGAGGAAATATGGATAACGCAGCCTAAACGTCAGACACGTGGGAAATTTAAGAAAAAAAATTCCTTTATTTAGTTTGTGACACAAAAGTAAACACATCACGTATATGTAAGTATAATAAAATGCTCGCACAGAAATGTTACATGTAGAAAAAAAAATATATAAATATATATATATATATATATATATATATATATATATATATATATAGTATATCTACTTGTACACATTTGGTATACGTGTCACATTTAAATACCACAACTTTTAAAAATCTACATAAGCAGAAATAGACGTATTAAAAATGCGTACTTTATGAAACAATTCAAATGGGAGTACCCTTTGTTACATTTTTCTTCAACTCCGTTTTCTACTCCCAATCAATCGTTGCGCAAATGAAACTTCAATTCGAACACCACCATCCGATAATATATATATATATATATATATATATATATATATATATATATATATGTACATATGCACATGTACGTGTATATATATTTACAATTCCTATACTCCATTTTTAAATAGCGAGAAAATAGTGTGGGGAGGGGGAGAGAAAAAAAAAAATAAATAAATTATAACAAATAAATAAAATAAAGTAAAATTAACAAATAAATAAAAATCAAGTAAAATTAAAGAATAAATAAAAATAAAATAAAATAAACAAATAAAAATAAAATAAATGGATAAATAAGTAAATAGATTAAAGAAAGAAAGAAGAAACAATCGCACGGGTAACGGGTTTCACTTAATTTATTATACATAAATCCAACGCAAGTGTTACATACGACCTCGACTATTCTATGTTAAGGCTCAAATGACCTTCATAACACGTATATAAATACATATACACTTTTTTCAACTTATTTGACACACTGTAAACATTTAAAATATTATAAGTACGCTACTAGAAGGGGTAAAATTAAGTGACACATCCCGAACAGTCTCATTTAAATATATTTCCAAGCCCCTAAAAGGGGAGTGATGCTGGAAAAATCATTGCATATGTAACGGTACATATATATGTACATGTACATGTACATGTATATATGCATATATACATAAATAAGCGGTGTTTAGAAGCGAAAGGGGGAGGGGTGACAAAGTGTACATATATACATATATATATATATATATAATACACTTATATCCATACATACGTACACACATTTTACTCCATTCAACACATAACCACGCTCTTTCCCTTCTTTTTTTCTTTTTTTAGTAACATCACCAGACCTACGAACAACCCCAGAGTTATCATCAGTTCCCCAAAGTTTAGCAAAACATTCTGTTACCACTACAAAACATGTCAATGTCACTAACCCAATAAGAATAAACATCCTCAGTATAGTCACATAAAACAGCCAAAGAGTTCCTGATTTAGAGAATCCACAAATTGGAAAATCACATCTAGTCAGTCAATTCAACCACAGATGCAGCCTCAGCTAGCGAAACCGAAAAACTTCCTAAATGAATTAGAAACTTCCACTCCTCTCACAACTTAAACTTGCCCAAACAGTGCCCACAAAAAAGGATATATAAAATAAAATTCATAAATGAACCGAGGACAAAGTACCAGAAAATCCAGTGAAATGTTGAGGAAACCAAATGGGAACGAACAGGTTGACACATATTTGATGAAAATCAAAGAGATGAAACAAAATGAGGAGGATGAGGAGGAAGAATATCACCACCTCTGCAACCTAAGTGGAAACGTCCGCAGAAGAAATCCCATCAACTGCAAACATTGTATGCAAATTGAGAAAAGAGGGAAAGTGAAAAAATACAAGGCCGCGAAGAAAAAAATTAACATGTTTTTAAAAAGCTACAAACTGAAAAGATCTAAACAACGAAAGGGTAATAACTCCCAGTCTGAAATTATGTTACTTCAAAAAAAAAAAAAAAAAAAAAAAAAATTAAGAAAGTCAAAAAAGATAAGACATGATTATTTAACCATTTTAAATTTAGAAAAAGAATATCTAGACAAATATAAAGAAGAGGAAATATTTAGAGAAACCTTCAAACTTTACAACTCCAATGAATTGGCTAAAGATTCTTCCTATGCACTCTTTTTCTTCCGCCTTTTTGTCAAGGGTTCTTATTTGAACAACGAAAGTCTTCATAGTGCCCTCACTAAGGATAATAAGAGCCGTTGCCAAACGTCCAATATCCCAAATTCAACCAACAATGATGTAGATTTAGATGTGGTTAATCCAGATGCAGATGCGGCTAGCCCAGATACAAACGCCTCTTCTTCAGAAACACATACGGCCCATGTAGACACCGGAAGAGCGAATCTCAAGGGACACACACAAACAATATCAAACAGCCCGAACAGCGTCAAACATTCAGTGATGTTCATGAATGGAAAACACACGAGAATGCTAATGTGTGATTACCTCAAAATATTGTTGAATAATATACAAAACGAAAAAAACATAAGTGCAAATTTTCTTATTTTAGAATATGCCAAACTGAATGATAAAAAAGAACATAACAACTTCATCCAATTCTTAACATCAGACAACATTAAAGGAGATAGGAAAAATCAATCCATATTATCATACAGCATAAATTCGATTAAGGGAATAAATAACACTGGTGTTCCAAATCAGGATCAACAAATCGAAATCACACAAGATCATACTGCCAATAATGTATCAAATGTAAGCAGCATACATAGATGTAACGGGAATATCAATAATTCCACAGATTTATCCACAAATGATGATACAACAAGCCCTAGTAAATTAAATCCAGCTGCTGATCCAATAAGAAGTAATAGCATAGAAAGAACGAATAACACACAACAAGAATACACTCCGAGAGAAGAGAAAACCCCTTTGCAAAACATCCCATATAATAACAGCTGCATCCAAATGAATGAAATTATTTTTAATAAAATATTAAACAATTTTGTTAGCGAATTAAAGAGTTTCTTTTTCTCCATTATTGCTAAAGTACAAACAAACGAAGTAGTAGCAGAATTGATTGTGCAATTCACAGAAATTTGTCTCATATTAACACCGTACTATGTACACATAATAAATTTTATCGAAATTCTTACTGACTTTGCAAATGTCATTCCATTTCGATGCATTAATAATCTTATGAAATTTTTTCAAAATAATAAAAATATATTTATTGAAAAATATAAAGAATTTCAAAATTTTGTTATTTTTAATGATCCTATAAAAATACAATCAGTAGGGGCTAGACTTATCGGTTTTATCAAAAATCTACAAAAAAAAAATTATCTCAATAAAAAAGATAAATCAAAAAATATATATTTTCTTCATTTATTACTATCAGAATGTATACCCATCAATCACCTAGGTTTCTGTAACAGACAATCTGTAAAAAATAATATCCATTTCTTATTTTATGACTCTTTGCAACAACACCATAAGATCTTAAACGATGAGTCCTTACGTTTTAGCGATTTCGAGTGCACTATCCAAGAAAATATCAAAAATCATAGAAAAATCTCGGAACTCATTCAACGAGAAATTAATTCTCATTTTCACATCACGTCGTCTCCCATACAATCAGTTGAAGCACCAACAGACGAGCTTCAGAAAATGTCTGATCAAATGAGGGACAAGTCACAAAGCGAGGAACAGTTGCAGAATTCTCGTTTGGAAGAACAGGAAGAGATGCAAAACGAGATGCTGGACAAGATGCAAGACAAGATCCAAAACGAGGTGCTGGACAAGATGCAGGACAAGATGCAGGACAAGATGCAAGACGAAGCGTCGCGTAAAAATGACCCGAATTACAGAATTGATAAAAAAAAGGAAAAGAAAAAATGCGATGATAGAAGCAAGTGCATGCGCGATGACACGAACAACGGAGCATATTTAGATAAGAGTAAAAATGAAAATGATGAAGAGGAATCTACACATCCTCAAACACAAGGAAGAGAAAAGAAAGCTTCCTTAAATGAAAAAGAACCAAACGAAAAACGCAAGAGAGACGAAGGGAACCCAGAACTGCTTCACAATACTGAAAGAAAAAATATAAAAAAAGCAAAACATAATAAAATATTTGAAAACATAAATGAAGAAAATCAAAATTACAAAGTTTATTTATCTTTTTTATATCTCATATCATTTGTCAGATGTCCAGAAATGTGCACGCTGCAAAATATTACACCTTTGGAAGATGCATACCATTCATTCAACATATTTATTGCACATGTAAAAAATTTAAAAAAAATATATATAATCAATTTAAATACTATTAAACAGTATCTCTACAATGCAGACATTGATTTCTTGGGCAATAGACATATATACAATTTACTAATTTCTGATCAAAATTTTTTATGTGTCTTTTTTTTCAATCTTCTTCTTATTCTCAACTATCTAAACATTGAATTAAATATTTTAACTTCCAACACAATTAATGGAGGTTCTCAATCATTAAATGATCAGAAATCGAATGAATCAAAAAATAAGGATGCTAGCCGTTTTAATACGTCTTCACATAATGTAGGAACCAAACCCACGAGCATCTTTGTATCTTCTACCCATTCGACAGATGCAGGAAAATATAACGAAGATAAAAACTGCAATATTGCATCTTCACGCAACTCCTCAAGGACTTATACCAAAAATTCAAAAGAAACAACAACACACATGGCTAGTAACAACAGCAGTGTTAGTGTTAGCTGTAAAGGGAGAGAGAATGATCCAACTGTAGCTGGAACAAACATTAGCGGAAAAACCTCCCAAAATGCTTTAAAAGAAGGAAAGGATTCTAACTCATACGAAACAAAAAACAAAGAAAAAGAACACAATGATGGTGTCAGTGAAAAAATAAAACACATCATGTATTCTTTTATAAAAGATTTAATAAACTATCTAGAAAGTTCCACAAATTCAAGACACTTGACACATTTATTCACATCTGAGTACTGCTGGTATAATTGGAAAAAACATCTCACAGCTAAACTTACGAGAGAAAATTCAGATGCATATTTTGAATTCAAGTGTGTGGAAGACCAAAAATCCAACAAAGAGGAGCAGGAGGAGAGGGAAAAAAAAAAAAAAAAAAAAAAAAGTGAACTCAAAACATGTCATGATGATAATGAAATAATACTAGACGACAACTCATCCTCTCCTGTACAAAATCTAATTCAACTAGTGCAAAATTTTGAACTTTTGAATGAAAAAATGAAAAATTATTATGAATCCAATATAAATAATCCAAATTTGAGAAAAAATGCTTTTAAATACACCAAAAACATTGATCCATATGTGAATACCTGGGATCATGACAAAAATCCAATTGTTAAGGATCATGACATACGCGCTGATATCCATTCAGTTACACAAACAGGTGAAAACAACAGTAGTGAAAAAAGGACGACTGAAATCTGTGGATCAAATGGAAAAATTTCCACTGATAGTTACACAGATGAGCTAACATATGAACCCTTGGATGAATCCATGGATGAATCAACAAATCAGCAAACGAACGATACAAAGACATGCACACGAAACCTTAGTCACCTTGATAAAGTGAACAACTTCTTATTAGAAATCAACAACATTTATTTAAGAAGAGAAGCGGAGTTTTGGGAATTGGATGAAAGTGATTCTGTTACAAAAATTAAGAAAAAAAAAAATGAAAAAAAAATCTTAATAGAAAAACTTATTGATAAGCTAGAAGATTATAAAAAAAAAATGCATATAGATAATGACCCAATAAACGAAATAGAAGAAAGTGAAAAAAGTAAAAACGATCCAGTTTTCAAATTTAGACTTGCAAAATTATTTATTGTAAAATATATTGATCTCTACACTATCGTTAAAGACAAGGAATTTTCCACTGATTGTGATTTTCTTTACAATTTGATGATACACATGGATAAAAATCTCGAAAAGAAAAAAAAAATTCTTCTCACTGGCCAGAACGGAGAAAAGGCAGAAAAGGATGAAGTTGGAGAAGTGGGAGAAGTTGGAGAAGTGGGAGAAGCTGGAGAAGTTGGAGAAGTGGGAGAAGTTGGAGAAGTGGGAGAAGTTGGAGAAGTGGGAGAAGCTGGAGAAGTTGGAGAAGTGGGAGAAGTTGGAGAAGTGGGAGAAGTTGGAGAAGTGGGAGAAGCTGGAGAAGTTGGAGAAGTGGGAGAAGTTGGAGAAGTGGGAGAAGCTGGAGAAGTGAACGAAGAAGAGGCGAATACGTAGCAAAATGTGAAAGCGACAAAGTCGTTCCCTATGTAACCCCACATATATATCTATATATGCTTCCATAAAATTTTGAAAAATCTTTGCAAAGGAACGGAAGGAAGAAAAACATGAATAAGGGAACAGGAAAGTGGTTATTTAATTTTAGCTCATTTTGATTCATTTGAGACGATATATCTGTGTGTGGATTATAAATAATACACCATGGTCTGATATGTAAACCGTTTTTCCCCAGTAAGAAAGTACACAGTTGTGAGAAGTTTCACGATTGCATACATATGTGAGGCCAAGCAACCTGGATATACATCTGTATATGTATGTTTTCTGTGAGCATTAAAATTGCACATGACAACATTTTTTTTTTTTTTTTCCCCCACCAAATGAGAAAGAGTTACTTGAGTCGAAACTGTGAAAGTACTAGCACAAGTGTAAAGGTACCCACATGTACGTGTACATATACATATGTATATATATATATGTATGTATATATATGTATATATTTACGTATGTATCTATGCAGCAATTTATATTGCACACTTGTTACCAGTTTAACAAACCTTGAAATGCCCTCTAATGTAGTTTCTTTTTTTCCTTTTTTCTTTTTTTTTTTAAACCGCATGTTTTCATTTCTTATCCAATTTCTACCCACTTGGTTTTCCACCTTTTAAGAGAGTATACGGTGAGGTATTCAAAAAAAACATTTGAAATATTTTTAAAAAAAACAAAATTCCATGTTCCCATTTTATGTAGGCAAAAATTAATGTTTTATTGAAAACAAAATAAAATTACTAGGTTTTTTTTTTTTTTTTTTTTTTTTTTTTAATACAAAGAAGAATAATATATATATACTATATACTTGTGTGTTGTCTTACACTTTGTATACGCATTTATGTGATTTTACATATATCTTTCCTCAGATGTAGTTATTGCATACGCATGTACAACTATATGTGTATGCACACATTCGCACGTGTAAATACAAACATTCATGAACAAACATACTCGTATATGCATAGAGACGCATTGCATCACTCCTACCCAAAATAAACACTTGCTCATCATATGTGCAGTTTAGGTATGTACAGCATATATTCTGCCTTGCCATACTGCATGACAACTTGTCTCATCAACAGGTATCAACAGAGGTATATAAATTCCAGTATATAAATGATAAACCATTTATAAAAACAAAATTGAAAAAAGAATAAAAAGCACACACATATTTACAGGTGTATAAGACTGCAAAAAAAAAAAAAAAAAAAAAAAAAAAAAAAAAAAAAAAAAAAAAAAAAAAAAAAAAAAAAAAAAAAAAAAAAAAAAAAAAAAAAAAAAAAAAAAAAATAGAAAAGGAAACAACAGAAATATACAGTGTTTTTTAATCTACAACAACTCAATCATATGCGCCTTAATTTTTAACGCATTAAATGTGAAGGAAAAAAAAAAAAAAAAAAAAAATGGCCTTAAAAATTCTACTACAATTCTTTTCTTTGCCTTCCCATATTTGCCCTCCCAGATTTGCCTCTCCATTTTGACTTGCACATCATTTTTAGCCGCACATACACTTCACTTCATTTTTCTCAAAATATCTCATCACAGGTCTTACGCAAACTCATGTTTGTGAATATACTTTATGTAAATAACAATCTATTTTTTCTCACCTTTTTGTTCTCTTTTTTTTTTTTATTTTTTTATTTTTATGTGTGTCACATTCAGAATTGGCCATTTTTGGTGTAATTTTCTGATACACCCATTTCAGCATTCTGCTTTACTTGACCTTCAATTTGTGAATAATCATAGGTAGTCGGCATACCGTTATTTTGTGCATATATATTTCGTTCATAAGAATTTTCATTTGCATATTTCTCATTCATGTTTTGTGGAACCATCTCTTCTCCATATTCCATATTTTCTGGATTTACATTGTACGGTTCATAAACATTCTCTTCGTTATATCCTCCCTCTTCATCATCATGTTTTATCTCGGGTAAGACATCCGCATTTATATCTCTGCTATGCAACTCGGGTGACCATTTTTCTAGTAGAGGTTCAAACGAAAAGGCCCAAACGGTTGCACACATTATTGCACCCAAGAGCAATATAGAGAAAAAGGCTCCAAATCCAGAAAAAACCATAAGCAGTTCTGTAAAAAAAGAGGGGTAAAAAAATTGAAGCAAAATATAGCGAAATATAGCAAAATATAGCGAAATAAAGCAAAATATAGCAAAATAAAGCAAAATATAGCAAAATAAAGCAAAATAAAACAAAATAAAGCAAAATATAGCAAAATAAAACAAAATAAAGCAAAATATAGCAAAATAAAACAAAATAAAGCAAAATAAAACAAAATGAACACTGCGCTCAGGAATAAACACTGATTAACGAATCACCAGTTGCACATAGTGATGTACCCACATTGCAGCACTCCACAACTTTTCATGTTTAGTTCGTGCTGTGCAGCATCGCGTGCAGGCATCCTCATCCTATGTACACACTAACGAGCACATATACATATAAATATATATACACACATATATATACATATACACACATATACACACACATATATATACATATACACACATATACACACACATATACACACATATACACACACATATATATACATATACACACATATACACACACATATACACACATATACACACACATATATATACATATACACACATATACACACACATACATTTGTGTGTGCATGCATCCCCTGGGAGACGCACCTGCCAAACCAGCCAACTTGAACAAGGTCAAATTGGACCAAGCGAGTTCCTCGTATGTTCCTTCATCGTGATAAGCTTCCATATAAAAAAATGCAGCTCCATATATGAATAATGCAAAACTGTGTACAATGCTTCCAAAATGTAGCAATGTCCAATCCGATTTTGTCTGTTGATATCGTGCCCACCATCTCATACTCATATAAAAATATGCATATAAATATTGTACTAATCTCAAAATAGATGACAAAAGATCTAATGTCACAGCTGCGGATAGTAATTTCGAACCAGCTCTAAACCCCCTGCACCATTTACTATTATCTGCTACAAACACTTGAAACATAGCTATGTATAATGTTCCTAATAAATACATTGCCATCAAAATTGAAATCGTTAAATGAAATGCACTTGATACTTTCACACATTCGGGACCTGCATATAAATCAAATACAAAAATCCCTGTTCCACCAAAGGCCCAATAAAATATGAACATTAATACTAAAGACACACATTGAAGAAAAAATCCCGTCCTTAATAAATGAGAACTAAAATATCCTATAAATGGTGTATGATTTTCCCCTCGAGGACTTGGTGATTCATCATCTTGTCCATACTGATTTTCATATGGTGATGGATATTGCGGTTGTGGCAAATAGGTATCATCTCCTTCTACTCCGTATGTATACATTTTGTTCAGGAAAAATTTTTTCTCTTTTATACTCCCTATATTTATATATATATATATATACTTCAAATTATTACACAAACTGGAGATTTTTATGTGACAATTCACACACAGACATACACCCACTATTGACAAAAAAAAAAAAAAAAAAAAAAATGTTGCTTTTTTGTGAAATTCCCAAATTTTCTACTTGTGTGTGCGCACAAGAGTTTTCATATATCCGGTGCTGATTAAATATATACTCATTTAATTTCCACTTAATAGTTCCTCTTTTTTACATAAACATTTGTGTGACTGTAAAGCACTGAAATTAATTATGGATCCAAAAACAAAAAAGAAAAAAAAAAAAAAAAAAAAAAAAAAAAAAAAAAAAAAAAAAAAAAAAAAAAAAAAAAAAAAAAAAAAAAAAAAAAAAAAAAAAAAAAAAAAAAAAAAAAAAAAAAAAAAAAAAAAAAAAAAAAAAAAAAAAAAAAAAAAAAAAAAAAAAAAAAAAACGGGGGCGGCAAATAGCGTAAAAAAGTGCGCAAAAAAAAAAAAAAAAATAAAAAAAAAACGGGGGCAAAAAATAGCGAAGGAAAAAAGGCAATGAGAAAAAGTAGAATAAAAAAAAAAAAAAAAAAAACTTAAAAACTCCTAATTAAAACAGTGAGAATTATAACTTAAAATAACATCAACAAAAAGTTCGCGTAGGGTATATGTAGCCCTATGTGTACATGTGCAATGGTAAACGTTTGAATGTGTATGTTCAGAAGTACTTACAAGTAATTTGTACACATTTCACATACGATTACATATGAATATGATGTAACGGAAAAATACTGTTCCTATGCAATGACACTTATATTTCCAAAAAAAAAAAAAAAAAAAAAAAAAAAAAAAAAAAATGAGAAATATAAGATTTACCCACCCTGCTTCAAATTTTATTTAACACATATTTATAATTAATTTCGTTTTTTAAAATTCATTTATTTCCCCTCTGAATCGTAATAGGCGTAACATATTTGTTCATTGTTCATTTGTTCATTTGTTCATTTGTTCATTTGTTCAATGTTCATTTGTTCAATGCTCATTTGTCCAATGTTCACGTGTCCACTATTGAATTGTCCTCTGCTCACTTGTTCATTTGTTTATTTTTATTTATTTTTTTTACAAAACGGAAAATTCTTCCTTTTTAATTTTTTTTTTCTTCTAAAATGGAAATTAGCACAAAAAAGGAAAATTTACGCTTCACAACAGTTTTTAAATTTAAAATACCATCACGTTCAAAAAAGGTGAAATGAAAAATTGGAAAAAAAAAACGCGGAAAATAAAACGAGGAAAATAAAACGAGGAAAATAAAACGAGGAAAATAAAACGCGGAAAATAAAACGAGGAAAATAAAACGAGGAAAATAAAACGAGGAAAATAAAACGAGGAAAAAAAAAAGAGGAAAAAAAAGGGGAAAAAAAAACGAGGAAAAACTCATTTACATAGTGTAATTCTTTACGCAACCAACAAAATTTCACTCTTTATTTTATTTTTTTTTTTTCTTTAAAATTTAGTGATACAATTACACACGTATTGTATACCTATACCTTTGAAAAGGGTAGAATTTTTTTTTTTTTTTTTTTTTTTTTTAGCATATATATATAAATGTGTGAATGTACACACGTTTGCATATGTATACATATTATATAATGGAGGATTTTACAAAAATACATTTGGTTTCTTTCATTTCACTTAGTTCCGTTTTTCATCTACCCACGCATGTACTGTGGTGCATCAAGATATTTTACCAAAAAATGAAAAAGATGCTTAATAACAATTATACGTGCTCTTCCTTATGATATATTATTCACATGTTGGTTTATGTTTTTTTTTTTTTTCAGCCTTGAGACAGCTCGATCAGAAAATAAAACATCAACCCATGGATGTTTCTCACTGCACGTATGTGTATCCATATAAATCCATGTGTGTAACTTGATATAAGTCTATGTCCAAGTTTTACATATCAACACCTTTACACACACACACACACATAAATATTACATATACACCTCAGTTTACACTTGTACAAATGTACCACCATACCGATTTCCCCATCAATCCACATTCACGAAACGTAAACCTTTGTAATTTCAGTGACCCTAAAATGATTCTTAGGGGTTCCCATTATTCTCCTGCATTTAATTCCCTTTAGTTCACTGACAACTATGGAAAAAATCCCGGACAAGTTTCACATAAAAATAACAAACTTTTGCAACAACTCTCTTGGGACAATTTGTGGGAATAATTTGTCATAGCTTGAGTTAAAAAAAATAAGGACTTCTCCACCCCCACCCCCCTCATTGCAGTCCTAGCACATGGAGGACACACACACACACACACACAGATATGTATATATATATAAATATATATATATGCATGCCTAAATGGCCATGATTAGAAATGATAGAGATATGCACCAAGTGCTTAGTGCCATAATTCAATCACCCATTTATTACACACTGTTGTCACATGATAGGTACGTTTAAACATGTTCTATACACTGTTGTGTAAAATTTACACATATATAAATATTCCTTCATCAAAATTTAATTCTTATGTAAACCCCTTTTATGGGACATGTATATGAAGAGAGCACTATAAAAAAAAAAAAAAAAAAAAAAAAAGAAACACTAAAGGTGCTTAAATAAAGGGAACAACTAACGAAGATACAGAGTAATCACAGGATAATCACAGAGTTACTTTTTCCTTATTCCATTTTTTTTTTTTTTTTCCTATACACTGTGATAATTTTTTGTTTGTATCACTATGCTTCACACCACTCCATCTAGCCAAGCCGCATTGACTAAATTTTTCCTCTTTTGAAAAGGACCACACACACAAAATTTTCATCTTTCATATCACACATTCGTTTCGAAATAAATTTGCATTCATTCTTCATGTGATGGTAAAGTTGCATATAAAAGCACAACTTTTTGTTTATAAATGTCACACCATGTACCAGTATATACATACGTCTTACTCAATCAGTTATAATAATGCACGGAGGAGGAGGGTGGTATGGGGGGAAATGGGGTATATATTTTATATCTTGTTCATATATTTTAAAAAAAAAAAAAAAAAAAAAAAAAAAAAATTATGTCTTTTCAATAAAACTTAAAAAAAAAATTAAAAAATTTTTAAAAAAAAAAAAAAAAAAAAAAAAAAAAAAAAAATTATGTCTGTTCATAAAACTTAAAGCAAAAATTAAAAAGTTTCTATAAAAAAAAAAAAAAAAAAAAAAAAGGGTAAAAATTCTAATGGTTTTTAAAAAATCCACTTAACTGCTATTTATTGTATGTACTCATTTATTATTTCATTAATTGTATGAATATGCGAAACAGTTTTTAAAAAAATTTAAAAAACTTAAAGAAAAAGTGCTCAAGAAGCAAAAGCATATTCATCCACCCTTGGGTAAATTATATAAAGAAAATATCTCTACTCTACACCCATGAACTTCAAACCTGTGGTAATAACGTTTGACACAACATGTCCCACGATACCCGAGGGCGTTATGTGAGGGACTAATGGATGAATTATCGAAGGTGGGGGTGGTGGAGGAAGAGCTGTGGAAGTTTCCTCCTTATTGCTGTTTTCGTCGTGCTCATTGTTATTATTGTTATTATTGTTATTATTGTTGTTATTGTTGTTATTGTTATTATTGTTGTTATTGTTATTATGGTTGTTGTCACTGTCGTTATTATTATCATTGTTGCCTCCGTTATGTGTGTGTTCATTATCGCTGTTCCCATGATCGTCGTCACTGTCACTGTGATCGCTACTACTGTCGCCATCATGTCCATCTGAATCATGCCCATTGGGAATATTGTTATTTCCACTATCTGCATTTTCGTGGTTATCCTCATCGTCCTCTTCATCAGAAGGTATTTCTTTCGCTTTTTCATTTAAAAGAATGAAAGACTCATTTTTCACTTCCTTCACTTTGTTCTTGTTATTCTTCCCTACATAATCCTTTTCCTTCAAATATATACCGTTGTTCTTCTTCTTCTGTAATTCGTTTGTATTTAAATTACCCAAAGGGGTAAAAAAGGCAGTTTCATTATCTGGAGGACTTAACAAATGAGAGGAGCCATAAATAATTTTCCTTTTCCTGAAAATATGTTTCCCATTTACATAATAACATACAAGTAGTGCCACCATACTAATAAACTTAATTATACACATTTTTTCTTTTTTTGCTAATACATTAAAAAAAAAATTTGAACTTTTTTTCCTTATTATCTAATTCTCTTGAACATTAGGAATACTCATGTTCTCTTCAGATGTTTCCCTTTTTTTCTATTATTTTTCCTTTTATTTCTCTCTCTCTCTCTCTTTTTTTTTTTTTTTTTTTTGTTTTCTGTTTTGTTCGTATACACATGCACGCCTAAACACAACGCATCTATTTCTTATTTCAAAACAGGATAAACTCAACTATGGTAAACTGAAATGACTTACGTAAGAATAGACAAAAAAAAAAAAAAAAAAAAAAACAACTAATAGCCTTTCACCCATAGCAGGATTTTTTTTTCTAAATTTTTCTAATTTTTTCGTTCGGATAGTAGTACCAATACAGGCAGGAATATGTGGAAAATAAAATTATTCCTGGACATATATGCATACACACACGTCATGAATAATTACACACCCGAACTCCATGTTCTTCACCATTTTGTAGAAAAGGCACCATGGCGCAGAATCATATGGGGAAAGGAACACTTTACCAATTGCAATGCATCAATGTTCTTTTTATGAACAATGTTAAAGAAATCTAACTAATGTTCTGTTAAAAACATTTTCTCCGTTTACTTACACAATATTCAAAATTAAATGAAATAGTTCCTCAATAGGATAACTTTATTAATATATGATAAATTAAGCATATACGTACATATGTCAGACAAATGGCTAAATTTTTTTTTTTTTTTTTTTCATTTCACTTGAACGGTTTCTATTACTTTGTGCTTTACTGATGAGTGCATTTTTTATAGTACAACAGAGTTATTCTAATAACACACCACTGATTTTACTATTTCATTTATTTTCTTCTTTTTTTAAACTCGTTAAAAATTCAATTTGATGTGGAAGGAGGAATATAATAAAAAAAAAAAAAAAAAGTTAGGCAATACAATAAGCAAAAAATAATGACTTGGCACAGAAAAGTAAAAAAAATAGTAAAAAAAAAAAAACTATTATGCTTCACCACGCCTTGGAAGGTATACAACAAACAAACATGTGTAAACCTCCCTTAAGCTAATATAATAACAGAAGTTTTAATATCTAACATGCGCTAAAAAATAAAATAAGGGATTGTTATGTAGATTTTCTCATATGAAGTATTTCTCGCAAATTAACAAATTTACACAACAAAATTAAGTTATCCCAATTTATCTTTCTTTTATGAACCGTTCATACAAAAGTGCCAAAATTTTCAACATTTGTTCTGAACAGACAGGATATTTTTTTTTTTTTTTTTTTTTTTTTTATTAATATAAATTTCCGTTGGTATAAAATATAGTTCGTTATTCTTCAAGGAATATATTTGTAGAGAGGTCTATCAAGTGTTATATTTTTCCTTTTCAATGTTAATTACTTTCCGTTCCAACAAAAATATCAATGGTGTCTTCAAAACGTGGGGATTTATGCCCTTTCGAAATTTTTGTCTATTTTGGTATTTCTTTTATCAAAAACTATTTTTTTTTTTTTTTTTTTTTTTTCTTTTCTTAAAAGTATAACAAGATAGTAAGCACATCATATAATTAGGGAAGCATCAAATCTATAAATGTATCACGTCAAACCTTAAAAATGTCGTTTTAATCGTAGTGCAAGTCTTGTCATTTTTTTCTCGTTTTCTTATGTAATACATTTGTTATTCTTAAATGTCTCTTCTGAAAATATTCAAATGGATGTAATATAATAGTATGGTATCAAAATACCAATTTATATGTATTTTATATTTTTATTTTATTTTTTTTTACATGTATTTTACACATGTATAATTAAAGAAAAGTAAATGTAACTTTTATATTTTTTCCTGTTCTCTTCCACCACGTTTTTTTTTTTTTTTCTTTTTTTTTTTTTTTTATTTACTCTTATACATACAATTGTGAGGGTATATATGTTTTCCATTTCGCGATATAAAAAGCTTTTTTTTCCTGTCTTTTTTACATTACACCTCTCTTTGTATTTAAATTTTTATGGGAAAAAAAAAAAAAAAATAATAAAATAAATAAGTATACATATGTACATGCTATAATATGTTTATTCCCACTTTCACACTTAAAAGGTTCATACAACGGTGCAGAGCAAATTACGATTTAATCTGTGAGTAAAAAAAGAAAGAGGAAAATTCCGCCTATAATAGTACAACACGGCACAAGAAGAAAAATAAAAATAGATAAATAAAGAATTAACTTTGATTTTTTTTATGAATAAAAGGAATGCAAATCAATTAAACTTATAATGATAAGATGTAAAATGTGAAGTCCACACTAATGCTTAAGCGAATGTTTCTGAAAAAATAAAAAGTTTGCGTCGCAAAATGGCTAACCAAATAATTGAATGGACAAAATTAAAAAATAAAAAATAAAATAAAAATAATAAACAAATAAACAAATAAACAAATAAACAAATAAACAAACGAATGAATAAATATAAAATAAAGCAAAATAATAATAGCACGCACCAACACAGTGACAATGTGTATTTCACCGTTGGGTATTTTTTTCCATTTTTTTTTTTTTTTTTTTAAATTGTTATAACTTTTTACTGTAAATTTCGCTTATGAGCAAACCGTATATTTCATTTCTGGTAGACAGACATGCTGCAATTTTTTAATACCACAAATTTACTTTTGAATAGTGTAAAAAATGAAAAAATAGGAAAAGGGGGGAAAATGGGAAAAAAAAAAAAAAAAAAGTAATACTTATTTATGAATTTACACATACATATAACATTTAAAAGAATTATAAAAAAAAAAAAAAAAAAATAATATTAAATAACAAAATAAGACAAAGTAATTTTAGGTTAAAAATGTTTAGCGCGCGGTGGGGGTGCAATTATGTTAGAAGTCTGTTAAAGAGAAAGCACCTCCTTATCTTTTTGGTCACTTTAGCAGGGTTCATTGGTCAAACTAGTCAATTTACACTGATTAACGCAGCTAGCCAACTTAGCATCATTAACCTGACTAGCCAATTTTATGCTCTTAGCCTGAGTAAATACTTTAGACTACACAACTTACTAAACCTGTTTAGTCTGTTCGTCCTGCTAAACCTGATAAGCTTAATCGACAGAGTTACAATTTCACATCCTGATGAAAAGACAAAAAATCGTTTGTATAAATTAAAAAATCATTTTAACCAATTTGGAGAATTACCAAAAATAGATGAAAATGGAAATGAAAATGAAAAGAATAAGGAAACGAAAAAAGAGAAATCTGTCCCAAATGAAGAATTAACAGTAATTCAAAACCCACATGACACGGGTGGTGGTATATTCTTGTGCTCGCAAAATTGGGGAATAAATGTGGTACATAAAATCATCCATATAATCCACCAGTGGAACCCCTTCCAAAAGAACCCAAAACCACATCTAACAGATTCGCAAATAAAGAAATACAGTGTGGAATATACTGGACATAAAAAAAGTAACATACCGATATACAATACCAACATCACAGACAGAGAGATACAAAAACTAGTAGGAGGAAATTATGAAGTAATTAGTTCGCGCTCACTTCTTTCATTGACCAAAAGGAAAAAAAATAAAAAAAAGGAAAAGAAAAAGAAGCAAAAAAAAGGAGGACGTAAGGGGAAAAACAAGAAGAACAACAAAAAGAACAAAAAAGGGAAGCAGAAAAAAAACGGGAAAAATAAGCAGAAAAAAAATGGGAAAAATAAGCAGAAAAAAAACGGGAAAAATAAGCAGAAAAAAAACGGGAAAAATAAAAGACTTAATCATGGGGACTCAGATGAAGACGAGATCGGTGAGGGGTACTCTGGAAGAACAGGATCAAGGAAAAATGGCCGTGGCATTCCCATGAATGATTACACAGATGATAATGAGGAAGACGACCAAGACGACAATAACAACGCATGGAATGAGTATAGCGAAGAAACAGAAGATGGATTAGTGGACGAATATTCACTAAGGAAAAAAAAACAGGAGGGAAGAAAGAAGGGAAAAAAAGGAATGAACAAAAAAGAAGCACAAAAAAGGAAGAAAAAAAGGTCAAAAAATGATGACCAGGATCATTATAAAGATAGTGGAAAAGAGGTTGAAGAGGAATACATTGGAGGAAGTAGAAAACGAAAACGGTTATCAAAACATCATACTAAAGATGATCTGGATGATGAGTATGAACCAAAAAGGAAACACCAGCGGCAAAATCAAGACGAGGATTATGACAACAACACAGAAAGTAAAAAATCTTCGAAAAAAAAAAAAAAAGAAAAAAAAAGAAAAAAAAAAAAAGGGCGTGGTAATACAGTAGAAGATGATATAGAAGGAAAAAAAGAAGAACTAGAAGAACTGAACGATGTTGTTAAGGAGCTGTCCTCGAAAAAAAATCTTCTTGAAAATGCAGAAGATCATATGTTAGAGTTGTTAAAGACGATTCACTCACTAGAAACAAAAAAGTAAACGTCATCCTCCCAAATAAAATATGTGTGTGTGTGTGTGTCAAAAATGGCTAGATGCAAAAAAAAAGGCATGTAATGTGCACAAAAACAGTAAAAGTTAACAAAACCCTCAGCTATGTCTCGCACATGCATATATGCATTCCCCCTAAAATATTTTCACTTTTTTTTATTTCACTTTAAGCGATTCCTCTGTGGCTTTAAAATTTTATTTCCGTAATTTTTGTAGTGTAAAACTCGTGAAAACAACAAAATAAAAATAAACAAATTAAGCAAATTAAACAAACTAAACAAGATAGTGAAATGGGAAAATAGTAAAATAAGGAAACGGTAAAATAATGAAATGGCAAATTAACGAAATGGCAAATTAACGAAATGGCAAAATAATGAAATGGTAAAATAACGAAATGGTAAAATAACGAAATGGTAAAATAACGAAATGGTAAAATAACGAAATGGTAAAATAACGAAATGGTAAAATAACGAAATGGTAAAATAACGAAATGGTAATATAGTAAAATAAATAGAAATAAGGAAAAAATAAAGACGGAGGAAAATAAATGTGTAACCAACAGGTGAATTAATAAAAAAAAAAAAAAAAAGCAAGAAATGAGGAAGTGTTTTTAAAAATAATAACACCTGGAAGGACAAACGTCCAATGTGTTATAAATACCCTTCATGATACTAAAAAAGAAAAAAAAAAAAAAAATTGATTCACTTTTGTTCATTCCTTTTGACTTGCAGAGACTAAACAATTTTCAGCTTCATAATATAACTCAATGGGTTAAAGAAGATGTACCAATTTTATCACTTCTTTATCACTCCACCATACGCACACCTTGTCGCTTTTTGAATTTTTTTTTGTACACACTTCTTAACTTGTTTCTCTGGAGTGAACAAGAGAAGAGAGTTCACTTTTTCTTCCTCAGCCACAGTGATATATATAAAAGGGTCCTAATCTTCACTAAGTACATCTTTCTCTTATTGGATCCGTTTAAATAAGTAATATCAACCGGGAAGTAATTCCTACATGCGTATTTTACCGTATGTGTAGATTCACTTGCTTGTTCTGCTTTGATTAACTAGTAAAAAAAATAAAATAAAAAAAAAGGGACACTGATGTTTTTGCAAGCAAGGTTATTCCTCTCCATTCCATAGTTATATTATCATAAGTTAGTTTAATATAACTTACACTGATCTGTTAGCGTTGTACTGGTGTAGGATTTTTTTTTTTTATTCTCTCTTTTTTTTTAATTTCTCCCTTTTTTTTATAATTTCTCTCCTTTTCTTAATTTCTCTCCTTTTCTTAACTTTTCTCTCATTTTTTTTTTTTTTTTTCCACTTTCTGGTTAACTCTAAAAAATTGTACATACCTTTTGGTTCCTAGCTTTTTTTCACAAACACAAATTCAACCCATGCATAAACGACAAGTTACAGACCCCTGAGTAACCTTCTCATCTTTGATCACCCTCGAATGCATTTTTCGTAACTATTAGTTTCATCGCTGAAAAATATCTTAACCAAAATTCGTTTTCACTAATAATCTTGGGAACAAGATTGTATCTTATTCTCTTTAAATTTTGATTTTCTTTTAACAGAGATTTAGCCCATGTAACTAAATCATTATCGAAATGAAATGGGTCAATTTGTGGCACATCAGTCATATTAAAAAATGTCTCTTCATCTATTGTTATGTCTTTTATTTCTTCAATTGTTTTCTCAATGTTCACAATATTCATATGTATGTTTAAGTCTTGATTTCCCCATTTAATTATTTCATTCCAGGGATACTTCAGTTCGAATTCTTTCAAAGATTAGAAATTGTAAGAAGTCATGTTATAGTGCCATATATATAAAAAAATATGCACATAGTTTAGATATATGAACATAGGTCTCAGAAATTGTGTATACACACATAGGACACTGTATATAACTTTTTATTATTTTATTATTTTTTTTTTTTTTTCCTGATTTCTTATCATTAAACATTCTTTGCAAATGTTCAAGCATTTATTTCTTGGCATAAACCAGTACAAACCATTGGGCATGTTCTATATATGCTACTATTCACACATGAATGTATCCATGTCGTGTATATATATATCTATCTGTGTAATTTTTTTTATTTTTTTTTTTTTTTTTTTCCAAAGTTCTTACCTTTTTCGTACTGAATTTCACATAACTCGTATTTTTTCCTTTTAGCGTACTTGTTTCCCATTATTCAAATAATTCTCGAATGCACAATTGATAACCCCCTCCTCCCTTTGGTGTAATTTATTTTTTTTTTTTTTCTCTTTCTTTCCCCCAACCTTTTTTTTTAAACTTAAAAATATTCGCATACGTACATGCTGAGTATGTACATACTCAAGCACAAGTTTAATCATTTAAAAAATGGGAGTGGCAGAAAAATTGGACCAAAAATTTGACCAAAAATTGGACGCAAAATCGGACGAAACATGGGGTGAAATGCGGGATGAAAAACGCAACGCACGAAATTCTTCGTGGGGAATCACTAAAACTTATGCAATCATTTTTTTGTACTCCCAGAGAAAAAAAAAAAGAAAAAATAATCAGGTATCAAATAAAGAGAAACATATTTTAGGAAAAACAAAAAAAAAAAAAAAAAAAAAAAAAAAAAAAAAAGTAGGGAACTGATAAAAAAAGAGAAATCCTTTATACTGTTTCTCCCTTTTAATATATGAACATTCCACCATTTTATTGATTTAAATAGAAATCATTTTAATTTCCCTACTATCACTTTAAAACCTGGAGGGTGAAGGGGCTAGGTTTTTTTTTTTTTTTTTTTTTTTTTTTCCTCTTTTTTTTTAAACGACACAACATACACTTATATGTAAGAGCAGCTATATCTGGAACTAAATTTGAGCAGGAATGTGTTGAATAGGAATCTCTTTTACGAATGTAAGATAGTAACTTTAACAGGTGAAACCGATCAAAAAATTCAAGAGGCAACCCTGATAAGGAATTCTGGAGAAATATCTCATAGGGAACGCATCGTAAAACTGTTCAGAAAAAAATATGATCGAATTTCTGTTAATGGTCAACAAACAAGGACAAACGAGGTTAAGTCAATATTATAACGGCCTCAGTATTGAAGAGAGAACAGTTCTCGAAGGGGAACTCATACGAAAATGCTTATCAAGAGTTGATTATCAGTGTTCCTTCCTACAGTATAGGGAATATAAAATTATTTACAGAAGGTTAGATTTTTTACTTGTACACTCCCCATCGTTGGGTACATTATTAGCATGAAATGTTCTTTACATGAAAAAAAAAAAAATATCACAATTGTAAACTACTAACAAGTGTTAACTACTAAACGTGGTTAAAAGTTTTTGTTAAGCTGTGTTCTCAAAAATAATAAATTATTCTTGTACATACATATATATGGTTGTCATGTCCACACATTTGCTTCCAGTTTTACTGGCCTCTACTACGTTCACACATTTCTTGTAAAACATGCTTTCCCTTTCATTTTCACAAGATATGCTAGTCTCTACCTAATCGTAGGAGTCACTAAGCAGGATGTAAACGAATTCGCCATACTCGAAATGATTCATAACATTATTGAAATCCTAGATAAGTATTATGAAAATGTGTGCGAACTAGATATCATGTTTAACATCGACAAAACCCATTTTATAATTGATGAAATTCTATGCAATGGTGAAATATGTGACATGAACAAATCCAATGTACTCCGGCCAATTCTTTTAATGGACAAGTTTTCCTCAAAAATGTGAAATTCAATTCGGAGTCTAATAATCATATAAAAATCAATTAAATGTCTGAATCATTTGGAAAAAAGAATTCGTGTCAACACGAACATAAAACAGAATATATGAAAAAGCAGGTAAAAAGCCTAGCAACATGGGAATAAGGGGGGGGGGGAATTATGCACAGGTCAGGTGATTTTTTTTTTTTTTTTTTTTTTTCCCCCCTTTTGGCTGTAAACATACACATACCACACCTTTTCAGAATGAAAAATGTGTGTGCATACCAAAAAATTTATATAGAATATATAACTATTTTTAAAGAAGGAAAAATAAGTGTATATGAAAGAAGCAAAAAAAATAGACAAACAAACCTCAAACAGTGCCATGTAACATTTGCTATATAGTCATACTTTAGAATGAGCATGATTTGTACGTTTTATTTAGTGGCACATAAAAATTGGGAAGCGAAGAAGGTAAAAAACAAATATTTTTATTATGCATATTCACCTGACCATACAGGGAAATATAAAACGTTCATATCATTTGTCAACACACTACTGGTGATTTTTTCTCTCTTTTTTTTTTTTTTTTTTTTTTTTTTTTTAAATCATTTTAACGGAATGTATGGATATAAAAATGAAACCATTTCCAAATAGAAAAAAAAAAAAAAAATTAACAATGCCATTATAATCTCTTTACAACACCTCTATTTTTCTACCACATTACAACATGTAATTTTCGACAAAGTTGCAAAGAACTCCATTTTGACAATACAAACATGAGTGCATGTGAACTTTTAGCAACGCTGCCTTGTTTCGTGCTATTGATGCTTCACCGTATTTGTATATAGGGAAAAAGTATTTATGAATTTTATTTAGCTTATTTTTAAATTTGCAGATATATATGTTATTCTTCAATTGAATTTCGTTAATATATGCACTCTTCAATTTATTATTTTTTTTATTGATTGCCCTACATTTCTCATTTCTCACTTTACAACTTTTTTCACGTTCTGCACTTTTGGCACGCTTTTCCCCCATTTCAACAACTTTTTTTTTATAGTTATTTATTCTCATTTTTTCTGATTTCTTTTTGTTCATAGGTGCCTGTTCAGAATGATCTGTTCCTTCTATTCCTCCATTTGTTAACTCTTTTGAATAGTTCATTTTGTTGTTTGGGAACTTCACAGTGGAATTCTTCTGGGGGGAGGTTCCTAATGGCTTTTGCCGTGGGCTATGGCTACTACCTTTTGGATAATCTGCCTCCCTTTCTTTTACGTTTCTCTTCACGTCTTTTGTATTCTCTTTTATGTTTCTTTTCACGTCCTTTGTATTCCCTTTTGTGTTTCTTTTCACGTCCTTTGTATTCCCTTTTGTGTTTCCTTTCACATCTTTTGCATTCCCTTTTACGTTACCCTTCACGTCCTTTGTATTTCCGATTGCGTTACCCTTCACATTTTTTTTCACCTCTGTGCTTGTCTCCAATTCACTTTCTGTATCCACATCAGCTGTTGCCTTATTACTTGAGCCTTTCCCCATATTCGTACGCAAGTTGGACTTCAATTTATCCTTCACTGTTGCATTCCTTGAACCACTGGAAGAGCGTTTATTGTCCTTTTTTATGTCAATTTTATTCTTAGATTTATTCTGACTTTCATTTGAACAGATTTTTTTAATTGTGTCGTTTATATTATTACTCCTATTAATTTCGTTTTTCCTTTCATCATTGTTAAAGGTACACTTTTTTTTTAATGACATGGCTGCAATATTCTTTTTTGTTTTCGATTTGTTTCATTCTAGATATATGGTTGTTTCTCCAACTAATTTGTTAAAATTAACTGTGTATGCCTAGGGAGAGAACTTCTTTGTTATATACTTTTGCACATTCAATTTTTTTTTTTTTTTTTTTTATTTTATTTTGCTCAGTCAACAATGCATTTTTTGTATGCTTTTATTAATAAATCTCTTTTTTTTTTCGTTTTTTTTTTTTATTCTTTTCATTTTTGTTTCCACATCTTTGGCTCTCTTTTCTTATTATGGCGCGTAAGTGGACTGCTTAGAATTCTTTACCTTTCCTTAACACTTTTTCCTCCCCTTCGTTTGCATCATAATCAAATATATACTAATTCTACCCCTTCTGTAGATTTCTCCCTTGTAATTTAGCTACCCGTATTTTGTTAATTCATCTAGTGTTTATTATTTTATTTTATTTTTCTGCTAGGTTGTTGCTATCTAGGTTTTTTTCATTCGTATTCATTTATCTTTAATTCACTCATTTCATTTCAGGGAAGAGAAAATTTATACGTGTCATTCATTTGTTTTTTCATTTTGATCGGTGTGCATATATATATACATGTAATTTTTTTTTTTTTTTTTTTCCCAATGTGGAAAGAACATTTCCTGAGGATTTTTGGCTGTTTGCCTGAACAAGTCAGGAGATAATTTACTCTTTTTTTTTTTTTTTTTTCTTAACAATCATCATGTCAACATTATTGATACCTAGGGTTTATGCTTGTTTTAAAAACATTTTCAACGGTTTGTCAATTTACTTATGAAAGAAACCTGAGAAGATATGCAACTCTGTATAAATGAAATATGTATACACTCACACGTATACATGCACATGTTTATAATTTGTCCATATGAATGCCTATTTAATTATAATTGTATGTCTGAGTTGACTTACGCAATATGGTAAGCTAGCCATATGAGAGGGCATACGAAAAAAAAAAAAAATATAATAATAATAATAAATAAAGCAGGCATAGCACATATCAAATAGCAAGTAGAAAGTTGCAAATATCAAATAGCAAGTAGAAAGTTGCAAATATCAAATAGCAAGTAGAAAGTTGCAAATACCAAATAACATGTGAAAAGTACAAATACCAAATAACATGTGAAAAGTGCAAATACCAAATAACATGTGAAAAGTACAAATACCAAATAACATGTGAAAAGTGCAAATACCAAATAACATGTGAAAAGTGCAAGGGCACAAATTTAAACACCTGCGCGCGACAAACGCTAGCAAATCAAGAGGGTGAACTGCTAACCCATTCGCTTCTCAAAAATGTATATGCAATTTCTAAGGGCGTCATTGCTGCAGTTTTTCCTGAAGAATGAACTAGTCTTCTCATCATAGGTATAGTTATAAACGCTGAGAAAAATTTCAAAAATTTCTTCTTCCCTTTTTTCATTAATGGTACCTATATTAAAAGTGTTCGGGATATCCCAAGATAAAATAATTCCCTTGCTGTTTAGTCTATCTAAGTTTTTGAGGAAAGTTTCTTCTTTTTTCTGCAAAAATCGAAATAAGTAGGTTGTCTAAGCAGTATACATTTTGCAGGGTTATTTTGTGGAGAAAACTTTCGCCAAGGATGCAAAATATCCATGTACCTAATGTCTTCACAGAACCCACAAATTCATTATGTAACATAACTACAAACATACATGCAAACAAAAAATAGTCATCCCTGTGCATGTGCTTATTTTCATATCTTGTTTACCTTTGGAATATACTCTCCCACATTCAAACACAGTACGTAATCAAAATGGAAAATACGTCGGCCAATATCTGTACTTTTTCTTATGACTCTGTTCACGTCCAAACATGAATTCTCCTTTGCAACTGCTTTCTTTGTAGAATCGTTTTTTTTGTTTAGTATATCTGATACAAAGTATTCATTTGTGGCATCAAGTGGGTAGATATTCTCTAAAGCACAGAAAAAAAAAAAAAAAAAAAAAGCAGTTCACTATGTGTATATATAACCCCACACATTGCTTTGTAAGAACATACATGAACATATGTGATCGCCACAGAAAAGCATGTTTGAAATCCCTCTCCTACACCATTTATGTCAAAGCATATACCATTTTTCAAAAAATTAACAAGCTTAAAATTTCCATCAACACCTAATGCTTTTATTTTGTGAAAATTTAATTCGTTCACATAATGTCCATGTCCACATCCTACATCTATCACGGTCTTAACTTCTGCAACAATGGAAAAAAAAAAAAAAAAAAAAAAAGAGGGAACCAGGGCAAAACTACATGTGTGCACTCCTATCTGTTAAGTTATAAATCCTTATAAAGGCACAAATATATGTACATGTGAACACACTTAGAAAGTTTTGAAAAAAAAAGCAACAAAAATGGGGAAAAGTCGGCAAAAATGGCAGAAAGGACAACATTTTCTCTCCAAAAAGCACTTGCATAATTTACTTTTTTCCTTAAAATATTTTATAAGTAAATTTGACAGCATGTAATCAAAGGTATAGTTCAGGTTTGTTAGCCAATATCCATTTTCGTGAATTCCCCATTTTACTGTAAACCCTAAAAATCTTAGCGTATCGCTAAGTAGCTTATGTTCATATTTTTTCACATAATACATGATCAAGTAGTAGAATAAAAAAAAAAAAAAAAAAAAAAATATACAAGTTAAAACTTTTCTTTCGTAGGAGTCTTCACGTTTGAAAAAAGAAAAATGTTTTAACAAAAGTGGGGGAAATACTATCAAGGCATGATGAAGATGTGAAAAAGCAAATATATAGACACAATTCTTGAACAAGTCGTACGCCAAAAAAAAAAAAAAAAAAAAAAAAAAAAATGTTACATAACTGTGGTTATCAACAAATAGAAGGTATACTTAAAAAAAAAAAAATCAATCCTTAAAAATAATGACATATAATAAAAGAAAAAAAAAAGATAGAGAAAAAAACAAAATATAGAGGTATAATATATATGATTAATTCCTTGTAGAAACAGAGGTAGGAAAAAAATCGTATTTTTTGACTCTTATTGAAGATGAAGCATCAGAAGGATAAAAATTATCATCTCATCAAATTGGACAATCACATGAAAAAAATACCTAATATTTGAAAACTAAAAAATTGCTCAAAAATGGTGTGATATAGTGAAAAAGTTCAAATACCAATGTTAATTAATTCATTAATGTTCTGAACGATAATATATGAAACAATTTGAAAAAAAAGGAAAAAAAAAAAAAAAAAAATCACTCCATATCTAAGTATGGATTCCTGGATTCCAGCTCTTCATACTTCTTTTCAGAAATTATGTGTACCAAATCTAAGGAAAAAAAAAAAAAAAAAAAAAAAAAAAAAAAAAAAAAGCATAGTGGGGAGATTCATATTCTTTCCCACAATGTGGGCGTATATTCACTTGCACATTTTTTGCTTTACACCACTCCGTTTTTCATTTATCTCCTATTTTTTTTGTTTTTGTTTTTTCTCCTTTTGTATGCATAACGCTTTTACTATTACAGATCAAAATTAAAAGATTCGAGAAATGCACGAACAGGTGGGTGAAATGTCTGTGAATTAGGGAGAAAAGGTGGGAGGCAGTGAAAAAAATAAAATCAAATCAAGGCTAATTGAAGCAAAACAAGCATTTTGTTGTGTATCCATTGAGATGCATATGCAATGGCTAAGTTTTTTTTTTTTTTTTTTTTTCCCCTATGTGATGCTTCTACGTATGCGTGATATTTTTCTGATTACAGCAAAATGGTCAGGTTGTGGCAGTTCTTAGATTCTTCAAAAGAGTACAGAATCAGACGCATGTAACCATGGGTTATGTGCAAGTGTATACATATCCTCATCCATGTGAGTGCACTCTCTTTCCCACTCTCTCTCCCTTTCTCTCTGTTTTTTTTTACACTGAAGCTCTAGTCATCAGTAAGTAGTACATGGGGATAGACATGATCCAGAGGTTGTACCTGCAGAGCACAATAGCATATATACAAAAATGAAAATATCACTTTGTCTATTCTTATACAATAAATGTTGCTTGTTCTCTGAATAAATAATTTAAACACATTTATAAGTAGGAACTATCTCACACTTTTCCTTTTAACTAACAAAAACGCTTCAAATAAAACAGAAAACTTCTCATTACTGTAAGTCTTTTCCTTCATCAGTTTCTTGCAGTTGTTGTAAATCAACACTGAATTACAGGGAATGTGAATAGAACAAAAGATCATGTGCACACATGTACGTGTGGAGGTATCACCAAGATGTGTATATACATGTGTGTATATATATATATATGTCCTTTTCACATACGAATGCATCTATTGAAATGTGAAAAAAATACCCGCAATGAAGAATCGATATGCCACAAAGGGTAAAGCTACAACTATGAAAAAGGGAGAAGAAAAGGTAGAAAAAAAAAAAAAAAAAAAAAAAAGATTATATAACAACAGTAGTTAGCAATCAATTCGCAATAAAAATGCAATGTACATCATTCCCCCTTAATATGTCCTCTTGAAGGGATGAATTTTCTCAAATTTTTCTCAAGTTTTTCTCGTACCTGATGATAAAGATGCATACAGATTCAAGTCCTGTTGATTCTGCACCTCGAATAAAACATACGTAAATTTAAACATACTATAAACAAGAGAATTCCTAAAAGTATCTTCCCTTCTTTTATTCTTATCATGTGTACAACACATTACATAAAATATTATACTCACAATAAAACAATCATAGATGGATTCAAAAATTTGGCTCAGCACCTTAAGTATAGTGAACCCAGACCCATTGAAAGCATAAACAAACAAATGTATAAGATATAATAAATTCGAAAAAAAGAAAAACAGGACAGCTACATGCAAAGATTCCTTCAGTGCATTATTCGCTTGTCTTAATGTTTCTTCTTTTTTCTTGTACACTAGTGAAAGCACACCTAGTATCATAACCAATAGTATATGTATCTCAATTAACCCTGCAGTGGTGAAATGCAAACGAAAAAAAAAAAAAAAAAAAAAAAAAAAAAAAACAGATAACATATGTAATATGATAAAAGTCCTAATGACGATGATTTTACAAGTACACAAAAAAAAAAAAAAAAAAAAAAAAAAAACATTTCACGTTATATCGAATAATTTTCCATATTCATAAAAAAACACACGAAAAATAAGGAAAAAAAAGACGGAAAAAAAAGAAGAAAAAAAAATTGATATGCTTGATTTCAACGTTGAAACGCATTTCCTCACCTTGGTCTTCACAAGAAAAATGATTTCTCAAAAAGTTGTCATTGTTTCTGAATTCAATTTTGTACGCATTTTTTATTTCCTGGCCACAATTTAGTAGAGCGAAATTTAATTTTGTGTCTCTCAAATTGTCATCTATATCTTTTTCGTATATAAAATAGGAGTTGTCTAAATACCCTGCTGAAGTAGCATTAAAAGTATGCACAAATAAAGACTTTTTTTCCAAATCTTCACACGTATTTCCATCTTTTTTATGTACATTATTATACATTTCTTCCTCTGTTTGATTTGATATTAAGAATTTAGTTTTGGGTATAAATAAACTTGTCAGAATTACAACTCCCTTTTCTTTTGAACGCCTACTATTACTGTAGCAGAAATGTGAAAATATGCTAAAATCCCTGTCGTCTTTCATACCATATATGACCTTTCCAGATGCATAAAAGTATTTCGACCTTGTGATACTCTTAAAACAATTCGTCACGAAAGTCTTTATCTCTCTTGCGTATTGAATTGCCACCATCCACATGGTGCCACTTCTAATGTTTTTATTTTTATGAACATAATTTTCTTCATATACCTTTGTTAGTATCTCGTCAAGTGACCTATCCTCCCCAGGGTGCAAACTTCCATCCCAACTTGCAACGTACAGAAGAAAAAAAAGGATTGTGAGAAAACGTTTTCTTGATTCCATTATTTTGTTCAAATTGTGGAATGAGACGGTGCGCAGCGAGTGGACGTCGTGAGTGTGTGGTTATAAGCAAATTTATAATTTCAGGACACATGAACCAATACATAAGAGATTGTATACATGTAAAAATCCACACACAAACAAAGTAAATAATGTGCATGTTTTTCATGTGTTTATATCTATTCTAGCCATGCTATAAAAAATGGCTCTTCCGGAAAAACAGTCAAAAGGTGAATTTTCACTCAAAAGGTAAAATTTTACCTGTGATGTAGTTATTTTCATTCATCGATAATTTCCAAAAAAGAAAAAAAAAAAAATCACTTGGGTGCAACGTCAAGGTGGTTTTTAACGCACTTGCCTTCCCCAGCACACTTCTTATAATAACACTTTTCTGCTTTCATACATAAGCATAAATATGGTAAATAAAAATGCAAATTCAAGTGGAAGTAAACATGAAAGAAGAAATGGAATGAACCCGGATTAGAAAATTCAAACGATAATATTCTAGCATAAGCTGAAAGGATTTTTTTTTTTTTTTTTTTTTTTTACACCCCTCTGAAATCACTTATAACTTTCTTTCAATAAAAACCTTAATTGGACTTTTGAATATTTTCCTCCTCCATCATAAAAAGTATTGCTCATTTGTTCTACATCTTTTAATGTGTAAAATGGGGATAATAAAATATATAACAATACACACAATGAAGTGGCAAAATGGCTACATAACTAAATGGTGAAAAAAAAAAAAGGAGAACTCGTTTTTTTTTTTTTCTTTTTTCCTTATATTTATATCCCTTTCAAATTAAAAAAAAAAAAAAAAAAAGTCTTAATTTACCTTAACGACTTATGTAAACTACCTGAACAGGCAAGAATTTATTAACAAATCGCGCAACAAAAAAAAAAAAAAAAAAAAAAAAATTTTAAGTTATTCAACATATCCAACTTGTCCAACTTATCCAACATATACAACTTGTCCAACTTGTCCAACTTATCCAACATATACAACTTGTCCAACTTGTCCAACTTATCCAACATATCCAACTTGCCCAACTTATCCAATTTACACAACTTATCCAAGTTCTTTACAATTTATACAGCTTCGGCGTGAAAAAAAAAAAAAAAAAAAGAAGCCCAATGGGCATAGTAGGCGACATATATTACACTAGGTGTAGAAAAAGCAAAATAAGAATATATGAGAAACATATAACGTTGCAACGAATAATCAAAACTTATTTTAAAAAAAAATGCAAGAAAATTAAAACTGAATTGGGGAGATTCACTTAAGGGAATGATCTTAGGTGCCCACAAGCAAAAGGAGAAAAGACAGGGGAGAACTGCCCATGGAACACCACAGCGAGAAAAAAAAAAAAAAATAATAAATATATAAATAGCTTATAAGGGGGTAAAAAAATTATGAACATGCAGGTAAAATAACTGCACAAACACCACATAATGGATAAAAAGGGGAGAAAAACATATAAATAATCGCGTAGTATTACAAAGATTTATCTTATTTTTTTTATTTGTTCTATTTTAATTCAACATCAATGGAACAAACATGTGGGAGACGCCCCGCTAACATAGACAAGCATATCTGAGCACGGGGGGGGGGATAATCGTAGTTTCCCTTTCTTTGCACAATTGACAATCCTTCACCCTCTCGTTCCACTTATTTATTTAAGTACTTACTTATGTACTTATGTATTTATTTTATTTATTTATTTAAAAAAAAAATTTTTTTTCCTTCGACCCTTTTTATGAACAAAACTGAGAGATGCATTGCTTAGGGACTCTCGAAATTGGCAAGAACTCTCTATCTTTTCAATTCCTTCAATATCTTCAATTCCTTCAATTATTTCAATTTCTTCAATTTCTTCAATTTCTTCAATTTCTTCAATTTCTTCAATTTCTTCAATTTCTTCAATTTCTTCAATTCCTTCGATTCCTACTCTTGCTGCTCTCCCCCAAACATACCCTCACAGCAACTCCGTTATGTTCATGGGCATCTCGTCAATCTGCGTGGAGTAGTACTGTTCAATGTCCCTTAAAATTTTTATATCATCATTTTTGACAAAGTTGATGGCCACTCCCTTTCTGCCAAATCGACCACTTCTACCAATTCTATGAATGTAGCTCTCTCTAGAATTGGGCAAATCATAATTAACAACAAGGGAAACTTCCTGCACATCCAGACCTCTACCCCATATATCCGTAGATATAAGAACTCGAAATTTGCACTGTCTAAATTTCAACATTATATCATCTCTTTCACTTTGACTCATTCCTGCATGAATTTTACAAACGGTAAAATTGGATTCTTGCATTTTTTTTGCCAACCAATCTACTTTTAATTTTGTGTTGCAAAAAACAACTGCTTGTGTAATGGTTAAACTTTCATATAAGTCAGCAAGTGTTTCATATTTCCATTGCTCTTTTTCAATAGAAACAAAGAATTGTTTAATTCCTTCTAAAGTTAATTCATCTCTTTTCACTAATATCTTCACAGGCTTGTGCATAAATTTGTTCGTTATTTCTAGTACCTCTTGTGGTAGTGTAGCTGAGGATAGAACAATTTGAGTATTGGGTGATAAAAAGCGATAAATGTCATAAACCTGTTCCTTAAACCCTTTGTTTAACATTTCATCTGCTTCATCAATAACTAATTGTTTTATATATTTACATTTTAAATGTCTCAAATTTAACATATGATAAATTCTCCCTGGAGTTCCACTAATAACATGTACTCCATTATTTAATGCCTTAATATCATCACTCATTTTTTTCCCTCCAATACAACAATATATAGTTACATGTATATAATCTGCTAATGCTAAACATACCTTTTGTGTCTGTTCAGCTAGTTCTCTTGTGGGAGATAATATGATTACTTGTGTCTCACTTAAGTTCCTATTAACACAATTTAATGCACCAACAGCAAAAACACATGTTTTCCCTGTACCACTTTGACTCTGTAAAATCACATCTCTTCCATTTAAAATTGGTTTTATTCCTCTCTGCTGAATAGCTGATGGCTTTTCAAATCCGTATGCATAAATTCCTCTTAACAATCCTTCATCAATTCCTATGTTTTCAAAACTGTTGCATATTTCGTACTGTTCTGAAGTCTTATAATATTCCTCCTTTTCCTTTTCCATTTTTTTTTTTTTTTTTTTTTTTTCTTTCTTTCAGTTGTTCAAATAGAAATGGGACAACGTGGAAGATACTCTCGTCCAAATGGGCTCCCCCCCCACCCCCAAAATAAAAATAAAAATAAAAATAAAAATAAAAAAATATATATATATATATATATATATATATATATATATATATATATATATGAATGCATATATGGACCTACCTATATGGTGGGGGGAGATCAAACACAACTGTTTGTCGGCTATATATATATATATACTTTCTTCGTTTTGGAATAATCATTTTTTTCATTCTTGTAAGGGGAAAAAAAAAAAATTATCCCTTTCGATTGGCATTTCCCCTGGGTTCCATTCTCTCTTTCGTTCGTTCGTTCTTCTTTCTATCTATCATCCATATATATTTCTATATATCTATATATCTGCTTATGTATCTATTTTTTTTTTTTTTTAAATTTTCTACAATCTGAACTTACACAAATTGGGAGCCAGACTCGAAAGAGAAATAAGTATATTCTTGGGTGAGTAAAGTGGGAAAGAAAAAAAAAAAAAAAAAAAAAAAAAAAACAAACAAAAAATAAAAAAAAAGAGCAAAAAAAAAAAAAAAAAGCAAGCAAACCTTTAATTAGTTATATATATAATTATGCATATGTTATTTTCTCACTTTTTTTTTTTTTTTTTTTTTTTTTTTATTATGTTTGTTTCTTATTTATGCGTGAGTAGGCCTCCGTGCGAATGTTTTGTCCTAACATAGAATAGAAGCATGGGTGATGGAAAATGGAAAAATCAAAAGGCTGATCGAGCGGCGCTTAAATATATATACATTGTTATGTAGTTTAATTATTTGAAAGTGCATATATGCAAATACATATATGCAAGTACACATATGCAAGTACACGTATTCAAGTACACGTATTCAAGTACACGTATTCAAGTACATATATATTCACATACTTTTTCTTGCTAAGTTAACCGTTTGTCCTTGGCTCTATAGTGGTATAATGTGCCCTTATTTTTTTTTTATTCTATCTCACAAACTCTAATTTTAATTCATTCAGTTTTCAGCACGAAGATAAAATATGGTTCTTTCTTTCTCTGCTTAGCCACTTATATGTGATCTTATTTTAATGCTCCTCTTAAAGGGATGGGAAGGTGCAGGTGGAATGTGGTTCACTGTTTTCACAAAATAGGTACATACACTGAGATAAAATTTGTTGATCTGTGATGATCTCAACAAATGGTAGAAATGAAATAAAATACTGGAAAAATGTAGAAAAAAATGACAATAAATCCGTAACAACACACTAACCAAACCCATCGCCACGAAAATTTACCAAAGTTGGGTCAAGGCAAGGCGCAAAAATGTGAACAACTCTATATAAGGGGACCCCTAATATTTTTTCAAACACAAGAAGAAAATAAAAAAAAAAAAAAAAATAAAAATAAAACCTAAAAGTATCCAAAAAAATTCCTAGTGCAAGGGGAAAAAAAAAAAAAAAAAAAAAAAAACCTAAAAGAATCCAAAAAAATTCCTAAAAAAAAAAAAAAAAAAAAAAAAAAAAAAAAAAAAACCAAAAAAAATCCAAAAAAAATCCTAGTGCAAGGGGAAAAAAAAAAAAAAAAAAAAATAAAACCTAAAAGTATCCAAAAAAATTCCTAGTGCAAGGGGAAAAAAAAAAAAAAAAAAAAAAAAAAACCGCTAAACGCACCAAGTTTTATTATTTCCCTAAGGAAAGTGTTTCGGGGGAACGGCACATATCCCATTTATGTACAAAAATTCATGTATATCCATTTGAATGTGATTGCATAAAAGTGGAAAACAAATTTCTTTTTGCTGTCACACCGGTTGATTTTTACTCTGTTTGGATCACTCGATTGGCCTCACATTTTTTCGTCACTCGATTTGCCTCACCTTTTCGCCCCTTCTGAGTGGAACCCCTCAAGCGCACTCCTACTTGAATACATGAAATGAAATCCCACGTGTTAGCTCCATAAGAAAAGATAACGAAAAGTGTGTCTCCCAATTTTCCATTTCTCCAATCACGACCCCATGTGAAGAAGTATATTCGCAAAATTTTTTTTTTTTTTTTTTTTTTTACGAAAAAGAAGGAAATAAATACGTCCTCGGCATTACCCAAACACAATCTGAATTACATTGAACATCTACTGAATCGCTCATGCATGAATAAGAACCAACAGACCCACTACACACACACCCTTCAACATTTACAGAAAGTGGAATGAAATCTCATGAATAGAGACTCTATAGTTTTTTTCTCCCAGCGATTTTTCTTCCCTATTAGTTGTGTTTCTACCAATATATATATTATCATCATTAACCCGTTCGCACACAGGGAAAAAAAGTGCCAAAACAAGTGATATTATACATTCTCCACTCATGGCATTGACGACTGATTATTCAAATCTTAGCGATGTTATTTATCAAGTGCCACAGTCTTCCTCTATATACCAGAAAGAGAAATATTATACACAAAAACAAAATGACCATTTTTATAATATTCAAAAATTTATGTGTTTAGGTAGTACCATAAGTGATGATACAAAGTATGATGTTGAAAAAATACTGAACGAAGGAAATAAAAAATGTAAAGAAATATTAACAGACACATTTAAAGTTTTAGGTTATAAATACAGCACAACAAACAATAATGATAACATCAAGTTTATCAACCTCTTTCACGACAATTACTCTAACTTATTCTATTGCATGCACTTACATAATGATGATAAAAAGTGCAATTCTTTATTCAAACATTTTTATGAAACTATTAATAATAACAATCTTCACGACAAGTAAATATTTTGTTCCTCTTTCGATCAGCCAAATGAATGGAAAATCCTAATCCATTTGGATATGTACAGAGAGGTGCAAAAAAAAAAAAAAAAAAAAAAAAAAAAAAAACATACACTGTCCTAATTTTTTATTTTATCTCTTCCCTTGCCCCGTGTTTATACCAACAACATCTAAATGTATACCCCACACACACACACACACCCCTCTATACAACCACGTGTTCATCCGGAATTGCATAAATTTTGTGTAAAAGTAATATATATAAACAACTCGTGAATCATATAGTGTAACAAATTGTGAACAAGTTCTTTTCACGTGAATCATACAGTGTAACAAATTTTGAACAACTTTTCACGTAAACCATTTTTTTTTTTTTTTTAAATTGAAAGAGTCTCAAAAAGTGTTGTTTTTTTTTTTTTTCATACAACTATGAATAAGCTTCAAAAAGGAGGAAACAAATATGTATAAAGCAAAAAAAAAAAAAAAAAAAAAAAAAAAAAAAAAATTATTTTCACTGAAACTTTTTTTTTTTTTCCCCCACTCCCACACCCTACAACACTAAGTGTAACGCCCAAATAAATACGTAAATGTGACATATCTACAAGTGCATAAATTGGAATACTAGCAAAACTGGAAAAGATATAATGTCTGCATGCATGAATAGGAGTGTCTAAATTACACAGATGTTTCCCCCTCCCTTCTCTGTCCCTTTTGTTCCATTTTCTAACACAACCAAATGGAGAGACATCGAACGAAGACAATGTGAATGTGAGTGGATTGGGTTCGATATAATCACCCCTATTTTTTTCACTTTTTCTGTCCCTTTTTTTCACTTTTTCTGTCCCTTTTTTCACTTTTTCTGTCCCTTTTTTTCACTTTTTCTGTCCCTTTTTTCACTTTTTCTGTCCCTTTTTTTCACTTTTTCTGTCCCTTTTTTCACTTTTTCTGTCCCTTTTTTCACTTTTTCTGTCCCTTTTTTTCACTTTTTCTGTCCCTTTTTTTCACTTTTTCTGTCCCTTTTTTTACTTTTTCTATCCCTTTTTTCACTTTCTTTCTGAAAACCTCTACCCGTGTGGGGAGAAATTATGCCACTTGGATGGCGAACTCGTACTCCTGATCACATCCCACATAACTGTCATTTATGACATAAATGACTACGTCATAAAGTCCAGGTTTATCAGGCAATTCAAAATTAAGTTTCACATTGTTGATCGGTTTGAGAAGGGAGAGTTTTTTTATGGACAAAAGAAGGTTCATTTTTTTAATTCCAATCACAATCCACCAGAGTTCTTCCTTCTGGAATGGGAGGTAAAGAGAGTGTGCAAAAATATTGGCCATAGATGATGATGTGGTGTCATCATCAGCCAAATCTCTCTCAATAATCAAATTTAAAGTTGCAACTTGATTGACTTTGTACAGTTTTGTAAGATCAATATCATACTGGACTTGGATCACTGGAAATATGTTACATATATTTGCTATTTCACTTTTTTGATTGACATTTAAACTAAGTAGTAACTCTTCCCGTTGTTCATCTTCAGCATTAATCAAATCATACACATCTAAAATTTCTAACTTCTTAGCTTTTTTAATTAAATCTTCATCAAAATGTGGAAGCTGCTTCAGATTAGACTCATCTGTACTCTTCATACTTTGTGTAAGAATTTGGGATACTTCCATAACAAATAAGCAAAAATTTAAAATATTATTACTACTAATAACATCAATAAGTGCATTAATTAATTTAAACGATTTTTGTAATACTTCTTTAGTTTCTTCAATATAACTTATAGGTATACTGTATCGATTTAAATGAGCTTGCAATATTACTAATGCTTTCAAATTGGGTGTAAAATACATAGGGTTGATAACAAAGTTCATCAAATTTATGCACTCTTCTTTTTTATTATTCTTTTCTTCTTCCTCTTCTGCTTTAGAAGTGCTTCCTTCCCCAGCAGAATCAATTCTCTTTGTCTCAGTAAAATTTTCATTGCTTATGGATAACTTAAAGAACTCAGAACTTACCTGCACATTACACGTTTGGGCTATCTTCACACATAGGAGAATATCATAGTTTGATATATTCAACACTTGTTTAAAAACATTTGACAAACAAAGTATTTCTAAAATTCTGCTTTTTTTTAACCCTTTCAAATTTAATATGTATTGATTAAAAAAATGAACAACATGGTAATCCAAGTTGTAGTATGATGAAATAATTCCAAGATTACATGGTTTAATTACAACTCCTCCACCAGTTTGAGTTTCTCCTCCTGCTCCATCATTTGATATTCCACTCTTATTCTCATTCTCTTCAATAGTTATACAATTGGCAAAGGAAAGAAGTTCCATATTGCTTTCAATCAATTCTGATAGATAATCTGATATGTGTTCATTTGATATACCCTTTAACCCATAATAATTTGGATTCTTCTTAATTCTTCTATAAAAAAAGGTCCATGTTAACCAATCAATAGCATCTTGATAATTTTCAATCGTACTCATAACAATTTCATTATTCAAATAATTAGGAATAAAATCTTCTATACTAGATTCAACAGTTAATGGTTCATAAATAAAATTCTTATAATACTCCTTCTTTGTTATGTAGGTATATATATAAACAAACGATTTGGTATCTTCTCCTTCTCTACCAGCATAACTTAACATTTCCAACACACTCTGAATTGAATAATCCTCTTCTTTCCCATCAAAATGGGTAATTACAGTGTCCAGAAGTATAACTGTATTTCCATACACATTCAGCATATACACATAATCATGTGGAACTATTAAAATTTGTATACCTTTCTTATCAAATAATGCCTCCACAATCTTCCTATCCGTTTCACTCATGTTCTTGTGTACATATCCAACTCCCTTCTTCATCAATTGTGTTAGCACTTTGTCTTGCACATGCTCGAACAGGAGTTCTTTCTCCCGTTCGCACTTCTCTGCACCGACATCACTTCTACTTCGACATCTACCACTGTTCGTAGTAGTAGTATTACTACTACTACTACTACTACTGCCCAAGGACGAGTAAAATTCCAATCCCTCATTGCTCGCAGAAAGAACCAAATCTAAGGCCAGAGTCTTGCACATTTTATTTTCTGTCACAAAAATTATTACGTTCTTCTTCTTCTTCAACTTACAAACTGTTTGATACACCTGCCTCTGCATCGAGAGGTATCGATTCTGTATATTCATTATGCTCACTGCGTGCAGGTAAATTTCGATGGGGATACTTCTAACACTTGACAAAAAATTGTAATAATCATTCTTTTTGCATCCGATCCATTCCCCCATATCCTTACAATTGTTTATCGAACAGCTAGCCAGGCACAAAATTCGGTTCGATCCAATATTCTCATACACGTCTTCCATGCTTAAGTGCTGCAGTTTGTTCAGGCTGTGTATTGCTTTACGTTCGTCATCACGGCCAGAACCACCAACATTGCCAACCATGGCAACCTCTTCAGCGGAACGCATTTCTTCCCACTCATCAACCAAGTTCAACGTGACAAATGAAGGAATCTCTGGAACCATCATCATATTGGATTTCTCGTCGAGGGAATCAACAGATAACGAATGGATGTGGTGACCTTTTCTTCTTCCTTTGTGAGATTTTCCCATCTGCATCTGAGTTGATATATACCTAACACGACTAATTACAACTTCCATTATGGATCCTTGAGCACTGTCCAGTAGTTCCATATGATCAAAAATGTACAAATTAATATTTTGGAAAATTTTTTTTCTTCTCCATTTTTTGGATATATTATCATACTTCTCAGGAGTGCATAAAATGATATTATTTTTTTGTAACAATTTCATATCAATTTGTACATCTCCAGTTAAAACTACCATTTGTAATCCAAACGAGTTTGCAAAATTTATCCAATTCTGAAATGTTTTGAAAACAATATCATCTAGTGGGGTAATATAAACTACCTTGATAAATTCTACAGGGTTGTTATATGCAATACTTGCAATATTCTTGTTACTCATGATTTTTAACAAATCTTCTTCTTTCTTAATAAATTTTCTCAAAAACATTTTTAATTCACTTACACATTTTACCATTCTAAGAATACACAATTCAGCTGATATTAAGTAGTAACGACAAGCAGAACTGCAAATTATGACATTCCCACTGTTTTCATATACTGATGAAAATACCTGTGTATGAATTGGATTAAAATGTTTCATGTTTCTCCTCTTTAAGAAAAAATCCTTTGCATCCTCAAATTTTAAGGAAGTCACTGGAAGTGCTTGTAAATCTAAAAGTGGAGTTGAGAAAAATGTTTTTGGTGGCAAAATTATATCCTTTAGATATAAATTAATTGTACTTTCACATTCTAACCATTTATCAGATACCACTTTTACAATATAAAATGGATTTTCATTTATTGGGACAAAGAAAGTTAATAAATGATCATCCAAACTGTCAGATGCATGCATGTGATGGTGATCTTTCGATTCATTCAATTCATAACCTCCACTGATAAATGCACTTGCATCAGATTCGGAACCAATAAAGGATGTTCCATATCTACTACCACTCCTCTTTAGAGTAAACAAATCATAGTGAAGCATGGTTTCATTAGAAATGTCAAATACAAAAATCCAAAAAAGCATAAAATATCCATGGTATTTTGGATTGTAAATAAAATCAGGGGTTATATTTAATTCTACTTTTAACATTTTATGATTAATTGGTTGAATGTAGGCATTTAATTCAATTTTTGGAAAATGGTGCACTAACTTGTACACATTTTTTGCAATTTTTTTATTTTTAAAAATAGTTATGTACTCATTTAGACTCATATTTATGTAATTCTTAAATGTGATATTTTTCTTCTCTATAATTCGAATCAATTCATTACTTAATAGACCAAACTGTCTTAAAGGAGACATAGTTCCCCACATTCTCCTCTCAATCATTTTGGAAAATTTTAAAGTAAGTGCAGTTAAACTGTAAGAATTTTTTTTTAACGAAATTTCGAACAAGGATCTAAAAATTCTCAAAGCATTCTGTTGAATGTATACCAAATCTGCATTGATGACATATCCACCTAATGTTATATTTGAAAGATACAACTGTAGCAGTATGTTTATCTTTGTATATGGAATGTTTATTGATTCCTTCACTGGGATTGGTAACTTTTCCATAATGGTCTGTAACTCTACTTTTTCTTCTTCTCTAACGAATATATGTTTAAATTCATCACTCATTCCAAATACCTTTAACAGTTCTATTTCATTCGTATGTTTATTCAACTTTTTATTATACAAATCTATTGATCTATAATCAATGTAGTAGTAACTACTGATTTTCCCAATATATGTACTACTAACTGTGTTTAATTTCTTATTATATTTTATCAAATCATATTTTTCAAGTATTAAAAAAGCAGAATAAATTATGCTATAAATTTTCTTATTTATTTTTTCCATGAACAAATCTGCATTTTTCCACATCTTTTTCATATTTTCTCGATTTTCTAAAAATTCTGAAGAATCCATTTTTTCAGTCATCTCCAATATTCCATATAAACACGGGTTCTTCATCATACGTATGTACAGATATGTGTAACGAAACCAGTCTACAGCTTCTTTAAAATTTTGAATATTTTTTAAAACAATTTCAGAATTTATCACATTAACAATATTACTTAGTAGAGTCGATTCTATGAATAACTGCTCATTATTTAGAGAAAGGTATAATTGCAAATTTCTGTGATCTGTTATTATTATAGCCTTGCCACTCTTATCATACTGTGGCCTTCCTGATCTTCCAACCATTTGAAGTATATCCATGGGAGACAATTCATCAAAATCACCAATGTTGATGTTGTATACACTCGTCCCTTTTATAATAACAGTGTGTGCTGGAAGGTTTATACCCCATGCTAATGTACTTGTTGATACAAGAACTTGTAAATGTCTATCCGAAAATAAATCTTCTACTAATTTTCGATCTGTTCTTTTCATACCTGCATGATGAATGCCAAATCCAAAAGAAAGAATTTCTTTCAATTCATCATTCACTATAGCTTCTTTTTCTGATAGTAAAATTTCACTCGAAATTTTCTTCCCCATAAGAAATCTACTTAAATTGTCACTCTTCATAAATTTATCAATTAATATTTTTGCTGTTCGATATGTTTCTTTTCTGCTATGAACAAAAATAAGTATTTGATTTTTACCAGCTTCTTCTAAAACCTTTTCATATGTCACCTCATTCATCAATGCATACTTTTTAATTCCTTTCTTTTCCTTTAGTCCTATGTAATGCTGTTCCAATTGTACCGGTCTAAATGAATAATCAAAATAAAACACACCTCTCTCCAAATTCGCACGCAAAAAAATTCCTACATCTTCATAATTTGGAAGAGTTGCAGAAAGACCCACTAATCGAATCTTCCTTTTCTGAATATTACTTAAATTATTTGAGTTACTACTACTTCTGCTAGGGTTCATCATACCACCCTTTGCACCATCATTTCGGATTCCATGAGGATTGTTCTCCTCTTCCTCCCCCTCCTCAGTACCCAATACAACACCCGAAGTTGACATGTCAAACACAAGAGTGTTGTCTACATATCTGTTAATGCGACTAATAATACTCTCCAATACATTACCACGTTGTTCATTAAGCAAATGAATTTCATCAAAAATAATCAACTTGATCTTTTGCAATAATATTTTTTCATTCCACTTACGACTTATAATTTCAAATTTTTCTGGAGTCATAACAATAATTTGACTTTCATCAATTTCTTTACTACTCAAATGTACATCTCCTGTTAATTCACTAACCTTAATATTTAAACATTTTAATCTCAGATTGAATGATTGTACTTGCTCATTTACCAATGCTTTCATTGGAGAAATGTATACAATTTTAAAATTTTTTCTTTCAATGTTACCACTCCGTAATCTATAACTGTTAATAACATTCAAAATACATAACAGAGCAATGTTCGTTTTTCCTGAACCTGTAGGAGCACATATTAGCATATTTTCATCATAATTCTTAAATGCTACTTCATATACTTTTGATTGTATTGCATTTAATTTTTTTATATTCACACATGTAAACACTTCTTGGCTCCATTCAGGTAGGTCATTTACACTGATTAATTTTATATCATCTGGGTTTGTAAAATAATTTCCTTTTCTCTTATCAGATGAATCATTATTCCTACTATTGTCTTTGCTTCTTACACTTGATATTATTATTTCATCATATTCTTTACGCTCTATTCGAGTGCTTTCAGTTGGCAAAATAACTTCTTGGTTAAAGAAATCTCTTCCTTTTTCCTTTCTTTCCATTTTTTCAAGATCTATGTATTTCGCCCTAAATTCTTCTGCACACATTTCCCCTTCACCCCCTTGTTCTTCTCCCTCTACAATACTCCTTTTCTTCTTTCTGTTCTTCATCTTCACATTTACCTTTTTCCTTTGTTCGCTTTGCTTCGGCCTCTCCGATGGCTCGTCTTCCTCTTCCTCCACTTCGTCTTCTCCATCTTCGTCTCCTCCATCATCGTCTTCTCCATCTTCTTCTTCTCCATCTTCGTCTTCTCCATCTTCGTCTTCTCCTCCCTCCTCCTCCTCCTCCTCCTCTTCCCTCTCATTTTCTTCCCCTTCGTGTATGAACTTCCCACCCTCAAGGAGTCCCTGCTCGCTCACATGCTCATACCTTCGACTACTAAACAAATTGTCTGCTTCTCTCCTCATCGTTTTCGCGAATTCAATTTGCTTATTTCTCTTTTGAGCTTTAAAATTTGACAGTTCTTGTAATATTTCCTCGCCTTCTTCGCTTTTTTTCATATGTTCCATAATATTTTTCTTCTCTTTCTCTGTTTGTGCCTGACCAAGCAAGGTGCAATAGTAAATTTTCCACCTATTTTTTATTAACAATTTAGCCATAGGAAAATTCTCATATTTCAAAATATGAACCAGTTTATTTTCACATTCTTGTATATCATAAATCTTCAAAACTTTTAACACTTCCTTTTCTTTCTCTAAACAAAGTGATGGGTCGCTAAATACTTTGTTTAGTTCTCTTTGTAGCCAATGTGCATCAATCAAATTTGCTTCCAATTCATAATCTTCTGCATCTTTCTTTTTTCCTCCTATATCTTTATTCATATTTCTCAAACTCAAATGCTTTTCCTCTTTATCTTGCTTTCTTTTCAAAACTCCAGGTAGGGCTCCAATAATACCTACTTTAGAACTTTTCTTTCCTCTGCTTTCTCTGGAAGAAATCGTCTTTTTCTCACTCGCATTCTTCTTTCTTTCTTCCTCTGCCTCTTCTGCTTCGTCTCTGCCATCATCTTCTTTCTCTTCCATTTCTTCCTTCTCTTCTTCCTCTTCCTCTGCTTCCTCTTCTTCTTCTTCGTCTTCCTCCTCTTCCTCCTCTTCCTCCTCTTCCTCCCCTTCCTCTTCTTCTACTTCCCCATCGTGATAGTCATCACTGAATTCGTTGGTGCTGGCAACATCATCATGATTTATTTTCTCCCCGTTTCTCTCTTTCCTACTCCTGCTGTAATCAAAATATTCATCATCTTCCTCAAAAACAACAGCAACCCCTTCCTCATCATCTACCTCTTCCAGAACCTCTTTTTTGTTAAAATCATAAATTTCCCTGGCACAATTATTCAGGTCAATAAAATGTTCATCGCTCATAGTAGACAGTTCGAGTGCATTTTCCACTTGTGCTTTTTTCTCTTCATTTGTTAAATTTTCATTTTTTAAAATATATAAAATTTCATTACATGCACTGTTAATAATGTCTCCTGTATTATCACCAATCAAATTTCTAACGATACCCATAATGTTACAAAATATTTTTTCTGTGTACTTTGTTGTAGGTTTATACATAAAGATATCTTGTATATTAATATTTAAAACACTTTTTTCCTTTACGCTTCTACCACCACTTCCTCTCTTTAATCTCTTTCTCTTGGAATCAAAAAAAAGATCCTTCCTTTTATTGCTTCTTCTAAACGATTCTTTATCTTTATTCTTTTCCCTACCTGGTTTTGTATATTCTACTTTGTCTCCCATTTTGTATTTCAACTTTCCAGCCAAACTTTCACTCTCCCCTGTGGGCTCATTGAAGTTAGGCACAGGCCCTTCCCTCTGTAGCACAAGATTTGAGTTCATGCGGTACTCGAACCGCTTATATTTTTCATACTCCTCTGCCATGGTGCTTCTAAATTATGAATCAGGACAAACGGATGGGTCCACAGGACAAGGAGGTAAAAAATTTCCTCTTCCCAAGCCACTTCACACGTTCAAATGATGTTACGTGGTGTGTTGTTAAGTGGTGTGATATTATGCTGTGTGATTTTATGCTGTGTTATATTAAGCTGCGTTACATTAAGCTGCGTTACATTAAGCTGTGTTATATTAAGCGGGGTTTTCTTAAGGGACGTGATGTTATGCAATGCCAAATGATGCGAAGTAAAAACTATTTACTCTCCTAAGGATTAGCACGAATGTATATGCACAAGATACAGTACATGGCAAATATACAAATTTATGGCTAAGTAAGCTCCTAATACAATCTATTTATATGTGTACATATTATACATATATTCATTCTGGGTAAAAAAAAAAAAAAGTGTTCGAGATAGAGAACGAGATAATTCGAATTATGGGCTGATATATAGAAAAATGCCCATTCGAATCAATAACTACATGGAAGATTTATCATTCCATCACAAGCCTTTTAGATTTAAAAAAAAAAAAAAAAAAAAAAAAAAAAAAAACTTACATTTGCAATAAGCAACACGATCTAAACGCATACATATATAATATATACATAAGCGTAACACAACAATTGATAATATGGTGTGGTTCGTATGTTTTGCTTAATTGTTACATACTCTCATACGTGCACTATTGGCACGGTTATTTTTTTTTTATTTTTTTCCTTTCGTTGCTGTATATCCTTAATCCATGCTATAAAAAAATACATCAATTATTAAGTAGCTAGGCTAAATTGGAAAAAAATAAAAATTGCCTCCTAACAAAGTAGTTAAAAGAGGAGAATATTATTTTTTCCTAACAATTGCCTTATTTATTATTATATATTACACCCATTTGAGGGTTTAACGTTTCTAGAAAAAAAAAAAAAAAAAAAAAAAGTTACATTTAACAAATGCATGAGAAGGAATTACTCTTAGTTGGGACATTGCACGTGTTTTCTGAATTGCCTCGGGTAATAAGTTCCACTTTCCATACCCAAATTGTACATTCATCCACTTCAGAATCAGTTTTTGAATTCCTCTTATGTACAAGTTAGTATTTTCATTTGTGCGACATTTGTAAGAAGTGCATACCAAGGGGTTTATCACCCGTGTATGCGCTCATGCAAAAAAGGTATTAAAAAAGAATGAAAAATAGAAAAAAAAAAAAAAAATCCACAATAAAGAGAAATTCGCGACAGCAAGTAAACTTTATTAAAATTTTCTTTTCTTATCCTTCATTTTACAAAAAAAATACAGCCAGTTTTTTTTTTTTTTTTTTTTTCATAACTGTCCTTTTAAGTGCGTATTTTACAAGAATATTTGTGTACATTTATATGTGTTTATTTACATGTACATAATTTTTTTTTTTTTTTTTTCTTTTTTTGTTCATAAAAATATGTTTCCTCATTAGCATTTGGAATTATTTCACCTGTGTACCTTTTTTTCTTGTGTCATATCTTCTTCTTCACTTATATGACAAGTACACACCGTCACAACAATGACTAGAATGCAAATGAACAAAGCAAAAAGATTATGAGGAACTGAATTATTCAGGTGATAGTAGTAATCTTTTGCATTCATATAATAAAGGATAATTCTGCTGTCCCCTCAAATGTTTCTGATTATTTATCTACAGAGAGCATCATTTTGCTGTAATGAAAATTATTTCCTTTCATAACACGTTTCACACAACTTTCAATTGGGTACACTGTACTAAAACTAAGGAAGGAAAAGAAACAAAACAGAACAAAAAAATAAAAAAAAAAAATAGCCAAGGTATATATAAATACTGGTTATTTTTTTTTTTTTTACCGCCTTTTCATACCCACCAAAGAAGAAAAAAAAAAAAAAAAAAAAAAAAAGAGGAGGTCTAAATTGAATTGTCCTCTATATTTTTAATACAAAATAATATAGCACTATTTTGAGGAACTCTGAAATAATATGTAAAAAACTCACGCCATCACGCGAGGGCGATATATATCTAAATTGTTACTGCTTATTCCCACATGTGTTTCATAAGGCTTACATGTTTCTTTTTTCTTCCTTTTTTTTTTTTTTTTTTTTTTTTCCCATTTCTAAAAAGTCGAAAGAGTTGTTTTGTTCAACATGGGAGAGAAGATCATTTTTTTTCACCTGACCTGTCAGGTAAATCATTTCCATTTTTTCACCCTAATAGCAACACGCCATAGTTTTATCCCAATCAAACACACACACATACACAATGCTTCTTAATAAAATTTTAATAAAGTTAACACATACCTTAAAATAATATAGTTTATAATGATATCTTATTTCATAACACAAAATCAGAGTTGTCTCCATCCTTCATGCGTGTTCTTGCATTCACTATAAAATCACACATCCATGGATTGGCTCCTGGATAATTTTAAACTATTTCAAAATATGCAAGCATAGGAACACAGGTAAAAAAAAAAAAAAAGGTAAATATATATATATATATATATATATACTTATACATATAAAATCCACATGTTGAAAAAGAAAAAGTACATCTCACAAATAAGAACAGTTTTCCAACTTTGCTTATTCATACAAAAATGCAGAAGAAAAGCTATCTTTTAAATTCTAGCGGTCTTATATGTCAGGAAAATCTTGGAACGCGTCCCATTTGGGGTTCCATATGTTTCCAAGTCGTAACCCTCTATATACATTTTTACATAGTTCCAAAAAGGGCACTGGATGTATTCAGAAGGGTTATTACTATCAACATTGTTACGTTCTTCATGTTCTAAAATTTCTACTGTTCTACCACTTCTCCTGTTCTATAACTTCTCCTGTTCTATAACTTCTCCTGTTCTACCACTTCTCCTGTTCTATCACTTTTCTCCTGTTCTACCACTTCTCCTGTTCTACCACTTCTCCTGTTCTATCACTTTTCTCCTTTTGTACCACTTCTCCTGTTCTATCACTTTGCTCCTCTTGTACCACTTCTCCCGCTTCCCTTTTCATCGCTCCGAGTGGACGAACTAAAAGTTTACTCTTTGTCCAACTTGTACACCTTCTTATTAATGTACCTTGCAAAATTGTTAATTGCATTTTCCCCTTTTGTTGTGAGACGTCTTCCCTTTTTCTTTGGATTTTGTTCTACATAACCTAAATTTTCTAGCTGTTGCAAAATAGATCTTAAAATTTTTCCACTAGCTAAACTGGTATGATTTGGAGCAACACCTCTTCTCTGTTTATAACTATAATGTCTTCTTAAAAATCCTACTCCTATATCTGGATTTAAATATAGCTTTCTCAAAATACTTGATGCTTTAATAAAGTACCAATCATCATTTAATGGGGCTAATTTTCTTCCCTTTCCTGTTTTGACAAAGTTACACCATTTTGGAAACGTTATTTTATTATGCAGTTTTAAATGATTTGCATATAACTTGATAAACAATTCTGCATCTACATCTTTTATACAATTGTTCGTTCTAACGAAAGGAACGGGTTCTAGTAGCCTCCTGTTCACAACTCCTATATCTTCAGTGAATTCTTCTGCCTACGATGGAAAGTAATAAAGAGATGGGTGGTGGTGGTGGTAGATGTGCATATATGTACATATATGAATGGTATATATAACTGCCACTTTCAAGATGCATAAACAAAAAAATAAAAAGTAAACTCATTATGGACTACAATCATAACGAAATTCACAATAGCACACAAGTGCTTATGTATCCAAATCGGTTATGTTCTTATTTTTCCATATGACAAATTTTTACAAAAAAAAAAAAAAAAAAAAAAAATTAGCAGAACATAAAGGGGAAGAGTTGTCACCAAAAACAGAAATGTTAAAAAAGGCTTTCGTAAGGGAAGTTTTCTACACTTATTGTAAAGTATGTATGATTCTTCCATTCATCCCCTCCTCATTCCTCATTTCGATATAAATGTATGACTAAGCCCTGCTTCTCTTGCCCTCCATTTTTTGGGATATCAAATGTGACATGTGCAGTGGCGAAAGTATGAATAAAACGGATAAAACGGATAAAACGAATAAAATGGATAAAACGGATAAAACGGATAAAACGGATAAAACGGATAAAACGAATAAAATGGATAAAACGGATAAAATGGATAAAATGTGGGAACTCAACCAGGATGCCACTTGCTACAGTATCAAATGGGGTCGTGTGCAAAAGTCAGAAGGTTCTACCACTTTAACGTATTTCCCCATATGGCTTTACAGCTTCGCATACACTCGTACATATACTTAACAGAAGAAAAGTAAAAAGCTATATAATTATATATATATGCATAAACACAAGTCGAAAAAGAATCAAACTCCTTTCATTTTTTGAATTACCATTTTTTCTTCTTCAGTTGTATGTGAATAGCTCGTTATTAACAGGATTAACGTGAGTTCTTCAGTTCAGTGTGCGCCAAAAACATTCATAAAATGCTTACATATAAATATATATATATATATGTATATATATAATATATATATGTGCCTGACTTTGTTTCTTAAAAGTAAAAAATATAAGTAAATAAAATATATTTTTTTACCACCTTTAACCTACGGGGTGAGGTAAATAAATTGTTTTGCGAGAAAGAGCAATAAAATTAACTGATTTTATTTTATTTATTTTATTTTATTTTTTTTTTTTTTTTTGTTCTCACAAAAATGTAATATTTATAATTCATATATATATTCACACTATATTTTTTATAGATCCCTCTTATGCATATTTTTAGTAAGAAAAAAGAAGTATTATTTAAGTGCAAATGTCATTATTTTTACATTATTATGTTATGTTATTGTGCCATGATACTAGTTTTTTTTTTTTATTTTTTTTTTAAGTAGAACAGCAAGTTTTGGTAACACGGGGGAGGGGAAAAGGGATGATCCATTTAAGTGTTCAAGCATATATGTAATATACCACATAGAACGTGTCAGTAGCGAAAAGTGATAATATAATTCAATAATATGCATAAATGAAATATATATGTATTTATATATCCTTCGCTTGATATGTTTTTTTTTTTTTTTTTTTTTTTTTTTTTTTGTATGCCACGTAAGTTCATGCCACGTTTTACATAATTCAAGGGTCGCCCGTGCCACAATTTTTTTTTTTTTTTTCTCACAATTGATGTATTACATTTTTGTGATGGCGCTACTATACAGCTCTGTACCGATTATATAACCCAAGTATTACCAGAATAAAAGAAGGGAAAAAAAAAAAAAATAACCCATATAAGTGTACATATAAATGCTTTCATTTTTAACACATTATCTTGTAATAATATAAATCTATTAAGTACACCATCTTGAGATAAACCCCATGCAATGCAGTTCCCCACGGGCATCAACTTTTTTTTTTTTTTTTTTTCTCCTTTTCCTTTTTCATTATTGTGTGGATTGCAACACTAGTACATTTTGTTGTAAGAGGAGAATGCAAAAACAAATAAATCATTTTTTACTTCCCCAGAAATGGGCAATTTTTTTTTTTTTTTCCCTCAATGTTTTCGCGTCACTTATTGGGACATATTTATTAACCCCTATTTTTCCTTTTTTTTTTTTTTTTTTTTTTTTTAGCACAACAAAAAGTACATTGCAGTTATATTTTGAAACAAAAAAAAAAAAAAAAAAGGGGGTTGAGATTTGATCCATGTTTGAATTTTTTGCCAGTTTTTTATAACAGTTTTATTATGAAAAATATTCAGGGAAATTTATAAATAGACAATCTTAAAAATAAGGTGGCTTACCCAGTTTGTGCTGACAAAATAAGAGGCACCACACGTGTATATTTTTTTGTGTTTTACTGCACCCTTTTTGTTTTACTGCACCCTTTTTGTTTTACTACACCCTTTTTGTTTTACTACACCCTTTTTGCGTTTTATTTTATTTTTTTAAAAAGGAGATCCAAGCAGAGTTCAAAGGCTTGATATTTTATTCGCATATTTGGCATTCTACACACAAGGGGTTTGTATTATGCTAATGTCTTATGGGTCATGCACTTGTGTACGCCTTAACGAAATTGCAACAAGAAAAGTGAGAGAAAAATGGAAGGAAATATGCCCAACATTGTAAGTATACTATTTGTGTTAGCGTTAACAAAATTTTACCATTTTAGAGATGCGAAATAAAAAATAGATGTTCCCAAAAAATTGCATTCCTGGAGTGTGAGGGGACGACAAATGTTCGTTGATCCGTTCTTTTCTTACAAACAACATGTGAAAAAAAGGTTAAAAAAAGGCAGAACGAAAAATTAAAGAAAAAAAAAGGAGAAAACAGTTAGCATTGTCGGATTGTGCTTGTCTACATCCCCATCAAATCAATTAACCATCTTAAAAGTGTACACCCTCGCTCTTGTTTAAGAACAATTTTCACCAGAAGAGGGAAAAAAACAAAAAATAATTTAAATCACACAGACGTTTGTACAAAAGTGTATTAACCTCGCCTCCCACCACGCACAAACACAAAAGCCTTTTTCTCTCTCAAATTTCCTTGAAAATTTCGAATCCTACCGTTTTCCCAACCGTTCCAGACCCTTGTGCATACATATATATATATATATGCATATGAATAAAATAAAGATGACAAAGATGAAAGTAAAAATATTGCGTTACCGTTCAAAGCGCCTTTTTATTTAAAAAAAAAAAAAAATCAAAGCAAAGGAATAAAATAAGTATTCGAGTTCCCCACTACCGCTTTTTACTATATGAACATATATATAAAATTAAATATACGTGTGCAGCTGAATTTGTCAAGTGGCAAATGTTTTGTAGTAATATAAATGTGTATGCTCATTTGCACCATTGTGTTTTGTTGCATCCTATTTTATGTACATGTTTATGCATTTTTCGCCACCTTTTAAGGAGTTAAGGATTGTGCAAGGTTTTCATATTTCTACATGTTGCCTCAGGTGTGTATGTGTGGAACAGCTGCTGTCCATGTTGCTTCACGCGGGCATGGGGATAGACTCAAAAAAGCTAACACATACGTCTATATGCCTCTATGCATCTATGCCTCTACGTCAGTATGTGCATGTGTATAAGTGTACGAATTTACGTGTTCACCCACTTATATATTTACATTTATGTGTACATAGGGATGGGTTAAAAAAAAAAAAAAAAAAAAAAAAAGTACATATATATATATATATATATATATACATATGTGTACATATGAATATGCACATTTAAGCATATTCACACGAGGAGTGTTCCCGAGAAGTTCGCTCTCCCTTTTGGAAAAACAGGTAAGGCGGAATGCACGTAGACAATCTATTGGGTTCGCGCAATGTACGTAGGTAATCTACTTTGTGCACTTTTTTTTTTCTACTTTTTTTTTCTACTTTTTTTTTCTACTTTTTTTTTCTACTTTTTTTTTCTACTTTTTTTTTCTCCTTTTTTTTTCTCCTTTTTTTTTTCTCCTTTTTTCTTCTCCCTTTTTCTTCTCCTTTTTTTTTCTCTTTTTTTTTTCTCCTTTTTTTTTCTTCTTTTTTCTTCATTTTTCCCTTTTTATACCTTCTTTCCCTTTTCTACCTTTTTTCCCTATTTTTGCCACACATGCCACGTGCAGAGCTCATTCATATCCCTCGTCTTCTCCTTCTCCCTCATTAGATTCAATGCCAACTTCCTCATAGTCTTTCTCCAAAGCAGCCAAGTCTTCTCTGGCCTCACTAAATTCACCCTCTTCCATGCCTTCTCCTACATACCAATGAACAAAAGCCCTCTTTGCATACATTAAATCAAATTTCTGATCCATTCTTGAAAACACTTCAGCAATTGCAGTGGAGTTACTTATCATACAGACGGCTCTCATAACCTTTGCCAAATCTCCCCCGGGAACAACAGTAGGTGGTTGATAATTAATTCCACATTTGAATCCTGTTGGACACCAATCAACAAATTGAATGGATCTTTTCGTTTTAATAGTGGCAACAGCTGCGTTCACATCCTTAGGTACTACATCTCCTCTATACATTAAGCAACAAGCCATATATTTTCCATGGCGTGGATCACACTTTGCCATCATAGATGCAGGTTCAAAGGCAGAGTTGGTAATTTCTGAAACTGATAATTGTTCATGATATGCCTTCTCTGCACTAATAATAGGTGCATAAGAAGATAACATAAAATGAATACGTGGATATGGAACTAAATTTGTTTGAAATTCTGTTACGTCCACATTTAATGCACCATCAAATCGTAGAGATGCTGTTAAAGAAGAAATCACCTGTGCTATTAATCTATTTAAATTTGTATATGTTGGTCTTTCAATATCCAAATTCTTTTTACATATATCATATATAGCTTCATTGTCTAACATAATAGCTACATCTGTATGTTCTAATAACGAATGGGTTGACAAAACTGAGTTATAAGGTTCTACAACAGCTGTTGATACTTGAGGAGATGGCCAAGAACAAAAATTCAATTTAGATTTTTTTCCATAATCAATGGCTAGCCTTTCCAACAACAAACATCCAAGACCACTACCTGTACCACCACCTACAGCATTGAACATTAAAAATCCTTGTAATCCTGTACAGTTATCTGCTAATTTACGTACTCGATCTAAACAAATATCTACTATCTCCTTCCCGATTGTATAATGTCCTCTTGCAAAATTATTAGCTGCATCTTCTTTTCCAGAAATTAACTGTTCAGGGTGAAACAGCTGACGATATGTTCCCGTTCGTACTTCATCTACCACTGTGGGTTCTAAGTCAACAAATACACATCGAGGCACCTAAAAAAAGGAGGAAAAATAAAATACCGATTAGCACACAACATCGATTGGTTCTGACAAAACCTTTTGACACCCACTAATCCTTGAGGGCGAAAAAATGGAATTTTTTTAAAAAAGTGGAAAATCATCATATATCTATCCATAAGTTACATGCTTCCCAGCTCCAGTCTCTGAAAAGAAGGTGTTGAATGCATCATCTCCACCGGCCACCACTTGATCACTTGGCATCTGTCCATCTGGTTGAATTCCATGTTCTAAGCAAAACAGTTCCCTAGGAAGTGCAAAACAGCGTGTGCAAATAAAATGTGCATCTTCAAGTGCGCATCTACATGCGTGCATCTGCAAATGCTCATCTACATGCGTGCATCTGCAAATGCTCATCTACACGTGTACATCTACATGTGTAGACACGTAAGCATGCATACATAGGCTTATACAGCTTTCCCGCTATATGGGAAGTCTAAACCATGAATATTTCCTCATGAAGGAGAACCCACGATTTTGAACAGCCTTGACGGGTTCAACTAAGCAGATGTGCGCTCGCGTTACGAACGTCTAAAATCTGAGGAATGCAACACACGATAGATTATAAAACACACACATTGTACCCCACCGTATGCAAATACTTAACAAGTAGAAAATTACAACCATGTAGATTATTCCATTTTTACGTCCCACTTGTGTAATATCTGCTAGAATATTACTATATATGTATATGTATGTACATATGTATGCACATGTCTCTTTTTGCTCGCCCTCTTCTTCCTAATTACCAGCATGCGTTTCCAATTTGAATACCAGCTTGACCCACGTGAATGCTAATTACTTCTCTCATTTTTAGAATCTATTAACTGCATTAGAGGAAAGGTAAAACCGTGGTATAAGAAAAAATAAAAAAAAAAAAAAAAAGAAAAAATATATAAAAAGGGAATGAAAAAGTGGAACACAAAGAAGTTATCCTTGGGGATGTACACAAGTGTCAGTTGTGTAATTCGTACGGAATCAGTGAATAAACTGCTTCCTTTAAGTCTGCCTCTGAACAAGCGCTTGTTCGCTTCTTTCTTTGTCTGTGTACATATATACATATAGATGTATCACCACAAATGGACCTTAGAACACGCAAGCAAAAAGCGGTCCTATGTACAGATGTACATGGATCAAAATAGCATGCACAAAAACGGGTTCACAAAAAAAACTGCATGCACAAAAACGGAATCACATAAACACAAACGCACACTTGACAGGTAATCCCCGAAGGAAACGACAAGTTCCTTCCCCCCAATCATACTCTTTTATACCTTTTTATAAACAGTGAAATTCAAAGTGGAACTCAAGGTCGAATTCAAAGCGCAATTCAAAGTGAAATATAAATGCAAAGAATAATAAAAAATTCTTTGAACCCTTTGTGGTGAAGTTTTATTTATCAAATGGAATTTTCTATATAACTGCATGCAAGTAATTTGCTTTGTTACCTTTTTTTTTTTTCTTTTCTTTTTCTTTCTTCTTTATGTAATATGAATAATTTAAATAACACACCTAATAACAAATTTTATTAATACCACAGAGAGAAAAAAAAAAAAAAAAAATTACTTAAGAGAAAAAAAAAATATATAAATAAAAAAAAAAATGTACACATGTTTATACATGCATATAATATATCCATATAGCTGTATTTTATAAAAAAAAAAAAAAAAAAAAAAATTACACATGAAAAAGATATCAAGAGTAAAAATGTTATTAGCACATTTGTGTTCATATAAAATGAAAGTATCATAGCTACGTATCGCTATCAAAATTAAACAAAGACAGATGTGCATTTTTGCACGTAGCTCCAAAGGTAACCTTAAATTTTTTTTCCTATATTAAGTGCGCTGATACATGAGCAAAAGCTACATATAAAAACTTTTAAATATGTACGCATAAGTAGGTGCACATAAATATCTACATATAAATATTTACACATAAATATCTACATGTAAATATGTACACATAAATATCTACATGTAAATATGTACACATAAATATCTACATATAAACATGTATGTGTAAAACACACACATATGTAAACACCTATGTCGAAATACGAGTTGACCAATTAGCCAAATGTGAAATGACGAAGAAAAAAAAAAAAAAAAAAAAAAAAAAAAAAAAAAGGCGTAAAATTCAAAAGCACATGAAACTAGATTACTAACTCAATGGAGAGAAAAAACATTCATTCTTGCATCTATAATTCGCTCTTTTTTTCTTTTTTTTTTTTTTTTTTATGCCATCTCGCTAACTTTTTTTCTTGCCTGAATTCCTTAGAGACAAAAGTATATAGAGTCAGATGTGAATTCCAAAAAAAAAAAGAAATATATAAAAAAACCTTTTTTTTTTTTTTTTTTTTTTTTTTTTTACACGCTTTAGCATTACATGCATAAAGACAATTTTATTCTAAGTGTAGAAAAAGAGACTTATTTTATATTTTTTTCTTATTTTATCTTATTTTACTTATTTATTATTTTTCTTTTGTGTGTGTGTGTGTGTGTGTGTACCCTGGTTTAGGGGGTATTATTTCCTTTCTATGTTTTTCCTTTTTTCTTTAGTTATATTTGAAAGTGAATTACTTTATATGTTTTTTAAGATACAATGATATACAGAAATTGATGAGAAGAAAGGAGGGAGGGGCGAAAAAAAAGGTTCCAAAACCATTCATACGTGAGTCGAAATATGTTCAATGCTGTAGTTTAAGCGGAGATGTAAAATACTTCTAAAGAAAAAAGGGAAAACAAATAATAAAACGTGTAATGAAAATTTTACAATTTTATTATTTTTTTTTTTTTTTTTTCTGAAATATAATAAAGGGAAATTATTCACTTGTATAAACAGTCAAATGTTTGTTCATTATAAGGGGACATCATTCTATATGTGTTTATTTGTAATATTTTGCTTAATCATCATTTTGTTATTATTTAATAATCATTCCGTACCTATTTTATTACTATTTAATAGCCATTTTATTACTATTTTATTATATTTTTTTTATTTTTTTTTCGCCCTATAAATTTATTTTAATCAAAAGTGGGCATAAGCATGAGGAAGGACCCCTCCACACAATACCCCACAAGCCCACATATGCATAAAAACTTTACAAATTTTTTCATTTCTCACGTGGCTATTTTTATTAAGATGGAATCTTTTACAAAACTCAGAAATGCAAACCATAGCCTTCACGTCGCGCTGTATCATGGGTTATCTACTTATATGTATATATATATATATATATATGTATATATATATATATATATGTATATATATATATGTACACGTTTATACAAATGTTAATGTCTCTAAATGAGCAAGATTCCTCATGTACATGTCACTACCTCATGGCCAAGATGCATACATTGTAATTTGAGAAAATGATTCTTCTTTTTACATGTCCGTTTACATCATCTCATATTATTATGCACCTTTAAGTACATGCGTGTGTATGGGAGGGGTGTAAGCATAGATATAATGACATTCTGTGTACTGGATAGACAAGTGTATGTGTGTGTGTGTGAAAGGGGCAAAATAACTCTTCCTTCGAAGATTCAATAAAAATGTTATGCACCTACATTCAGGAGAAACACATTGTGAAATTGTGAATTTCTGTCAAAAAGAAAGTTGACTAGGAATCCTGGCTGTGTGGGCTTTTCCTCTTTTGAAAAGTTACTAGCGAAATGAGTGAATCGGTCATGCGATTAAATTTCTAAAATGTAAAGAACAAAAAAAAAAAAAAAAAAAAAAAAAAAAAACACTACTATGTTCATACTTAGAAAGGACCCAAATAAGGAGTATAGAAAACGAACGGAATATTTTAACATCAAAGTGATAATAAACTGTTCCATATGATAAGCAAAATAAGTGGCATTTCTTTTTTCCCTTTTTATACTCTCCATGTGTATCTTTTTTGGGACATGCAAATTTTTAGCCAAATTGTCTAAATGACTTGTTGATGTTTCGTTAGAAATGGATCAAAATTTTCCTAAAAACGGGGTAGTAATTTAAATTGTATCCATTCTCACCATGCATGCTTGATATGTCCAATATTTATAAAAACAAACAGACAGACAAATAAAAAAATAAAGAAAGAAAGAAAAAATTAAATGAGGGAAAGAACGTATCCTCGTGTATCTTTCTATGTATTTCGTTTGTCTCCCTTTTCTTGTCCTTTTCATTTTTTGACCCATTTTTTGATCCATTTTCCCTGCCTTCGCCGCCTCTCTGCTCCACCTGGATGTTTAACTCATTCGTGTGAAGCAAACTACAGCGGAATCCCAAATTTCCCTTGAGCGAAATGTGTTTTTTTTTTTTTTTTTTTTTTTTTTTTTTATTCTGAACAGTCAGCACAAATACGGAAACAATCTGCAAACACTCATAGAAAAGAGAATTGTTAGAATAAAAAAGGCCCCAATTATTAGTAAAAAAGCTCGTTCCGAAATTATTTTTTTTATATCCATCTTTTTTAAATGGACATACTCTCCATCATTTATTTATCCATAGTCTCATTAATTATGCTTCATTTGTCTATGTTCTTGATAACACAAAAAAGGGTATGCACTTTTATGAACATTCAGGTAGCTCTCAAAATTTGTCTTTTCTTTCAAGGTAAAAATAAAGGGAAAAAAAAAAAAAAAAAAAATAAAAACACACACACACACAATGTTTTAAAGGTCAAACGACTGAAGTAGTTTACAATTCTTGTCTGATAAATAGAGCTTATGAAAAAAATTAATCAAGAAATAGCCTTTCCATTAAAACTAGCTAAAATGAAACATTTCCTTTAAAAAAATAAAATGATCCATGTTAATTTTCATATTATCACACTTTTATATCACATTATTCTCCCTTCATGAATTATTTTTACTATAAATAATATAGGACGGTCAGGATATTCGGGGAAGTTGTCAAATATAGAGTTGTTCATAAAGGTTGAAAATATTTCTGCTTAGACACAAGTCACGTGTGCAAAAAAAAAAAAAAAAAAAAAAAAAAAAAAAAGAGGACCTTGTTTTATCCTTCTCCCCCTTTTTTTTTTTTTTTTTATGTGTGTGTGTAAAATAAGAGATTTGTTTTCAAACTGCAGATTCGGAGGTTTACAATTTTTTTACGGTACACTTGCTGAACCATCCTTCGCATCACATCAAAAGAAAAGCATTCTTTTTCTTTTATGCAACCTTCCCTTCACTTACCTTGTGTTAATTTTATGCTACTTTGTTTTGTCTAGCACGCTACTTCTATCAAATACTTGTGTATATATATATACATACATATGTATATATGCATATATTCCTCTTTTTATGTTTTAGAATTACTTCCTCGTTGTACCATCCTCCCTCCTTTTAGAAAATATTGTGGAGTTAAAATAGCCGAACATTTGCAAATAAAGTTTGATGAGAAGGAGAAGAATCTTCCCTGAGACCCTCGTACACGTCTATGTTGTGTGTACGTATCCTTTTATTTTTTAATATGAGATAAACATTGGATAGGTAGTCAAGTGATATTATTACAAAATTGTAAATAAGCTACCCCCTCCCCAATATTTATCTTGCACATTCTGTGTGAACGAATATATTGTACATAGGTAGTCTTTAATTTACACATTTTATATCCATTTCTAACCCCTTTTATGGCACATGTACTTACTAGTAATCTTTTTTTTTTTTCCTTTTTTTATTCTTTATTTAAGCAAGTATTTTATTCCTATAAGAATGGTCACATATGGAGAGCCTTATTGGGAGGTATTGTTTTTTTTATTTTTTAAAGAGGCTGTAGTGGTGCTTATGTTGGTTCTTAGCTTTGCACGATCATTATTTTTTTTTTTTTCACTCTTTTTTTCACTCTTTTTTTCACTCTTTTTTTTTAATACGCGAGTAAGCACTAATTTTTTTTGCTCTTAAATGTGTAAACCACCAGTATCCATTTTTTTTTTTTCTTTTTAGTACTCTTATTTTGATACATAAATGTGTAACACACATATGTTCATATGCACATAAAGCGTGTTGTACTGTGTAGGAACACACACACACTTTTTTTTTTTTTTTTTTTTTTTTTTTTTTTTCTTTTTTTTTTTTTTTTTTTTTTTTTTTTTTTGTTCCTTTTCCTTTAGCTAATTCACCAATCTAGGGAAGGTTAGGTATAATGTCGTATTGCATTGAAGGGAAATCATAAGAGCAATTCAAATTTGTGTATGCATATATATATATATATATATATATATATATATATATATAACCCATATTTTAGACTGGACTTTTTAGTTATAAAAACGTATAGGAAGTTACTTTTCTTTTTTTCTTATGAATCAAAGAGGGGCAAAAAAAAAAAAAAAAAAAAAAAAATAAAATAAAACTAAAAAAATAATCATTCGTTTTCCCCTTGACGCCCCTTCCCCAATAGCAATTATTTTATTGGCTTCCTACCTATTATTAACTTACTCTTAATGTTGACTATATATATAACACTGCACCACCTGAAATTGTAAAAAAAAAAAACTGATAACAACGAAAACAAAGAAAGAAGACAAAACTGAAAAAACAAAAAAAAATCTTACGGCGATGGAAATTTATCCTTTTTGGTAGATCACATTGCAAATAATGTTTTAAAGAAAGAATGACCGATTCTATACATACCCCTTTTTTTTTTTTTTTTTTTTTTTTTTTTTTTTTTTTTTACTCATACACAACTGCGCTGATTTATTAACACATACACCAAGGGAATTTATACTAGTATATACATAGGCAATGTGCATCCGTTGGAATATCCCCATTCCTAATTCTATAGAGGTAATCCATATATCTCATACATTTATTTACGCATATGCCAAGTGGTGGATATAGATTCCGCTCTTTTGCATTACAGCTGATACCAAACACCACGTGCACATGTTAATTATTCCTAGAATGTGGAGTTACTCATATGCTTACTATTCATTTTTATGTGTTATAAGGAAATTAACTTGTTCGCTTCTACCCACGTTTACAAGTTCATAGGATTCACATGTCCATGCGTTCATGCAGAACTATAATCGACGTGTATCCTCATTCCCATGATCTACGAAACTTTTATTCCCCTTATATATCCAACCGTATTCCTATTAATATAATCCTTATTTGTTACGACATTTCTCCATGTGAATTTTTTGACAAAAGTATAAAAATTATGAAAAGTGCGAATATAAAATCATCACACGAAAAGGCTTTTTTTTTTTTTTTTTTTTTTTTTCATAAAAAAATATTGGCGCAAAAATTAACATTTCAAAAAATAAAACATGCACAACTAAGATAAAATCAGGATCATAAAAGGAGAGTATAAATATATCACGGTGAGGTACAAATATATTGCAGAATAGTACAGCATAGCCATAATATATAGTGTAGTGCAGATACAGGAAGTGCAGGAGGAGATACTTTAAAGTGAACGTGGAGGACGAGAGAATATGAAGGAGGGAAAAAAGTAAAGAGAAAGAATGAGAGAGAAAAGAAAAAAATATTTAACTATAACTGAGAGTGTGAGATACATACATATATATATTACGAATGATTTAATCTCCAAACGAGCAAGTCACCTATTGCAACAGGAGTAAACTCGACAACGCAACTTGGGTATTTCACCCACTGGAAGAAAAAGCAAACTCTGAAAAGTCAATAGATTTTAAACGACAAATTTTAAATCTCGCAAAATTTAAAAGTTACCAATTTTAAAAGTAGCAAAATTTAAAAGTCCACATGCTAAGAGCCGCATATTAAAAGTTGTATGTTTAAAGAACCAAATTTGAAAAACCCCAATTTGAACGCCCCAATTTGAACGCCCCAATTGATTAAACCGTTCATCACATGCAACTTAGGGGAAGAAAGCAAAATAATAAAAAATAAAATAATAATAAAACACAACAGCAGAAAAATGCACTCCAAACACATTCCCCTTAAATAATTTCCTGCTGAAAGATTTTTCTCTTAACTTTTTTTTCTGTTACACGAGATGTTTTCCCTACCCTACTAGTGTATAGCAAACGGCTGTGGAACTAAATTATAGCAGAAAACGCTCGGCGCAAGATATACATGGGTACATACATACGTACATGCATATATTCCTACCTACATGCATATATACATATGTACATGTATCTGTGTGTGTACGTACATATATACACACAGAGAACGAGCATAATTACGCCTTGACAACAATTATGTATTCCGTTGAACCACATTGTCCTCCAAATGAAAATTTGATGTAAACATATTTTTCACATGTTCGCAAAAGGATGTAAACAAATTTGCATTCCATATTTTTATGGAAAGTGTAAATGAAAAAAAGGGAAAAACAAATTGAATTCTAAAGTTTTGCAGAGGGTTCATTTTTATGCCATTTTGATAAAAAAGAACCAGAACAGGCAGAACAGGCAGAACAGGCAGAAACGGAGAAACGGTAGAAACGGCAGAAACGGTAGAAACGGTAGAAACGGTAGAAAAGGAAGAAAAAGATGACAAACGCGAAAAGATGAAAAATCGAGGAAACAGCTAACAAAACACGAAAAAAATGCTCAACATTGCAAATAAAAAATATAATAATCAATCGAAATATTCAAAAGTATGCAACACATCAAATATCCATTTCTACTGAATGATGAACACATTTTTTGCACATGTTTTCATTTTCACAGAGACGATAAACATTGAATACATATTTTTCTCCTTCACTTCAGTGACGCAAAAAACAATAAGAGGAGGGGGAAAAAAAAAAAAAAAAAAAAAAAAATGACAAGTCGAAGCCCAAACAAAATCACCACATCCATAAACGGATATTTCCAAAACAACAGCTTTAACCATTCGATTGAGATAGTATTCAGATTTTAAATTAATTATGAGTAACTTTAAACGTGGATTACATTCTATTAACCCTGCGAATATCGCTGTTCATAGAAACTGTGGCAACAACAGTGAGATCAACACAGGATCCGATGAAGCAAATCCAAAAGAAATATCACAAGACATACATGTATACATCCATGAACAAGCTCACATCCACCAACACACACACAAATGTGTTTTCAGAAGACATATAAAACATAATTTTGCAGTTACTCCCAATCATAAAGAAATAGATGAACATATGTCAGACGTTTCTCCTATGGATGAAAACACAACGGAAGACATAACAAATGGAAGAAATGAAAAAGGGATTATAGATAATCATAGGAAGAGAAAGAAACCAAAGGAGTGTGAAAAAGCAAAAGGCACACAAGAACAAAAAGTAGACATGTCAACTCAATCAACAGAAGAAATGCAAAATGTGAAAGGCTATGTTCATGACAGCAAAGTTTACGTTCCCCAATGTGATAAATTGATAGGAAAAATTATTACTAAAAAGAAAGTAAAAGGAGGAAAATTCAGAATCATTCCATCCATAGCTGAAAGTCAACATGACGATGTTAGACATACAGTACAAGAGGATTCCCAAAAAGAAGAAGGAGAAGAAGAAGAAGAAGAAAAAGAAAAAGAAACAAATGATGAAAGCGATGGTGTACAATATAACAAAAACAACAGTGACAATCATCAAGGGAGGGAAAATCCAAATGATGAACGTAAAAGAAAACTAAGCATATATAAAAAGAAGATGAACCAAGTTAATAAAATCATTTACAATTTAAATTACTTCAACAGATTTAGTAATCTTGAATTCAGAAAAGGAATATCTCTAAGTAAGAAGCAAAATGAGGAAGAATTGACAAAACAAGGAGAAATGACTTTATTATCCCATCCTTTTACTACTTTCAAATATGAACATAATCAAAGGAAAAAATCGTCATCTAACTGCACATTTCATCCTAAGAAGTTATCTATACACAATGAAGAATGTACAAACAATAATTTATATCAATCAAATGTTATGTGCGAAACTAGTTACAATTTTAAAAGAGGAAAAAATAAAACATTTTCAAATAAAATAGACCCCATTTATCACTCCGATCAACACATCTACGACTACCCATCCTGTGAAGAAAAAAAAACTGATGAAAATCAGAAAAATGACAAAAACGATACCGTCACCAATAATTGTAAAGATGATTCCATCTCGAAACCTCAATCGTGGGTTCTTCCGCAGCTAGCTAAAATCAAGCAAAAAAGCATGGAGCAAAAAATAATTCACAAGTTACCGATTCTTTTAGATATAAAAGATTTCCTAAAGAAGAAGAAGAGGAAGAAAAAAAAAAAAAAAAAAATAGATGGCAGGAATGACGAAGAAAACATGGCTAATCAATTCGGAAAAAGCCAAGTGGGGAAAAGCCAAGAGAACACTACCGTGGTAGATGCAGCGGAAGAACCTACCACAAACACTTACACAAAACATAGTCATACCCAAGAAGTAAACACTTCTTTGGAATCAAAAGAAAAATACAACATTGACTTAAAAAACGGAGTACAAAGGGGAAAGGAGAATAAGCAACATGTCGTACATTCCCATCAATTACTAACTGATGTCATCCCCAGTTTTAAAGATGACACCAACGATAACATCTGTGTAATAAGCACGATCACTTCTAAAAATGACAATGGAGAAGCTGAAATGGTAGAATCACCATCTCTTCACTCATCCAGTGAAACAGGTATTAATAATTATACCATTCATAAAAGGTACCATTTGCATAAAAAAGAAAATACACAATTGGTTAGAAGCTATGATAAATCATCTATTCCTGTTGACTCAAATTTGAACAATCAATTAATTGATAATACACATAGGACAGATAAAACAAAATTAAAAGATGAAACAAATTACATCCATTTGAATAAGCACAAGGAGAGGCAATTAGGTAAAAAATATGATAAAAAAAAAGTACCCTTTTCATATGTTAAAAATGAAAAAAATTCACGAAAAATAAATGTGCAGAATTCGGATGTGATGACAAATCAAGATAATAATACGGAATTTATTTGTGAACATTTAAATAAAAAAGAGAAATTTGAAAATACAAAATCGAATCATGATGTACTTGTATCAATACAAAATAGAAACACTCAGACATGTGACCACCATTTAAGAGACACACCTAGAGCACATTCCTCATCTATCACTTTGTCTTCTTACCTGAATTATGAACTCAGCTTAAATAGAAAAAATAAAAAGATATTTAATGAGATGAAGGATATAATTTTGGATTCACAAGAAGTAAAAACCATTTCAAACGATTTTACCAAAAAGGTAACAAAAAAATGGGATCAAAATTATACCTTTTTTAGATGCACAGATGATTCCACAAGTAGAAATGAATTTATCAATTCTTCAACTTCAAATATGCAGGGAACAATGAACGAAGGAGCTTATGTAAAACAAGTGAACGTGAAGAAAAGTAGTTGTAATAAAAGTGCGAATAACACACCTAGCGATCAAAGGAGGAGACACAAATTGCGTGCGAATTTTCTCGAAAATACATCTGCCATAATCGATATGGTGGAAGATGTAAATAACTCTTTAGAAAAGCACCATTACAAAGAAAAAAATCAATCAGCAATCAGGTTAGAGATTCCACTTTGCGCTGGCTCAAGCGAATTCAGCAATGCGCAGAATTTCACCAGCATAAACGGAACAGCAGAAGCAGAAGCAGACGCATCCACAACAGTAGCAACAAAAAAAAAAAAAAAAAAAAAAAAAGAAGAAAAAAAAAAAAGCAATCAAAATTGCAGTAAAGATTGTGAGCCTGGTTGCAATCTCGATTATATTCGTCATCCAAGTCACAACGAAGAGTGTACAGATAAACACGATGGGGTTACATCTACTGTACAGCACGCCAATCCAAATGAACAAAGTAAAAGAAAGATGCCACCGAGGGAAGAATATTTAATCCCGTTGAATGAGGCTTCCCTTTTAGATGCAAACAAAGAAAATGAATCTTCTACCATCGTAATTGAAATCCATGATATGAACCATGGTGATGAAACAAAACATAGCTCGAAAGAGAAACCAAAAAAAGGATTCAAAAATGGAACCGAAAAAGGTTCAATCGGATCCATATGTCATAAAGATATCAATGATCAGGATGAGGGAATCGTAGGTCCAATTGCCACTAGCCGAACAGATGCATCTAACTCGGGGGATGACAAATCTCACCAGGGCGAACCCAACAGAAATCATTCTATCACGAATCAGTTTAACATCAACCAATTATCCAAGAACAAATGGATCATCAATCAGTCGCAGAATAACCAACCATCGATCCCTCTAAACGACCAAGGGAAAAGAAAAAAATCGAGAAGACAAAGAAAGAAAAGTTATGAACAACTCACGAAAATCGATATAAATGATCAAATGAGGAACAACAATACAGCAGTAAATAATTCCTTCTGTAATGTGAACAATAATTATGCAAATGTTGAAAATGAAGGAGAGACTGCTTTTATCCATGGGTTTTGCGCCTCACCTGATTTGCCAGATGTGGATTATTCAAAAAAATACAAATGTATAAACAAAAATAATATTAATTCAAAAAAATCCATTGCACATGAAGAGCATAACAGTGTTAATGATATAGATTCCCACTTTCCTGCTGTTCATCCTGCATTTGGAAATTATTTTGAGGAAAGCTATATTCCTATGGATCGTGGGTTCTATAGGAACGCAGATGAGAACCGAAATCTCCCTTACAGCCCCAATCAGAGCTACTACAACCACCTGCACAGAGTCGATTCAGAAGATATAACCATGGACAACATGAATAAGTTTGTGTACAGGGAGTATATGAGTTATGTGAATTACATGAATTATATGAATTATCTCAACTTAATGAACCAAATGAATTACATGAGTTATATTTCTCCACAGAATCAGCTAAACTTAGCTAGCGAAACATGTCGTGCAAAGGGGATAAGCAAATTAAGCGGAGAAATAGGAATAAACGAGCTTATCCATGTGAACTCCTCAAACCATGTGAACTTCTCAAACAATGGCAACTTCTCAAACAATGGCAACTTCTCAAACAATGACAACTTCTCAAACCATGGAAACTTCTCAAACCATGGAAACTTCTCAAACCATGGAAACTTCTTAAACCATGGCAACTTCTCAAACCATGGAAACTTCTCACAGAAAGAGTATCGTGAAAATTCGAGAATTGCCAAATCTGTTGCACAGAAAATCCAGAAGAATGGATACAATGTAAAATACACAGATTGGAAGTATAGAAATGATTCCAATTTCAATTACGCTGAAAAAAACAGGGAAATAAAAAAGGAAAGTGTAACACACAACAAGGATGCACACGTAAATGATATGGAATCAAGATTTGCAAATTACACAAAAAATTCAAATTCTGGAAGTCGATTCAATATGTTGAACCTTAGGAACTCTCAAAACAAATTTTTTTCAGAAAAAAAAACATGGTTAGGTAGAGACAAAATAAGTAACATCTATTATAACCAAAAATTTAGCTACGATAATAATCCATCCTATGTGAAACATCACAAAATGAAAAATTTACCAATTAATGGAACCGAATGGAATTACACTAATTTACATAATTCCATAGGAATGAATGAAAATGAAATGAAAGAATTAACAATGGAAGAAACAAAAGAAATGGAACAAGGAGGAGATGGATTAGGATATTATGCCCATAGTTTGTATAATGATGAAAGTAATAATAGTGCTTGTATTTCTGATTGTCAAGATGTTTATTATGGAACATGCAATTCAATTCATAATTCTTACATGGAATATGATAAAAATTACGTACTACACGATGAACATTATTATATGAACAATATGGAATGGAAAGACAACCATACGAATGGAATATGGAGTCCAACATGGCAACCAATAAAGTATGACTCGTTCCTATACAAAGGAATAAATTATATAGAAAGTGATAATAACAGAATGAAGAACACAATCGATGTTTCTTCACACAGTAGTAATCATACAGTCATCACCCCATTGTACAGAATGAAAAAATTTCCTTTTGGAAGAACTAACAAAAGTATGTTTAAACATTTCAATAAACGTCCCCATCATCATCATAATACCATGATGAATGAAAGCGACTACTACCCTGTGAAACAAAACTTTACGTGGAATAATCACATATCAGGAAATAGTTACTCATCTCTAAATGCACAAAGGATGAACCAATTTATCTACAGTGACAAAACTGATTTTCAACTAAACGTACGTATGAACAGAGGGAAAATGAATTTCTTCCATGTGCCCAAGTGTGGCATGTATTCCAAATTGCATATCAAAAAAAAAAAAAAAAATTTCAAAGATGAGCAGGGTGATCCGTATAAACAGTATGAACAGTATGAACAGTATGAACAGAATGAACAGAATGAACAAAATGAACAGCATAAACAGAATGAACAAAATGAACAGCATAAACAGAATGAACAAAATGAACAGCATAAACAGAATGAACAAAATGAACCAAAAAATTGCATACCGAATGGTAGCGGAAACTTATATTTCACAAATGAAACGGACAAATTTAATATCCTGTATCCCTATGAATGTAACAATGCCAAGAATAATTTTCCCTTCACCTACCCTATTTCTCCCAGTGCTTTTTTCTACGATTATCTGCATAGTACAACCTTCTCAAGTGGAAATATGTTAAGAGATTTTCCCACCATTAGCAATTGTGCTGATTTTAAAAACTTAATTAAGGAAAATTACTTCATGAAAAAAGACATGTACAGAAACAAACATGCAAGTTATCTTCATGATGATCATAACACGAATGATATTTTCACAGCAATTTCAAATGAATATGAAAATGTTACCAAACTGTTGAATAGTAATTATCGAAAGGTTAAAAAAAAAGCATCAAAATGTAGTACATCCAAAGATGAAGAATTCATGCGATATCAGGAGCGAATACTTCTAAGTTCTGAACAAATCAGTAAAGATGTAAAAACAGATGTAACAACACATCATAAGAACCAATTGAGGAACGATTCTGACATCATGCCCTGTAAGCAATGGAATAGAAATAAAAATAACTTGAACAATAATTGCAATAATTTCAAAGAAGTAGGAACGAAAGCTGAAAATAACATACATAATAATCTTAAAAAAGAAATTAAAAAGGGAATTGCAATAGAAGGAATTCAGAAAAATAACAAGAAAGAAAAATCAGATTTTATAAAAACGAATAAAGTGGATGAATGTACTAATTTTAACGAAATGTTGAAAAGGTACAACAAATTAAAAAAATGCAATAATGAAAGTGATAAATTGAGAAACACAGAAGAGGGGAACATATTAGATGATGCTACTACCACTATGGATACGTCCATTTGCTTAGTACCTAAATCGAAAAGTAGTAATCCAAAGAATAATACCCCAACAAAAAATAATGCAAAGGAAGTTCAAGATGTAAAAAAAAATAAACCGGGTGCACTGAATGACTATCATGAAGTTTGTAATTATTTGGATTTCGAATCTGAGTGTCCGTTTTCACAACCTTGTAAAGTGCAGCAGAATAAAAAAATGGAAGGAAAAAAAAAAAAAAAAAAAAAAAACCAAGAAAAACAGAGAAGTAAGAAAAGTGAGAAAATTCTGAAAAGTGTGCAGATTAGACAAAACGACGAAAATGCAAGAAACTGTATGGCCACACGAAAACCAAGAAGTCAAAGTTGCATAAGCATAAACTCCTATGAAAAACGCATTACTAATTCATGCCACATCTCTGGAAGAAACACTAGAAGAGGAATGTTGTTAAATGTTCATGATAAAAGGAGTAGGACCCATCATTCAGCTTTTAATTTTAGGAATCACAGATGTATCACTATTAAAGGCGAACAAATCGATGAAGCAGATGAAGCAGATGTAGCAGATGTAGCAGATGTAGCAGATGTAACAGATGAAGCAGATGCAGCAGATGCTGCAGGGGGAGAAGCCCTCCATAGTGTACATGAAGAAAGAACCAATACGGGCAATCTGCTGAAGGAGCGTGAAGAAGACATTTTTCAAATTTTGAACAAAACGGAAGATATGTTAGTAAATTTTCTCAAAAAGGTAAAACCATCAAAGGATATAAAATTAACGAAACGAAATATTTTCATTATATTGTATAAGCTGATAAAACACCTGTTTAATTCAGATATTGAAATATACATAGTGGGTTCTAGTGCATACGGAGTGGATTCTAAAACGAGCGATTTGGATATAGTAATTCAGACCAGTATGTACAACCCAAAGTATGTTCTGCGGAATATATACAACTATATCAATGAAATGAAAGAAAAAAAAAAAAAAAAAAAAAAAAAAAACACGACGAGCTTGACAAACCAGACGAGCATGACAAACCAGACGAGCATGACACACCAGAGGAACACTGCAAACCCGACGAACACTACAAACAGGAGCGATAATTGTTCATTTTATAAGAAAGAGAAAATAAATGAAGACTGTTGTGATGACTACACCACAAATGATAAGTGCAACGTTGCAAATACTACTTCTCTTGACGCAAGTGAATTATCTTTTTTTGATGATGTAGAATTACAGCTAGTAGATTCTGCAAGAGTACCTATATTGACACTAAGAAAAAATAACATAGTTTGTGATGTATCTGTGAACACAAACAATTCTTTGAAGCACACAGAATTTTTTTTAACTCTTTTGAAATATTACCCGAATCTAAAAAATGTAATGAAGATACTTAAACTACTATTGAAAGTAAGAACTTTACCATCAATGAAACAGGGAGGATTGCCCACTATCTTATGGATGATGTTATCTGTTCGTTATTGTAAATTCCACATTGAAAACAGAACCAGTTGTGACACTATACCATATTCCTCAATTCGAAAAAATGACAATGTAAAGGATGAGAATAAGGAAAAACACCTTCAGCATAAGGAGAATAACACATCGCACATATCCCTCAACACACATGAGATAGACAACATGTTCTGTGATCCAAACTCAGTTGATCATCAATGCACAAATGTCGTACAAATGTCTCCAAATCGTTCTCAAGAATGTCTATCATATCGTTCTAAGAGTAGATGTGCATCTAGTGAACTTACTTATCCGTATATTTTAAAAAAAAATTGTACCATAAGGGAACAGTATGGCGATGCTGCTGCTGCTGTTGATGCTGCTAACGATGATTATTCCAGAAAGGGAGAGAATTCACGTCCAAAAGGGAAGAATAATTGCATGAAGTTTAATCATACAGATGAATTTAAATCCAGCACAAAAACAGAAAAGATAAAAAATTACCATTTTGTAAATAACGAATATACAAATTCGTGTAATGAAAATACAGGAAGACGCCCCAAGTATGTCAATTCAAATTACGTAAAAAATCTGAATGAAGTTTCAGAAAATATCACCAATGAGCTGGTTGGGAATATCATGATTAAGGAACAAATGAAAAAAGAAGATCAACTAGATATTCCAGAATCTTTATCCATTAAAAATGATTCATTTGAAAATATTACATCCATTAAAAATGGTTCATTTGAAAATATTGCATCCATTAAAAATGGTTCATTTGAAAATATTGCATCCATTAAAAATGATTCATCTGAAAATACTGCCTCCCTTAAAAATTATTCACTTGAAAATGCTACATCCATTAAACAAAATTCGCTTGACAAAACATTATCTAGTGAAAAAAATTTCACTAATAAAATGGGTGGCCATGGATCACCACTCAAAACGCAATGTAAAAAGTGCTCAAACACTGTGATGATTTCATCAGATTGCACTTTTGAAAAAAGTTTAATAAATGGAACCTCACTTACCAATCCTAAGGAGGGATCTACCAATGGGTCAGGTGCTTCTAAAATTATTAATCACGTACATCACAACTGTTGTGACAATATGAATGATATTTCAGAAAAATATTCTCTTTGCACATCTCAGAAAACAACTGTATCTGTTATACATAACGACAGCAGGAGCCAGGGAGAGGAAAAATATCTTTCAAGTAAAAGAAACCAAAACACTGAAAGGAACAAGTGTCACATCTATGATAGATGTAAATGCAAGGGAGACGAGATGGATATCAACATGGACTTGGAAACAGATACAGACACTCCCAGTTCTGCTGTATCAAATTCCATCAACATGACAAATCCGAATTTGTTAAGATATTATAGGAATTCTAGTGGAAGCTTTTGCAATTTGTCTCAAGAAGAAAAGATAAAGAGGGATCAGAAAAAGGAAGACGAGGGTCGAGATTCGTGCGAAAGGTTAACAAGCCAAATGAGCGAAACAAAACATGAACATGGGAACCAAACAATCAGCGAATTTTCAAGAATGTCCTTATGTCACCTGATAGAAAAAATATTTTCACCAAATAGTTATGATGAATCAATAGACAAATCATGCTGTCATCACTATGTTGAATCGAATAAGCAAATTACGGGAAACTCTAGTGAAGAGTTACCTGAACGTGTGCAGGTCTTTTCCTTGTACTGTACGGAGTCCTCGGATTGTTCCCTTATGCAAGTCACAAAAAAAAAAAAAAAAAAAAAAAAAAAACACAATCGGGAGAAGTTGGAGAAGCGAGAACGAGCACGAGTGCGAAATAGAAACCTTCTAAAAGTGCTGCATAGGAATAGGAAAAGGCTGTCCAAGTTTGAGTGTCCCAGGTGTGCGAAAAGGAACATGTACCATCTCACACTGAGTGATGAGATGAACAAAAATTTCGCACATTCAGAATGCATCATGGATCCGAAAAATTGTAGCAAAAATGGACACAATGGAAAAATTGGGGTAAATCACATAATAGATAAAAGGTGCATAAATGATGAAAATCACAAAGACCTTGTCGAAAAATATCTCATATCTGTGTCACCTCTTTTTTATTCACTTATGATTCTATTTAATGAACTAAATTCTAGAAAAAAATTATCGAAAACGATAAATATCATAGATGAAGAAAAATGTCATCTCAAAAATATAGATGTAGTTAATAAAAAACTTTTATCATCCGTATGTCATGGTGGAGTTTGGGATGAACTTCTCACAGTGTATGATCCTATATACAGTTTTAATTACGAGTCATTTATTAATCAAACCATCACAAATGGGAGGAATTACTTATACACAAACGTTGATGTTGACTTAAATGCACCTGCAGCAGATTTAAAATCATTCAAAAGGATTAATGAAAATTATACCCGACAAAAAAAACAGATAAAAAATATAGAATATATAAATACAAAAGGTACACATTTATATGAAGAAAAATCTGAACAAAATCACGAGCCACATAATGACATCACGTGTTTAAAAACGAAAAAATGTTTGATGCCAGATGAAAACACTAAAATTATTGATAGTCCTAAAAAAGTGAAAAATGGAAATTTTCTAATCACAGATTTTACGCATGTCTGGAAGAGAGACCCAGTCCATCGAAAGGATGAAAGAAATGAAAAAATAAATCTCAAATTTGACTTTGAGAAAAAAAAAAAAAAAAAAAAAAACACAAGTTCATGCACCGTGCCAACTCAGGGAGAAGCAGCTTTATTTTGTTACACATTAGAAAAGAAGCATGAAGAAATGAGTAATAATGAAGCGAGTGAGACGAATGAAACGAGTGAGACGAATGAGACGAGTGAAAAGAATGAATCGAGTGAAACGGATGAAGCGAGTGAGACGAATGAAACTAATGAAACGAATGAAACTGCAAAGAATAGAAGCACATGTGGTTCTAGCCATCCTAGTAATAATGAACAACTTGACGAGGATTTCCATGCGAAGGAGAAGAGCAATACATCAGTTGGAAATGCCATAAAAACGAGCTCTATTACCCTAGGGGAAGACATTAAAAAAGATGAAAAGATTGTTAACACTTGTTCCATTACAACAAACAGTAGCATTAGTAATGTTGACACAAATAGTATGCAAATGGCATCAAATATGACAAACCCATTTTGCCAAAAGGAGGGTGTTAAGATGAGAGCAGAGGATTTGAAAACATCCTCTGAGTACATTCCTCCAGTACATCAGGATGATAACATGAAGGGTGGAATGTCCCAAGTGAGAAGCATATGTGCTGATAGTAGTACTCTTTATCATGATCAACATTTTCCATATAATCGAAATTACAACATGGAACTATTACAAGAATCTATAGTTGGCATATCTAATGTGTATCAAGGATTCAATCAGAGTCAATATCGAAAAGGAGATCGTCAATCTATTAGTGAAAGCCCACCAATGAGAAGAACAGAATGCCACATCAGCAACAATATGCAGACATCTACTACGAATATGCTTTTTGCCAATGTAGTTCAAGGTTCACATTTTTCAACTAACATGTCCCATTTCGAATTAGTGAAATCTAATGTTATTAATTCTAAAGAAGTTATGAACAGTTTAGAAATTCCAAATGACATTTCCCAATTCGATATGATGTTGCATAAGGGAATGTGTAGAAATTATAATAAAACATGTGAAAATCACCTTCTAACATATAAAAATGAAATGAACCCTATATCAATGAAACATAGATGCACCATATCATCGAATAAAAATACTCTTCATTTTAATCACAATGAAAAAAACCAATATACTTCAGACAATGTGATTTTAAAAAATGGGTATATTGGTGACTCCATACAAAAGGTAGGAAATATAGGAAGCATAATTCCGATAAGAAAACACATACAAATGATAGAAAAGAAATATGAACAGAATATAAATTTAGCTGGAAAAGTAAGTAGTGCAACGTGGTTGATATATCTTTATGAGTTGAAACGAGCTAGCTTTTTTATTAACTATTATCTGCACCACTTGCATTTGTTTATTTGTTTTAAGAAATGCATCCAGGGGTGCCATAAGAGAAGGGGTAAAAAAAGAACACAAAAAAATGAAAAGCACCCAGATGATGCACAAAAGAGAATCGAGAAGAATTACGAATCGTTCCAAAACAAACAGTGGATCACAATAAAGGTAAATCCAAAAAAAGAAATTGAAAATGAAAAAAAATCGGTTTGTCAAAAGGAGGGAATTTTTTTTTCAAAAATATCATCGCCAATAATGAATAATATAAATGAGAAGCCCATCATCATTGACAAAAATAACACATTGAATGAACACAGAAAAAAATTGAAAAAGGAAAATTATAACGACCTGAAAATTCAAATGAAAAAAACTAAAAGGAAGCTCGAAAATTTACAAAAATCAAATAATTTGTATCCCAATTGTAAAAAAATGAAAAAAATTTTCAAATACATCTTGCAAAATTTAAAATGTTGTATTCAAGCATTGTTTGAAAGGACAAAAGGAGAAATATATATCCTGCCCATTTGTTCGCAGCTAGAAAATTCGCCATTACATAGAAGAATCATCAGTGACATGCATCTCCAAAGCAACAATTGTGATAATAGTGAAAAGGACAAGCATGATGAAAGAAGTTCCATCCAAAAAGAATCAAAACAGAATAAGCAAAACAGGGATGAGCTTACGGGGAATAATGAAATTGCCAGACATAGTGACTGTAGGAGTAGAAAAATAATCCAAACAAATAAGAAGGAACAGTGTGATAAAACCCTAACAGAGAACGAATTCGCCTTAGTGTTAATAGAAGGAAAACTGGTATTTGTAAAATTTATAAAAATTTGTATTGACAGAAATAAATTTTGGGACGAAAACTTTTTGTGTAGGAGAGACATAAGGACGGTTATTCATGTCAAGGCACTAGACATCCTTTTTATTTCCAAGAGGATGGTTAAAAGGAAGAATGTGAAAAGTGGGAAAAATTGGAAGATGGAAAAAAATGAGAAAAATTGGAAGATTGAAAAAAATGAAAAAAATTGGAGGATTGAAAAAAATGAGAAAAAATTGGAAACTGGCAAAAAAAAACACAACTCGCAGGATTACATCGAATTAGAAGCCCAGAGTGATACAAACACAAATCGAGAGCAAAATCGTATGCCAAGTCAATGCATTAGTCGAAGCACCTCAGAAGGAACCATGGTCCCCAGTGAAGTGTCCAACTTTGATGACATGATAGTGAAAGAACATTCGACAGATGACTGTGCAAGGGGCGTGAACAAAGGGACATATTTGAACCGTTTGCCAAAGGCAACTAATGAGAAAATTAGGAAAAGAAATCATACCATTTCAGAGTTAAATAAGAACATAAAAGGGTCACATACTAATGATACGAGGGACTGGGCAGAAGAGAATCGATACAACATCGGGAAAGATAACATCATAGGAAATAACATCATAGGAAATAACATCATAGGCAACAACATCATAGGCAACAACATCATAGGCAACAACATCATAGGCAACAACATGAGGAGGGTGAAATTGTGGGATTATAAAAAACAAAAATTAAAAGAAAAATGCAGTAATTTCATTTACAATGCGAAAAATAATTATATTGGTCTTTTGCTAGAACAAGAAATAAATAACCGTGATAACATAATCACGAAGGGGAGAAATATCCAACCATCTATTGAGAATCCAACTAAGAACCATGTTGAGGTAAACAAATTGGTAGAAGAATATGAGCACAATGGGGAAGGGAAAGCACATGGGACTAAGGAACTGAATATGAGAGACAATACATTCCTAATCAACCCATGCAATGTCGTAACGAGAGTTAATGTAAAAACGGTTTACATATCTAGAAGGAACATTAGTGATACCTTAAAAAGTATCATATTTGAAAGTACTACCTTAAAGGAGGGAGAAATCAAGAATATATTCAACGTGCAGAAAAAGCGAATTGCCAGGGTTGATGCTGAAAAATCTTGCCATGAACAATCCCATCACAGTGAAAAATCCTTAAATGATGAGGAGCAAAAAAAGGATTTACAAATGAAGCAACAGAAAGGGCTTGCAAAAGATGATGAGGACGATGATAATATGTTTTGCATCAGAATAATTCCAAGAAGTGAGGTTATGAGATACAAAGAGTTAGTACGAATTACTAAAAATAGCCCCTTTTATCACAAAAATGCGAAAAATATTTCAAATAACACCAACCCTCCCTTACAACAACCTGTCAGTTTGTGTAACTTTTGTATGACCAAGGGAATATTTAATGTAAAAACAAATCACTTTACATTGACTCACATGCAAAATGATGTAGCAAAAGATGTTATTTACTTTCTCTGCCACGTGTTGTATGCAAGAATGCACTCCTTTTTATCGCTCCCAGATGAGACAAAGCAACAAGTGGGGAGAAATAAGCTTGGTGTGATAAAAGGAGAGAACCGGTTGATGAGATATTATAAAAATGGTGATTTGTCGAATTGAGAAGACCCCCATGCGCTTCTCTCTTTCCCTATGTTGCTTGTTCTGTAAAGCACATTGGTTCGAGGAAATTGAACAAAAATTGTAAGGTATATACATACATTAAGGGGAAGGAAAAAATCAGACTCGCACATTTGTATCTTGAACATAGCGGGAAATTCCAATTTGTGTTTGTATTTGTGCTTGTGTTTGTATTTGTGCTTGTGTTTGTATTTGTGCTTGTATTTGTGTTTGTATTTGTGTTTGTATTTGTGTTTGTATTTGTGTTTGTATTTGTGCTTGTGTTTGTGCTTGTGTTTGTATTTGTGTTTGTATTTGTGTTTGTATTTGTGTTTGTATTTGTGTTTGTATTTGTGTTTGTATTTGCGCTTGTGTTTGTATTTAAGAATAAATGTGCATTTTTTAGCTCCGTTTTTTGGTATGTGTGCGTTAATTTAGTCGTTCAGTAGTTCAGTCGTTTAGCTGATTGGTTGTTTTTTTTTTTTTTTTTTTTTTTTTTTTTTTTTTTTTTTTTTTTTTTTTTTTTTTTTTTTTTTTTTTTTTTTTTTTTTTTTTTTTTTTCCCAATTTTTTTTCTTTTTTTTTTTTTTTTTTTTTTTTTTTTTTTTTTTTTTTTTTTTTTTTTTTTTTTTTTTTTTTTTTTTTTTTTTTTTTTTTTTTTTTTTTTTTTTTTTTTTTTTTCTGTCTTTCTGTTTTTCTGCTTGCTTGTGTTATTATTTTATTTTTATTTGTTCCCAATTTTTCTTCCCTGCTTGAGGTATTGTCCCATCCTGCAATTTTTGTTTCCCGCGCTGCCAACCTGAGATCTTTATATATACACATGCACATGCACATATATGTACTCATATGAGAACCCCCGTGTAAACCCAATCGACCTTTTGTTTCTTCCTTTTTTTTGTCAAATTTATGCACACCAAAAAAATTCATCCTTCAAACGAAATTAATCGTTTATGAACACTTCTTCCATGTGGAGTGCTTTTCCCGAGAACCAAAAAGAGGTGGAAAAAGCAGGAGAAGAAGAAAAAAAAAAAAAAAGAAAAAAAAAAAAAAGGCCTTACCATATATTGTGGACAATACCAAAACGTCGAAATGACAGTTTAAGTGACAATTTAGTTGACAATTTAGGTGACAATTTAAATGCCTTGTTTTTTTGTTTATTTTATTTTATTTTTTTTACAATGTCGCGCTTCGGGTAATAAAAAGCTTTTCTGTACAAAATACCTGAACAAGTTGAGTCAGGCTTTGAAGTCGCTTAAAATTGTCTTAATAAAAAAAATAAACATGTCACAACACACACACATGGCATGTTAGAGAAGTGGAATATATCGAAAATTGAAATATAATTTTTACACGGCTTTTTTTCTCATTTTGTATGGTTATATAATTTTTATATTATTATTTTCACCTATTTGTGTTCTTAAAAAAAATTTTTTTTTTTTTTACAACAGCGCAATGACTATTTCAAAATTGAGAAAAAGTAAACAAAATGCAAGTACGAGGGAGTAACATCCGTGTATAATTATGTGCATATGCATATATGCACGTGTGTAAACGCATAAGTCAAAGATTCACGTGTGAAAAAAAATATGAGTCATATATTCACGTGTGCACATGTGACACATCATTTCTTCTCTTTCCTTTCAGCAGCTTCAATGGAGCTAAATTTTAATCACTTAAAAAAAATAAAATAAAATAAATAAAAATAATACAAATGTTCACATGTTCATATACCTATGTAAACACACATAACAATAAAAATAAATAAGTAAAACCCTCTCTACAAATTATTTCCAATTTATTTATCCATCTATGCAAATTTCCCTAATCTCCCCCCCGCCCCTTTCGTTTTCCTCGTTTAATTTAGATCTTCGGGTAAAGGTCATTTGTCTCTCCTTCTGCTTCTCCTTCTGCTTCTCCACCTGCTTCTCCACCTGCTTCTCCACCTGCTTCTCCACCTGCTTCTCCACCTGCTTCTCCACCTGCTTCTCCACCTGCTTCTCCACCTGCTTCTCCACCTGCTTCTCCACCTGCTTCTCCACCTGCTTCTCCACCTGCTTCTCCACCTGCTTCTCCATCCCATTAGCAACTCTGTATCACTGACGTTTTTTTTTTTTTTAGCGTACGTTTCCCTTCCGTGTTCATAACTTTTGTGCAGCTTTTTTGCATACATTCCACACAAAACAACTGTGTATGGCCTCAGAACAAACTCCTTAAAGGCTACAGCACACGCTTGTTGGATACCAAATTCTTAATGTAATATATGGTAAACAAAGACAAAAATATAAGCACGAACAATTTGATGAAGCAATAGAGAAAAGCTTTATTGGTTATTTTTTTCATTTTCTCTATATGTGACATATGCTTTGATGATAAATATTTGATTTCGTTTTTTAATTTTTTTGTTTCAGAAACAATTTTATCAATAAAATTCGTAAAGTCTTTTATATGTTCCGATTTTAATGATGGACTTTCTCCTATACCCAAAGCAACTGTTGTAAGTTTTTTCCCTACCCATTTGCTATTTTTTAGTGTAATTGTGTATATTCCATTTTTTTCTGTGTAAAAATAAAATATCCCTTCACTAGCCTCCTTCTTATATATTATGGTTCCATCCGGGTCTCTGATAAAAAACTGAATTTTATTATCATCTGATTCATTGTTTGAATAAAAAACTCCTCTAAAATATGTGTTAAAGCTAGTTATTTCTTCAAAAAGGTATTCTTCAGAATTTCCTTGTATTTCGAATGTTAATAAAGTAGATGGTTCGAAATTCTGCATATTCTTATTCCATATATTTGTCAAATCATCATCACTATCAAGTGTCTCTTCATTATCAAAATATTGGTAATCATTAGCATTTGGTTTCATATCATTATAACCCCGACTATTATCAAATTCGTCAAAGTCGTCATAAAAATTGTTATTTCCCTCATCAATTTTTCTTCCTCCTGCGCTTCCTCCACCTTTACCATAATTCTCATATTCGTTTTCTTCATTTTCGAAATCATTTTCATGAAACATTTTCTCAAATTTGTTCAATTCATCCATAAAGTTATATTCGTCTTCATTATCCACTGTCTTCTTAGAGCCTTTATCAAAATTGTTATTATTGTCATTTCTGTTTTTTTCCTTTTCCTGGCCCTTCCCACTACTACCACTTCCTTGAACTTTCTTTTTCCCTCCTTTTGGAACTGATGATTTATTATTATTTCCACCATTATTTTTGTTCATATCATTCTTCCCACTTTCCATTCCTCCTTTTCCTTTTGCATTTTTCGAATTCCTATTATTATTATTATTTCTAGCATTGTTGTTTGACCATACCTTGTCTATCCCAAATTGTGAAAGTAGTACTACCAAAAGTATAACAACAAGAGCACAGTTCCTACGCATTTTCATTTTTTTTTTTTTTTTTTTTTTAAACTATATCTTTTATCTATCTGTAACCTTTTCTCTCCCTTATATACATCCTTCGCTACCCCCAGGTGAGATGCAAAAGTTGCAGCAAATCAAAAGCACGACAAAGGGAAAACGTACCTCGAAATTTGCGACCATGCAATCTTGAGATGTTCAAATGGTTGAGGTGTTTGAGATGTTTAAATATTCATATGTTCATATGTTCATATGTTCAGATGTTACGATGTTACGATGTTACGATGTTACGATGTTACGATGTTACGATGTTACGATACTGCCACACTAAGACACTGCGATGCTGTGACCCTCTGGACAAATATTAACGAAAACAGAGCCCAACCTAAACTCATAACCAATGTTATGCAATCAATTTGAAAGACTCTCTCTCCCCCTCCCCCCTTAACGAATAGTCGAATATATATATATATCCCAAAGGAGCTGAAACAAAATATATCACATTTATACCCAAAGGAAAAAAGTTGCAAAATCTTTTTAAAAATAAAAAAGAATTCTAAACCCTTCAGAATTATTTTTTTTTTTTTTTTTTTTTTGAAAACATTTGAATACTCTTAGGTAACACGTAACTATCTCAACACTCATAAAAGAATTTGGTTCCCATTCAAACATTTGAAGTGGTGCTTCAATTGGCACTTTTTTTTTTACTATACATAATAATATTATAATGACCAATTCGTATCCATATGTAGTAATGAGTAAAAAAAGTAAATACATATGTTTTCTGTAATAAATGAAATGCGTATATAAATAATGACAAAGCTCAGAGTGGAAATATATGATTACGCGGAGGCATGGACCCATGAACAGACATAAACACATATGAACACGCATGAACACACATAAACACATATGAACACGCATGAATACACATAAACACACAGGTAAATAGCCAATTTGCAAAAGTGCCACACCTTATGAATTGTCCCTGGATTGCAGTGCTAATAACCTGTGCTAAGCGCTCGTGTTGCAATCTGCAAAATGCGAGATCTCCACAATCATTCGCAAAGGTACATATGTGAAGAAGTAAATACATGTACATAATTTTATAAGTTTTCCTTACGTGACACGCTAAAAAAAAAAAAAAAAAAAAAAGGAAGGAAATAGTAAAATAGTGAGGTAGCAAAATATTGAGATAGCAAATTAGTGAGATAGCAAAATAGTGAGATAGCAAAATAGTGAGATAGCAAAATAGTGAGATAGCAAAATAGTGAGAGAGCAAAATAGTGAGATAGCAAAATAGTGAGATAGCAAAATAGTGAGATAGCAAAATAGTGAGATAGCAAAATAGTGAGATAGCAAAATAGTGAGAGAGCAAAATAGTGAGATAGCAAAATAGTGAGAGAGCAAAATAGTGAGATAGCAAAATAGTGAGATAGCAAAATAGTGAGAGAGCAAAATAGTGAGAGAGCAAAATAGTGAGATAGCAAAATAGTGAGATAGCAAAATAGAAACAGCAAGGCACGGAGAACTAGCCAAGCATATATGCACATAAATATACCCCTGGTACACTCAGTGAAGTTTCAAAGTGTTTACAACAATATTGAAAAAATGCATACAAATCACCATGAGCCAGGACATGATAATAAGTATGCTGTACATATATAGAGGTGTGTAAATATTATCGGCCCCCCACACCCACACCCCCGTAGCTTATTGTACGAAACTAATGAAGAATTATTCACTTAAATGAAAAAATCACAAATTCGAATTGAGAAGATTAGTTCGTTACAATTTTCCTCCTGTAAAGGGAAAAAAGCCAAAGTTGACGCAAATCATGAGGATTTTTTTTTTGTTTTCCTTATTCCTTCTCTCTCCCTTTGATTGTTCCGTACCTTTCTTGCTGGACTCAAAATGACCCCCCTCCAAATATATATCACGGCAAAAAAAAACGTCTTGTCCATTTTTGTAGTTTTATATTTGGCGTGTACCAAAACATTACGCTGCACACATTAAGAGCCATTTGTTATGTGCTTTACTGTTTTATTCCTTTTGCATACGCTTCCGTGACACAGAAGCTAAAAGACGTGCATGTTACATTTCACCCATTTTAACTATCTAGAACTAGTAGACGCAACGTGATACTGGTATCCAAAAGAATCGTGAGCGATTGTGTAGTATCTACCATATTATTACAACAATTAGACAGTTTACATGTTAATATAATAACATATATTGCATACAGAAAAAGCAAAAGGGGTGAAGGGAATTCATACAGCGAAAAAAAAAAAAAATAATAGTAATATATAATTAAAAAAAAAAAAAAAAAAGTGATAACACTTTTACGTAGTATAAAATTAATTTTCTTTTCTTATTTTTTTTTTTAATGCCCGTTGCCTGACGGACTTAAGAGTTATCATTGACATCGTGTCAAAGAGAAATTTAGGAATTGTTTTATATAAATATATTTGTATTTTATGAAATAAATACGGTGAAGTTATAACATTACAGGGAATAATATTCCCTTCCTTCATTTTTTTAATGGCACTTTCTGCGTATACATCTGCTGTTGGTACAAACAAACTTGATTTTCTTACCTTTGACAACTTCGTTACAATGAATAGAGGTACGTGACACTGCACCTGTATGTTATGTTCCTTCAGTTCGGCCTGTCATTTAGCAAAAAAGGAAAAAAAAATAAAAAAAATAAAAAAACACGACATGATGGCAGGTGTACAGAAGTGTTAGGAAGGCGTGAAACCAAAGCGTTGTAAGAAAATCTACGCACACATGTTAAATTATCCCATTCGTTTTTATAACATTTCAAATACATACACTTAATGAATTGGCAAATGAGCAGATGGCTTCCTTAACTGATGCATAAATTGTGTACAGAGGGGCAGACTGTAGTGTGGCTGCACCGCTAGACGTGTATAAAATTAATCCTTCCTTTTTTCTCATCATTCCTTAGGGTGGACAGGAAAAAAATAAAAATAAAAACAAAAATATATAAGTACATGTACATGCATAAATACGTACACACATACAAACATACACACATTCACGTGGAACGTAAAAAGGAGAAATAAAACGCCATAGGATAAATTACCCGGAAGCACCAATTTTGTCATGTAATAGGATGATAATAAATTTACGTTCACTAACTGTTCTATCAGCTGAATGTCCATTTCATGGAAATACTAAAGTGATGCGTGGAAACGCAAAAAAAAAAAAAAAAAATCATTTTGGGCGTGTTTTGCGTACATACTTGTACGCATGAAGGGCAATATACATAAAGAGTAATATACATGTATGCACTTGTTCCCGTTCATGCAAAATTTTGCACTTTATCCTATATCTTACACGGCACTTACCAAAGGGTGTGGATAAGAAACCCCAACATTGTTAATTAAAATTCCAACATCCAAATTTTCAACCTTGTCTTGTATTGTTTTATAAGAAGAGAAATTATTTTCATTATAATCAAATGTTACATAGTCGATATGCCCCTTATAATCCTTATTTCTTTCAAGTAAATCATTTTTCATGTTTTTTAGTGCATCCTCATTTCTGCTAATGAGCAATAAATTCACATTTTCGTTGATTAGTGAATATGCCAAACTTTTCCCAATTCCATCCGTACATCCAGTAATAATAACTGTATCTCCAAAGCTTCTCAGTTTTTTGGCAAATATTTTGCACTTGATCTATGAGAAGTAGGGAGAAGAGAGTGACAATCGAGAGATACCTCTCTCCGGAATGTATATGTATTGTTTGTGTATATACATATATGTATTTTTTTGTGCACCTAAGAAGGCACATCCCAGCTAAAAAGCTGACCCAGTGGTGTCGTGCTCCCTAGACATACACACATATACATTGACCCATATGGCAACAATAAAAAAAAAAAAAAAAAAATGCAGTGAAAAATGTTCTGACTTGTTCATAAAGGTAACAAACACAAAGGTAACTTACATAATTTAATAGCCCGTAGAGGATGTAGAAAACATTTTTTAAAACGACAACTAAACCAATGTATAGTATAGGCTTCACAAATAGTGGGGGTATAAAGTTTATCATTCTACGTATTTCTCTTTCACGTTCTCTATTTTTTTTTTTTTTTTCCAATTTAAGTAACAACCCAATAATGTTAAACTTGTGCGTAATTTTCTGAACAGGCAAGGTAAAAAACGTCGTATTGGTGATAAGAAAAAAAAAAAAAAAAAAAAAAAAATGCAAAACATGTAAAGCAACTAAAACGTGTAAAAAATGTAGAAAGCATAAAACATGTAAAACAAGTAAAATGTGTGTGTTCCTTCTATTTTTTCGTTCTTCGTTGGTCCACAAAAAAGTTAAGAAATGTTTGCAAGCAATCATATGTAGCTAAAAAATGAGCCCACGTCATGAGGTTTGTATTTCCATGTAAATGTTATACTGAAAAATTTGACAAATGAAAAAACACCTGTTTCGTTAAAATGAGGTACAAAAGGAAATGTTGAGGGATGTGCATAAATGATGGAAAAACAATTTTAAGCATATAATGAATAAATCTTTAGCACAATTCTTCAACAAAATTATAAAACACAGAAAGGACAAGAAAAAAAAAAAAAAAAAAAAGGAAAAAAAAGTAGTTAAGACGCTACATATAAACACATGGGGCAACATTGCACCAGGATATGCTTTTACAAAATTAAAAAAAAAAAAAAAAGTCACAAAATACACTATTGCGTTTAAGTGGCACAACATAATGTAGAATAGAAAAAAATGTATACACGTAAACATGCGGATAATATGGAAATATCTTGATAAAGCAAAATTTAGATATATACACCCGTAACGAGGAAATGGAAAATACATCAGCATATTTGTTAAGATATATATATATATATATATATATATATATATATATATGCATGATGTCATGATGTTACAAGTGCTTTAAGTATGCATATGTATACATGTGTTTTTTTTTTTTTTTTTTGTTTTTTTTAAATGAGAATTCGGGCTCTTTTCATCTTTCCATGTAATGAAACACAGTTTTTATTTTCCTTAAATGTCGACAAGAAGTTAAAGGTTGTTTTGCTCCAAAAAAACATTTAAATAAATATTTTGTAAAACATATGCACGTTTTGGAATAATGAAAAAAAGGAGAAAAAAATCACTATATATTTTTTTAAAATGTATAATGATGATATCTACAAAAACATTGCAGGATATAATTTTCGCATATGCACTCACGTATGCAAGGACATATATTGAGACAATCATGTAATAGTTTTGCATATTCCAAAGGTGTTCATAATTATAAGAAGAACAATTACAATGCTTGTTCTAAGTCTACTTCTTCGAATAGGCTTTCCACTTTATAACACAATGTTTACATTTTTAACATCATTTTACACACTTTTTTTTTTTTTTTTCTTTTTTTCTTTTTTTTTTTGATCCACATTGGCCATACTTCGTAAGAGCGATTATCCCTGAATTATATTTTATGAATTTAATTTCTTGTTTTACTCCAGGTGCAAATTTTTTGTTCCCAACATCTGTTGATGTGTTTACAAATGACTATTATTATCACTGGCACTCATTAGCTCATCTAATAAATAACTAGTTAACTCGATATCATCGTTATTATCATCAGCTGGCAGAATTTCTATTGTTACAGCACCCAGTTCATTTTTCACATTGGCATTTTCTCCACCCTCTACATTTGCAACTTTTTCAGCTCCTTCTCCATTTGCAGCATTTTCAGCTACTTCTCCATTTGCAGCTTTTTCTACGCCTTCTCTATTTGTATTTTTTAATCCGGCTTCTACATTTGTAGCTTTTTCTCCAATTTTCACACTTTCCACATTTGCAGCTTTTTCTCCGTCCTCATTCATTCCATTGGACGCCTGACAAATGACTAACAGGACCAAGATAAAAAGTATACCAAAATGGCTTGTCTTCATTTTTTTCCTTTTTTAAGTTTTTAAATAAGTTTATTAGGTCAGTTGCAAATGTAAGTGTAAAAATGGATGCGATAATATTGTATCGAAAATACATAACGGAAAATTACATTGGCTTAATGCAGTTCAACGTGGGTAATATGTAAAAATAACAAAATATGTTAATCAAGGCGATTCACAAATAATGCAAATATATTAATAGTGTCAAAAAAAAAAAAAAAAAAATAATAATAAAATAAAATAACAAAGCATAAAAATAGAGTTAAAAAAAAATTAAAATCATATTTTAAAATAATAGGATGCACCTTATAATCTTTTAATCTTTTTTTTTTTTTTTATTTTTTTTTTTTTGTATATACACCAACAGTTGTATGTTGTCATAAAGCGTGATTATCTAATATCTTGTCTTTTTCACAAAAAAAAAAAAAAAAAATGTGCCTACATTTGGTCACATATTAACATGTATTGTTCATTTGAGGGTGATAAGAGACAGGGATGGGGAAAGTAAAAATTTGTCCAAAATGTAAATGTGTGTGAAAAAAGAAAAGAAATTATCTCATAATGTGATTACATGTTTTATTATCTTGTTGAAAATGTGTTTTCGCGCATACATATAGGAGTAAATATATATATATGCACCTACATATAACACACTGACTAATGAAATGTCCATTTTAGTTACCTCTTTCCATTGAAGATTTTACTGCCCTGCGTAAGTTGTGATATTTCTTTTGTTTTAGTTTATAAATTTATAATATATTTCTTTTTTTATTATATCCAAAATGACCACATTAAGGGGGAAATAAACAGGTCCTCATTGTTAACACAGAAACATAATTGACGATGAATGATTTAAAAAATTGTTCTCTCTCTCTCTCTCTCTCTCTCTCTCTCTCTCTCTGGCTGTCCCGTCTGATTGTCCGTTTGGATGCCCCTTTTGGTTGCTCCATTTGGAGCTTCCACTATTTCCAATTCATTCTTCAGTCTCCAATTTTCCGACATTTAACTCAAGCAGTTTGTTGGTAAAATGATACCATTATGAAGGCATTGAAGTTCCCCATTTTTTTCTTTGATGCGTTTACTATAAAAAAATGAAATTCCTAATAATAATTCAGTAATCATCTTCTTCAATTTTCATGTTCTTTTCTTTTTTTTTTTAAAGATTTTTTCAAAATTGAGAAATTTTCTTTTTTTTCTGTATTTATCAAAATTGAAGGCTCGTTTTTTGGCTTCATCTAGTATCCGGTTTTCAACGTCTCTCTTAATTTTAATTTGAATGATCTTCCAATCTTCTTCGCTTGCACTAGTCTCATCACTTGCATTCGTGTCTGAATTACACACGTTATTCTTTTCATGTGAGTCATCATTATCCACATCTTCTATATGTGAAATAGCTATATTCCATTGACGCAAACGAGATCTTTCACCTTTTCCAAAAGAAGGAATTTCGTCTAATTTTAGCAGATGTGTACTCATGTGGATAAGTTCTCCTGTCACACAAGTATATTCAAAGTGCATGCGTGTATCCACATAGGCATATGTAGATGCTTATGTATACATACACATGAAGTAGCCCACTTAGCTCATATACCCATACTCTTTTAATATTTTTGGTATTATATCTATTTGACTTGCATGTTATACAAAAGCGAATGTACACAAATGTATCAAACGAAAATGTAGAAGCAGATCGATATATCAATTGTTGTACACAAAAATTTACAATCACGAATGAAAAATGTTTATTTTAAAAGACCTCAAAAAATTAATTTCTCCCCTACTGTGTTGTGAAATGAAGCATTGGAGATGCTAAAAAGGGGGAGAAAAAATTAAAAAAATAAAAATAAAGCAAAATATAGCAAAATATAGCAAAATAAAGCAAAATAATGCAGAATAATGCAAAACAAAACAAAATAAAGCAAAATAATGCAGAATATAGCAAAATATAGCAAAATAAAGCAAAATAAAGCAAAACAAAGCAAAAATAAAATAAAAAAAGCAATTACACCACTTTGTTTTTATTTCATCGAATGATGTGAAAAAGATTATATTGTAAAATAAAATAATGTGGCATGGGAAAAAAATACAAAGAAAGATATGTAAAGGTTATTCAAATTTGCTAAAATGCCCAGGGAAACAAAATTTGTCTCATATAAGGACTCTGAAAAAAAAGGGAAAATATTTTTTTTATGGTACTTGAATATGACATGGGAAATGAAAATAAGCAGAGTCCCATGTACACACGGATGCAGAGCAAAATAAGTCTAAGCAGGTTTACTCAATAATGTCATAAAACGTGAGAAGCGTAAAAATGAAAAGAGTCAAATCCGCAAATCCGCAAATCCGCAAATCCGCAAAACATTGAGTCACTGAATGAATCTGCACATGCTCAGTTTTTTCATAAAAACGCATGCAACAACATTTATGAAAAAATAAAACTCCTTCAAAGGGATTCATACACCACAACCAATAACCCTGGTATGACAGCATGGAAAAAAAACACAGCCACGTTGTCCCTCCGTTTGTGCATGGAAGAGGGGAAGAGTAATAAAAACAGAGTAAAGCAAAAACAGAGTAAAGCACAAACAGATTAAAGCAAAAACAGAATAAAGTAAAAACAGAACAAAACAGCTAGACAAAATGGCCAAATGATCATTAACAGCTTTTAATGGAAAAAAAAAAAAAAAAAAACCCTTAAAAATCCCTTTCTTTTTTTTAAAAAAAAAAAAAAAAAAAGTCAACATATACGATGAAAAAACATGCAAGCACGAGAAAATTGCAGTTCAATGAAAATTATTTTTAAAAATTAAATTTCGGAATATTTGCTTACAAGGAGAGGCTTTACCACAAAAATGTCCACAGCTGTACTTTTGCATGGTGAATGTGTATCTTGATTTATTCTTATCAATTTGTAACTTTGCAAACCGGGAAAAAAATCGAAAATGGAGAAGGAAAAAAAAAAAAATTTTAAATATTCTGTCGCTATCACTTATGAGTTCACCGCTTAACAGTTCATCGCTTATGAGGCCACCGCGTATCATTTTTTCCCCCAATGAAAAAGGAATTTATGTGAGACAAGACGGAAAAAACACAATTCGCGAATGTTGGCTTATTGTGACATAAGAATGAACAGACCTTCGAACTTAACCACATTCATACAGAGACGACAGTAAAAAGATCCATTGATGTTAGACCAGGGAGGCTTATTAAAACGACACACAAGTTTTTTTAAATTTGCACCTCTCTTAACCTTTATATGTGAATACTTAGTATGTTCATACCTTCTCCTATATTCTGATGAATATTGTCTTAAAGGTAATCCCCAGTTTACTCTTTCTTTTTTTTTCTTCATATTGGACACCCATTCATGTTTCAGCAATTTGTTCATTTGTAGTGTGTTGGATATGCGATAAAAAAAAAAAAAAAAAAAAAAAAAAAAAAAGGAAAAGCATATCCATTGGCATGTGGTTATACACTTAATGTAACCTATTTTTATAAGGCTGTGTATAAATGCACCAATATTTTGTTTTCTCACATTTATCATTTTGAAGAAAAACATTTCTTTTTTTTTTTTTTTTTTTTTTTTTTTTTTCTTCTTTTCATTGAGAAAAATAATAATAACAATTTTCCTCCCCACCTATGGAAGTTCCTTGTCCTCCATGGTTTACACATCCTGCATCTTTTCCTCGCTTTAAAGTGTGTGTGGCATCATATGCTTATGAGTTTATGCTTATATATATATATATATATATATATGCACGCGCAAGCGAAATTTGCTATATTTTTTTTTTTTTTTTTTGTGTGGAATATAAAATGAAGAGTTAATATATGCGAAAATTTTCTAGCTTGATGAACGAAAAAGCCTCAAAATATAAATTCTTCAAATGAAAGCTATCAGGAAAACCAACAAGCTGCAGTAGTAGTGTACATATGAGAGAATATATAACGCCAACTAAAATTATCAGTCATGGGGTAGGGGGAGAAATCATAGTTTGATAATTAAAAAAAAAAAAAAAAAAAGACAGGAACGAATTTAATTACCCAAGAGAAGAGAGAAAAAAATGAAACACTCAAATTTTAATAAAAATATAAACTCTACTGAAAGTGAAGAAAAGACAGAAATGAATTTAATTACCCATGAGAAGAAAGAAAAGAAAGAAAATAAAAAAAAAAAAAAAAAAAAAAATTTTTTAAACACAAGTAATTTTAAAGAGCATCTAAACGATGAGTTAGTTAAAAATGCAATCCACATGACTTCAGACGGAGGAGAATCCCTGCGTTCCACTAAAAGAACACTTGTCAAAGAAGCTAAACAAGCATTGGGGTATCCAAAAAATAGTAAGAATCGAAGCAATGAGAAACACCACAACCAAGGTACTAACTTATGCACTGAAGCAAATGAAACAGAGAAAAAACAAAAGGGACGTGAAATAGAGAATATCTATTCAATGAAAAAGTGTAACAGAAGTGTTATTGAAGGAAAAAATAAAATAATGGAAAAAGAGCAATCTGTCCAAATAATAAATAATGGAATTTTGGGACATAACAGTGGAGAGTCAGAAGAACTATACCTATACAATGCCATCAATAATCCTTTTGAAAAAATGAAGAAACTAATGCTGAAAACGAGTACCATATATTTTAGCAAAGCAGAGGATGCTTGTTACAGCTTGTTAAAGGATTATCACAAAGAGACTAGTGCTATCTTGGAGGAAGTAAAAAATGAAACATTTGTAGAAGCAAATTTAATGAAAAATGAAATAGAAGATACCTTAAGACAGGTAGAAAAATTCACAGAAGATGCACTTTATTTAAAGTGGGATGGAGAAGTTATACAACAAAATGCAGTGAATGATCAAAAGCATCATAAAACAAAGTACCAGTTCTATGTGAAGTATTACGAAAATTTGATGAAATTAAAAATATGTGAAAATTTTACTTCAATAATGAATAAAGACCTTTCACCTGCTACCTATAGCAATAAATGCAAACTAAAGGATTGGGCAGAAGATATAAAAAATTGCATATTGAATAACGTGAAAAAAGAAATAGACATAAAAAAGAAAAAGGTAAAAGATAAGTGGATAGACACTCAAAATTTATTCACAAAATTAAATAAAAAAATTAAAGATTTTATATCCAATTTTGAAAAAAAATATGAAATTTCGCTAAAAGGGTTAAGTGCTAACTCAGAGCAATTAGAAGACAAATTGAAAGAAAAAATTTTTTTCAGCTCTAATGAAGTATCCGATTTGATTAACACTGAAATGGAAAATAATAAAAAGTTTTTTTTAGATTATATAAACTACTTTAATGATTATATAACCAAGATATATAATTATATATATGTAAAATATTCCAAATGTGAAAATACATTCTTCTTCAACATTCTTCAAGAGAACAACTATAACGACCTCTCCTATCTGCATTTTATTCTTTCTCAAAATTACGTAAACAACTTGTCCAGCGATCAAGTTTTTTGCCACTTAATTGACATGTTCCAGGATAGCTATAACTCCACATATGTAAAAAGGGTAAGCTTAGCTGACGACCAATATTTTCTCACCTTTTTCCTCCCCGAGGATGCGAAGTGTGAGAGGTGTGAGAAGTGTGAGAGGTGTGAGAAGTGTGAGAGGTGTGAGAAGTGTGAGAAGTGTGAAAAGTGTAAAAAGTGTGAAAAATGTGAGAAGTGTAAAAAGAGTGAAAAGTGTGAAAAGTGTGAAAAGTGTAAAAAGAGTGAAAAGTGTGAAAAGTGTAAAAAGAGTGAAAAGTGTGAATCGTGCCTGAAGCAGCAGCACCCAGATGTGAACCCCAGTTTCTACACAAGCATGAATAATTATTACAATGAAAACCTCACAAAATATGACGAGCTAAAAGCAAAAATAATTTGCTATAGAGAAGTAGTTCAGCATCTGCTTTTCCACTGGCACAACTTCTTAAATATTTTCGGAGAGGAACACGACCCTTATCCAGATCAAGTGGAACATGAAAATGTAGAGAAAAATGGAAGAATTGCTCATCAGAAGCAAGGAAAAAACGAAGCTCCTACAAATTTGAATGCAAAAATTGCTACAAATTTTGGTGCAAATTTTGATGCAAAATGGAAGAACAGCTATAATAGTAACAACAGAAAGAAAAATCAAGGAGGGAATATTCGAGAATATTCCATTTCCTCACCGAAAGAACCGACACAGAGACAAGTCAAGGAGGAACCTGTATTAGAGGCAGACGTGGGTTCAAGCGGATATGTAGATGTGCCAAATTTGGGAGAAGAAAAATTGGGACATGGGTACCGAAACGAAAAAAGAGGGGATGCACAAAAATGCAAAATGAACATAGAAAGTGTTGATAAAAACAAAGAAGCATTCACGAAGTGCACAGAAAATATTTTAAATTATTACAACGTAATAAATTTCAGGGATGACTATTTCTTGTTATCCTATTTTTCCATTTTGGAGACCATAAAAAGTGATATATTTCTCATGCATACACAAAATGAAAAGGAAATAAAAAAATATGTCAACCACTGCACTTTTCAATATCGTCTTATACTTGAAAATTTAAATGAATTATTTAACCAGTATAATACACTCGTAAAAAAATGCTTAAAGTGCAAGGATTACTTGAATCTAAGCAAGCTCTTACCTATGAAAGATGAAGCTGAGAAAAAATTGGAAAAATTTATCAAATCTTCAAAAGAACAAGTATACACCATTAATGATAAATTTCAACTTCAGTCTAAACGTCAATGGGAAATTTTTTTTCACGTTGCTTTGAGAAAAGCTAAAATGATTAGCGAGGAAGAGAATCTAGGAGAAGCTCAAATTGAGCACAGCAGAAAGGAGATTGAAGATGAAAGGAACATAATAAAACAGATAATCGAGGAGAAGAAATATGCACACATATGTAACACAGAAATAATCTGGACATATGTCTATGACACGTATAGGAATAACATGAGGAGACTCATGTGCAATGGAGAATCTAGCAAGGTGAATTACCAAAGAAAGGATAAAAAAAAAGGATATTCAGTTCCCCAAAAAGATTATGAAAATGACTATCTTAAGAGATGTAAAAAAAAAAAAGACCCTATAGAAGAAAACATAAGGGATATAAGAAGAAAATATATTCTCCAAAGTGACACAATCAGAAAAGAGGTATATTCTTATCCGTTAAATGATCACCACCTTCTCATGATAAACAAGGAAAAGCAGGGAGGACAACAAGAACAAGTGAGAACAGTATCACCATGTGTAGAGGTAGTAACTACACTTATAGAATCACCATACATCACGTTAAACTATGACGATGTGCTATTTAACATGGATCATTTGAAAAAGCAGTTCAAGCCATTTGTAGAGAGTTCCTATGAAAAATTCAAAAAAAATTTGCTTACTTATTTGATAAAAATAAAATCAAAACAGGAATATATAAAGGGCACTGAAGAAATTGATACACACAAATACATAAAATATATGGAAGAGAAAGAAGAAAAAGTTAGAAAAGTGACATTAACACTGAAGGAAAGGTTTATAAAAAACAAAGAAATATTTAACAAATCGTCCCAAAAATTATGCAAACTTATAAAAGAATATGAATGTATTATCAAGAACGACAATGTAGAGGATGAGAACTTCAAAAACAGTATTAAAAATGTGGATAATTTCTTATCCCAAAATATAAATGACTATAACAAGATTAGCAGTAATTATACATCAACTCTTATCGAAGAAATAAAAATTAATTATAAATGCATTAGAGAAAAACTACAAAATGCTGAAAATAATTTAAACAATGAAATTAAAAAACTAGAAACATACTACAAGATGTTTATCAAAACAAATGAAACTAATATAGACATAGATGCTATAACAACACTTTTACAAAATTCAAACAATTTTGTTTTTTCCATTGTTAAGAAAAAACAAAACATGGAAAAGCTATTTAATTCTAATCTATACATTTTTGAAAACAAAATTAGGGATATTTCTTCCAAAATGTGTAACAAAATTTTGGAATCGTATGTACCAACCCCTTCTCCTTCTTCTTCTTCTTCCTCGTCAGATAGACAAATGATAAACTATCTTCTTATCAAAGAAGAAATCAAAAATAACATTCTCATTTTTTATCTCTTAGTTTATTATATAACATCTGACATTACTCGGACCAAAAGAGGTGTACTAGAAGAAGAAACAAAACAACTTCAAGATCCTCAGTATAATCAGAAAAAAAAAAAAATCAAGAAACAAAAAATGGATCAGTTATACAGGTTTACCACTAGGATGTCATCAAAAATTCAAAATCCCATTAATTGGTGTACACCTCAAGCGTCTAACAAAGAGCAGAATGTCCATAAATCATCCACGTTTGGTGAAAAAGGTCATATCTCCAATATCACTACCAGCATGTACCCTGAGAAGATGAAGGAAATAAATTCACACGGAACATTTGTACATATGCAAAACAGAATATATCAGATGAATATTTTTCAAAAAATACAAAAAATTTATGAATTCGATATAAAAAGAGAGAACAACATCGTGAATAATTTTTCCCTATCGCGTATAATAGAACCACATATAAATCATTTGCTATTCTCAAACGATACCATTGTGAAAGAAAGTAAAGATGACCTTTTCACTTTTTGTTTACTTGACAGATGGATTTTAACTAAAGGAATCGAAATAGAAGTAACCAGACAAGCAGATGTAAAACAAGGACTGAAAAAAACTTCCCAAATAGAGAACCAGTTTCCATTGAAGGGACATGCAGATGAAATCATTCCACAGCAAAATTCAGATCCAAGTGATTGTAAAATGGAAGGAAATGAGAATAGCAACATTGAAATAAATTCCAATAGCTGTAACCAACAAGCGATCATTTCTAACGGGATGAAGATAAAAAAAAATGGAAAAAGTGTTGTCGTGACATGTGGGGAAAAGAAGAAAAATAATAGAATAAGCAAAACAGAAAAACAACATGATAAAAATCAGAACAGAAGAAGCAAATGCAATACTGACGAAGATGCACATCTTGTTAAAACCAAATCTGGAAAAGAGGCATCAGAAGACTACACATCTAACTACGTGCAAAATGAACTTATTCGAAAAAATTATTGTGATTTGAAATTGTTTTTATACACATGTGTGTATATAATTCACTTTATAAACAGAATTATTCACCCATCCAATAAATGTCTTGCAAAGGAGGAGGAGAAGGAGGAAGAAAGTTATAGACATATATTATTCATTTATTATGACCTCTCGTATTCAATATATAAGGACACCCTTTTGAATCCAAATTTGAAAAACAGAAAAATACACCTAAACGCTTTAACACTAAACAAGAAATCCATGTCACCTTTTATAGTTTTCCCCAACCATATATTAGTCAAAGTTGGGTTGATGGATTTGTTTAACTTTGAAAAAGAGGCGATCTCAGAATTGTTTAAAACTTATTTTTCTCAAATGAGATCCTTGAAGTTTACCAGAAAAAGTGGCGAACAGTTTACAAAAATCGAAAGCGAGGTAGGTTCAGTTGGTTAGCTGCATAATTGATTAGCGGTTGAACTGGTTATCCTCTTAGAGATTATCCGTTTAAGTATACACGGTGCATCTCTCTCAAGGAAGTTCACGTGTTCACGTGTCCACAACACACATACATACACATACACACTAGTCTATCCATGCCTATCCGCACGCTTGAATCTACATCTGTTAATTCCACTTCTCCCCACCAGTACTCTGGAGATATATCCTTTTTAACAATTTATTTAAAAGTTCTGTCAAAGAAACTAGCGTACTTTACCTTTAGCTGCATCTACGAGCGACACGAAACATTATGCAGGTATAAAAAAAGACATCTGAACAAAGTACATCCAAACTAAGAGATAGAACTGGGAGAATAAATAGGGCATGCAAATTCAAGCAAGATACTTGAAAAAAGAAAAAAGAAAAAAAAAAAAGTATCTATATATTTATTACTATGCTCCTATTAACCAGTAAAACTCTACCATCTCTTCACCCCTTACTATCCTCTTCAGCGAGCGCATAAGCAGCATTCAAAACAATTTTCTTCTCAAATTTGAAGAAGTAAACGAGCAGTTCAAAATAATAGACGTAAATGTTAGCGGACCCAACAATATCCAAAGAAGAAAAAAGATTATGAAACAGCTCTTTGATTTATATGTTACTGCCATAAGAAAATTGTTAGAAACACATTTATTCTACTTTTATGAAAATCTGTACAACAACGTTATTTTCTTCGTTCACATTTTAAATATGTTACCCAATGATTGTGCCTCAAATCAGGCCAGGTAGAAAGCTCAAAACAATACTCAAAAAAAAAAAAAAAAAAAAAACAGGAACATAGGCATAAGTGAACAAGCTAGAAGTATTATATATACATGTACACAATCCTGCATACATTGCTAGGTGTGCACCCCAAGCGACACACACAAGAATCATATCACCAAAAAAAAAATAAAGTAAAAGTAGCATGCACCAATTTAAGCATGGATCTCAAAATTGTATAACAATTTACACACCTTTCCCCTGACAATCACAATCACAACCATAATCACCACCCACTAATTCTGACAATTTCACATGTACAGTTCTGTTAGCGGAAATATTTTCCATGAAAACACGAACCAGAAAAAGCAAGTAGATGTAGCCTTTCTAAAAATCCATTACGTTGATATGTCCACAGAATGTAAGTAATTAAACAAGTCCTTTCTGTGAAAAATCCCAGGGACTGAAGGAATAAACGAATGTTTTCACTGTTCGTATCAAAACTAAGGAATGCACCTGTGTACCTAAGTATGCAGACGCACGCAAACAAACACACACAAACAAGCATACACAAACAAAGACACATGCACATGTGCAAATATTTCGCTCATTTGCTCAGACGACCTGAGCGACATTGTCAAAAAGATCGACAAAGCATATAAACCCACGGATGGTGAAAACAAACCTGAACACTCTCCAACGACTATAAGCACCTGGGAAAGCAGCATCCCCAAGAGTTCCAGAAACAACAGTGCGCAAGACAGCGATGTTAATAGCCGGACTTGGAAGGAAAAGGAGCAAGCGCTATACCTGACCTACAATGAGGACAACTTGTTTATTGTTAAAAAATTGGAAGGGTTAGAAAATTCAAAAAAAAGGAAAAAAAGGGGAAAAAAGAAGGAGAAAAAATGAAAAAAAAAATGGAGAAAAAATGAAAAAAAAAAAAAATGGAGAAAAAATGAAAAAAAAAAAATGGAGAAAAAATGAAAAAAAAAAAATGGAGAAAAAATGGGAAAAAAAAAAAAAGAGAAAAATAAGAGGGGAAAATTTTGTTAACCTCTGCTGCATTGTGGATGTAAACGCAAATCAATTTGCTGCTCAGCATATTTTACTCATTTCCTCAATTTTTTCCCTTTTCAGAAAAATAGAAAAGTATGTTGCAAAACTTTATACATACATGACAAAAAAGCTGGATGAGAGGAAAAAGGAAATAATTAAAATCATTTCCAACGATGTAAAAATTCACAGGAAGTATTACGAGTGACGAGAGGCGAAAGGTTTGGCATGGGCTCTGCCATCAAACAAATACGTGCGCATATGGGGGAGAGGACTTGAATGATGTATATATACACATACACAACACATGCACGACAGAACACATGCACGACAGAACACATGCGCAACAGAACACATGCACGACAGAACACATGTACGACACAACACATGCACGACAGAACACATGCGCAACAGAACACATGCACGACACAGCCATGTGAACAGCCCTCAATGCATGACTCTGCAAATAGAGGTCCCCAAAATTCCACGAAATTTCCTTCGGGCAACTATGCATCGTTAAATACATCCTTGGCTAACATAGTATAAAACCGAATGAGACTGTATATGTGATTTATTTTATATATTAACTTGTTGTTTAAATTGATAAGTAAATCCATTCCATAAATATTCAACTTGTCCATATTATTTTTGTATATATAAAAATCAGCCTCGTTTTCAATATTTTCATCATTCTTGTCGTTGTTAGATTTTGTGTTGATATTATTTATAAGAGACAAATCGTTAATTTTGGATAAAGGAAGAATAAGAGAATTGTTATTTTTTTTGATTAAATTTTTTGATACATCGACATTGTTGCTAAATGTGCTGTATTGATGATAACATTCTTGATTATCTACATTTTCTTCCTCTTGATTTGGCATTTGTTTCGAATTTTCTGCTTGTGTATATGTTTCTCCACTATGCGATTGGAACTCATTTGTTGCAAATTTTATACCATTTTGCATGTCCATGATCCCTACTCCATTTTTAAATACAGTTTCTAAATTTTCAGATAAGTTACAATTAAAATGTACGATTGCATCTAACTTGTTTTGTATCTCCATGAGGGATATATTATCCTTTGTGTTCATATTTGCATGTACATTATCCGGATTTAATACCTCATTTTGGCTATCATGTGAATCTTTTAAAAGTAATTTTTTTTCTAAAATTGCTTTTTCGATCAAACTTTTATTTTCAATACATCTGATAAACAATGGAAGATATTTAAGGAATGTAAAAATCTTCTTCTTAAAATCGTTTTCACTTTTTTTAGATTCTACTAACAGGTAGTAAATTTCATCTGTTGTCAGTTCAGCACAAGGTCTGCCATCGTCAATCATATCATTGCTGTCATAAATAACTTCGATATTCTGATTGTCTATAATTTTCACATTCTTGATAAAACTTTTTAAATCTTTCTCGTTCCATTGAGTCTTTTTTTCTTCCTTTTCTTTTCTAACTTCATCATGTTCGCCTTTACCATTTTCAGAATCGCACAGTTTTCCTCCTCCTGCGGCTGCTACTACTGTTGCATTTTCATCAACACCTGTACAATCTATCAATTCCTCACAATTGAATTTTTTCTTTTTTTCTTCTGAAAGCATCAAATTATCATTATTATTTCCTTTGGCATCATTCTTCAACTCATGTTTTTTCTTATAGGCCTCATACTCATTTAAGCTTCTACTCAGCAAAAATAAAAATCTTTTTCTCCACAAAACACAGACGTTTAAACATAATAATTTATTTTTATTCGTTGGATCGTTCTTTTTAAAATGTTTCTTCAATATATATTCAACCTTTTCTTCAAATATGTCACTTATGTTTTCAAAATATTCTTTATACTTTTCATCAATAAAAACATAATTGTCTTCTTTATTATTTTGTTCTTTGCTCATTCTTTCATTCTGCTCTTCCCGAGTAGACTTTTCCTTTTTGTAGTACTCATTCATTTTTTTCTTTTTTTTTTTCCATGCAGCATGGGCGATCGTATCTTTTTCCTGTGGATTCTGATGGGACTCTTAGTAAGAAAGAAAAGTCTTCACGATTGTATCACTTCAAATGTTACAATATTTGCTAGGAGTGCTTGCCTCTCCAAAATAAAAATGAAAAAAAATGGCAATTTCGGTTTGATCCAAAAAAATGGCAATTCCGATTTGACCAAAAAGTATGACTTAACCCTTCAACTAATATAATACATGTATATTTTATATTTTTATTTTATTTTGTTATATTTTATTTAGTTTTTTCTTGTCTCGTAATTTTTAATCTCCAGCTTTTTATACCTAAGTGGTGCTTTATATGTCACGTGCCTTGTTCTTTCTGCACCTGTACCTCAAAACGGCCAATGGTGTTTGCCTTAAATTTGTCTCAATGTGATATGGCTGCGGTGAGGAAAACAAGGTCAGATCAGTGAGGAAGCAAATATCACAGCAGCATCGCTTGATATATTTATGTATGCGGGGAAAATCTTCAATCGGAAGGGGATGAAAGGGAATTGGAAAGGAAAAAAAAGGAAAAAAAGAAAAAAGAAAAAAGGAAAAATGGAAAAACGGAAAAACGGAAAAACGGAAAAACGGAAAAAAAGAAAAAAGGCGAATTTCCACACTCGTTATGTTATTCACAACAATTGTTTTCACTTCCATTCGTGTATTTTTCATTTGCACACTCCTTCCCACCTTTTCTGTGCGTATTCAAATCGGTAAAAAAAAATAAAAAATAAAAAAAAAATAAATAAAATTTATTTTTTTTTACATTTGAACAGAATGTTGATAACAATAATATTAACCTAAATTTTTTTTTTTCTGCATACATTTTTATCAAGATAATTTTTTTTTTTTTTCTTTTTTGACCTTTCACTTTTCCTCGTCATGTGTGAATTTGCTGATCAACCACTAGTGTGTGTCTACTGTTTTTGAAAAGAATTTTCGGACCAAGTTTGCGCCTCAATCGTTTTTTTTTTTTTTTTTTTTTTTTAATTTTTGCATTCAAAATGTGGCATTTTTTCGCTAAATTTTGTCATCCTTTATCTTTTTAAATAATCACATTGTTCTTTTAAATTTTATATTTTTTTCATTCACTTATTTATGGGTTCATACGTCTACATGTTTATTTATTTTTGCATTTTATGTTTGTTTATCGTATTTTTTTATTCTATTTTATTATTTTATTTTTATTTTATTTTATTATTTCATTTTTTTATTATTATTTTTTTTTTTTTTTTTCTTCTCCGTTTTCCCCGTTTTTTTCGCTTTCCCGCTCCCTACACGTGCACCCAATTTGAAAATTCTCACCAGCGAATCAGCAACAGACATGTGAGGAATAACATGACCCACACATTTTACATTGCAAAATCAGAAACATGAATAGACCACGTAATCATGGTGATACTTGAAGGAACTCATATTAATCAACTACCATTGAATTTATTTCTGATGGGAACCAAACAATGCAATGGACAAAAGGGGGAATATAAAAAGGAACTCAAGGAAATTATAACAAGAGTTTACATTGGAGATTATGAAGACTCCAAGAACATCTTACTACTCAGCAGTATCGGCATCACACGTATGGAAAAAGAGAAAAAACTGGGAGAGAAAAAACTGGGAGAGAAAAAACTGGGAGAGAAAAAACTGGGAGAGAAAAAACTGGGAGAGAAAAAACTGGGAGAGAAAAAACTGGGAGAGAAAAAAATGGAAGAGAAAAAACTGGGAGAGAAAAAACTGGGAGAGAAAAAACTGGGAGAGAAAAAACTGGGAGAGAAAAAACTGGGAGAGAAAAAACTGGGAGAGAAAAAACTGGGAGAGAAAAAACTGGGAGAGAAAAAACTGGAAGAGAAAAAAATGGAAGAGAAAAAACTGCTTTTTTTTTTCTTTTTTTTTTTTTTTTTTTTTTGCACCTGCATACCTGATGCAATAAATATATGCACACAAGAAAGGGTGCAAACGATTAAAACACTGACATATCAATGAAATATCACATCACCATACTGCAGATATTATCATTATAAGATGTTCTGAAGAATGTCAAATGGCTAGAATCGTTTATCCACATGTAAGTGAATCTTTTGTAACTCTAACTCCCACGTGCTTCCTCGTGACTTTCAAAATAATCAGGGAGCACAAACAAATCAGTCAACAGTTGTGCCAACATCCACGACAACATCCACGTTAAGCGACCCATGGACAGGTGCGTGCATGGCACGTACACGATTAAACGGATACATTTGCACATATGTCAACCCACGTTCCATTTTTATGTTCTCAAAAGAAATTCGATTATTACATCATTGATTTGAAGAACGATTATGATTTCATCCATTGTACGCATTTGAAGTTTTTACTAGACGAGATATTGTTCCAAAATGTTGAAAATAGGGTTTTCATTCATAGGTATTAAAAATAAATAAAATGAATACACTAATATATGACACAGTGAAGCATAGCAAAATGAGACGCAATAAAATAAATAAAATCCTTGTCATCTGAGGATACCCAGTGCTGTGCATACCGAAATGTGGAAATATGCACACCTCTCCTCCACACAGTTTTGTGTATACCCGACCGTTTAACATCACACAATCAACAATTGTCTTTATCCTCCCATCCCGCTGCTTAGCTACATTTCCCTTAAGAAAATTCTCTCTTTGTTGGTGTTCTACATAACTACGACATTAAATTATGACGTGGAGGATGTACTCACATATATAAAGAAAATCGTTCCGGATTTTTCCATGACCATAGGTGTGTCAGAGTAGCGCATTTTATTGAAACCTTTTTTCATGATCATATTCGTAGAAAATTAAGCACAAAGTGTAGAGCAAATTATGCACAAAGTGTAGAGCAAATTATGCACAAAGTGTAGAGAAAATTATGCACAAAGTGTAGAGAAAATTATGTGCAAAGTGTAGAGAAAATTATGTGCAAAGTGTAGAGAAAATTATGTGCAAAGTGTAGAGAAAATTATGTGCAAGAATGTAGAGCAAATTATGCACACAGTGTAGAGAAAATTATGCACACAGTGTAGAGCAAATTTTGCAGAGTGCGCTGATTAATACCACACGGAATATCACGTTTAATAATGCACCTTATTTTATAGAAGAAAGTGACAAAATATACTACTTCAAAAAGAGACACAGATTAACCTACTACCCTGGGTATGACAAATAAATTCATAAAAGAAAACAAATTACCTCAAAAAACTGAATAAAATTTATCATTCCTATATTTATAGTTGTAAAGGTATTTTTCAACATACAATAGTAAAGCAAATTTTTTTTTTTTTTTTTTTTTTTTTCGCTTCAGGGAATGTACTAACTACCATGATGTTACAGACAGCAAAGAGAAAGCTGCCAAGTAGTCCTTAAAGAAAATATATAAATGAATTTTTTTTATGTGTATAAACAAAGCTAACCAGAGGTGTATATATATATATATATATATATATATATATATATATATGATAGCTCATAAATGGGAGAAAACATGTGAGTGTCAAAATGGTGAAATACAAGTGAACTGCGAATGAAGTATGAGTGAAATAAAAATAATAAAATGAATTTTGCGGACTGCTGATTCACATACAGTACAAAAACACACAAACGAAGGAGGAATGACTGATAAATCATGAAGACTTTTTATGAGTATGTGCAAACATCGGATGATAAATAAATGGAGAAGCCACCACCACAACCACTCATCCCACGAATTTCTATCTCAATATCATCGCAACATGTGAAACAAGGGTAAATCACAACAGTAGACCAATCGGAACTGTAGGCTAATCAGAAGTTCTGAGATAACGTTCGTAAATTTCCTCGATCACTCTGGTCTTTGTTTTTATATAAGTGTCTAGCTTCTTTCGCTCAACGATTTTCCACTCATCACCTTGACAATTTTTGACAATATCATCTCTAATTTTGTGTCTCAAATTGCGTAAATCATTTTTAATTTTCTCCAATAAATCTTTTGCTTCTTTTTTTTTCTTTAATTTGATGTCCTCCGTTAGTGGAGGAATTTGCAACAAAATGTGTTGTCCATCATTAGATGTTATGGGATTCCATGTGTTATCTTTTAGTTTTAAATGATGAATAATTTTTTGCGTATCTCCCGTTACGTAAGGATAAAAATAAATAAATTTCACTGATTTTATAACAACTTGAGCTAACTCCGACAATTTGAAATTCTGCTTACCTTTCTCAATAATTATATTGTTAAAAAAATCAACATTTAAATTGTTATCATATATTTTCTTCATTTTCCTTTCAAAATTTCTAATAACATCTTCCACCTTTAAATCGTATACCTTGTAATCTATCACCGCGTGAGTATCACGTCCACTCCAGTTTTCACCTGGTTTTACCTTTTCGTTTGCGCAAGTATCTTCTTCCGTTTTCTCTTCATTATTTTTCATACCAGAAATTTTTAAAAATTTTCGAAGCTTCTTCGTCTCTTTATCCACTTTTTCTTTTTTCTTTTTGCTGCCAAAAGGTATCTTTTGACCATACTGAAAGAAAAAAACACGCTCAAAGACGTCTCCTCTGGATTTGTAAATCCGAGAGAAATTCACGATGGCCCTTTTCGTTTGTACATACATACGTGTTCGCGCGTGTGTGTGTGTGTGTGTGTAATTATATAGCTGCACGCTTCTGCTCATGCTCAAGGATTGCTCTTGAGGTGATCTTATTAGTTGGTCTTAAGGTTTCCCCAAGAAGTCACGCAACTGTCAGGAAATGTCAGAAACTGTCAGGGAATAACTCGAACACACGCATGTTCATTTACGTTTTTCTTTTCGAAAAGGTATTACAATCTTACTATGAGTTCAGCGTTTTCTCCAACTTTGTTGTAATTAAACAGGAGGGGGAGGAGAAGCTAAAAGGCGAAGGGACTAAAATAATCGGAGAAGCTAATATGCCACAATTAAAAAATCGAAGGTAACAAATTGACCGTGACAAATCACAGATATGCATATAAAACTCGAAGCATGCACTCACCAGACTCAATAATATTCTTATCCTATGGTGTGTGGAAAAATTAACTCCCAATTAATTCCCACTTCCGTATGTTTAAAGTCTGAATGAGAGGCCAAGCTCATTTAAAGAATACTTAAAAAAGTAAAAATACAAATAAAAACGTTCACTTTAAAAAAAAAAAAAAAAAAAAAAAAAAAAGCAAGTTAGAGTACAGTATCTTTCCTCTGTGTTTTCCCTTTTTCAGAATGATCTACTTTTCATTTCATAAGTCCTACATGAATCTATAAAATTGGCGAGTACACTTTTTTTTTTTTTTTTTTCCGCAACAAAAATAAATCTGCATAACTATACTAATTTTAAAATTTTGACATATTTTATACCCACAATTGTTATGTACACTATTATTAAGTTACAACTAAATGATAGATGATTAATCAGAAAAAAAAAAAAAAAAAAAGAAAAAAAAAAGAAGAAATATGTAATGTTCGATAAAACCCTCCTGGTGAAACCTCCTGTCTCCCCATCACTGTTCCTCTAACACAGTTGTTACAATTATGTGTGCTTTATATATATATATATATATACAAACTACACGTCTTGCCAAACCACAAACAGAGTAATTAGTGCAAATCAGGTGGTGCTGATACTAGTGACAGGAACTTATATGAAGAACAATATATGATCAAAACATAATCCAACAGCGTCAGCATTATGTTTCTCTTCATATTCCTTTTACAGACTCTTCACACATGTATGTGTATATAATATTATGCTCATATTTTTTACGTGTGCCAAATACAGTTAATTTGAAAAAAAAATAAAAGACTACAAATTTGCTGAGACACGACAGCATATATTATTATTATTTATAATGTCATGTGTTACTTAATTGTTGAAGTTCTATTAAAAAGTGGCTTGAAAATATAAATACATTAAATTTTGTCAAAAATGAATTATTGAAAAAAAGAAAAAAAAACGAAAAATTTAAAGCATTGACACAAAAATGGAGAAATAAATAATAAAAAAAAAAAAAAAAAAAAAATGTCTTTATGAATGCGGTAGGTAGTTTATGAATATGAAGAAATTTCAGAAATTTCGGGCTCGGAAATTCCAAAAAATTAAAAAGCCAAATGTTCAAATAGATAAATTTCATACTTCCAAAACATCAGAACGTCAAACTGCAATGTGTCAAACTGCAAAACTTCAAAAATGTCATGTTAGAGAATCTATTCACATTCTGCATTTTACCTTCAGTCGAACGTTCTCTCTCTGCCATACATATATGCTGATCTAGGGAGGGAGAGCTCTTTGGAGAAAAGATACCGCCCCCCACATTCCTTCTTCCTCAAAAGAGTGCGCGCAATATGTTAATGAGTATATCATCGTAGCAATTAATAATTAATGATGAATAGCAAATTAAAAATTAGGACTTAGAAATTGAGAGTTATGAATTACAAATTTTAGATGTAACGAATTAGGAATTACAAATTTCAGGTGTCACAAATTGAGTCTTACAAATTTCAGGTGTCACAAATTGGGTCTTACAAATTGGGTGTCACGAAATGGGTGTTACAAATTATGAATTACGAATGATTTGTAAATGCACAACGTAGGGAAGACATCTATGAATAGACACAAACTTGTTATGGTTGTGAAAAAGTGGCAACAGGAAAAAAAAAACCTCGCTCTTCACATTGAATATACAAGTAATACACGGAAGGAGTATTCTCTTGTCTTGGTCTGCGCTTTTTTATTTATTTTTTTTATAATTTTACCTTGCTTTATTTTGTCACATCTTGCTTTATTTTGTCACATCATGCTTTATTTTGTCACATCATGCTTTATTTTGTCATAACCTGCTTTATTTTTTTTTTATTTTTTCCCTTTAGATTCCCCAACAAAAGAAACCACCAAAAGTTTTTGTTAACCCACAAGCAGTAAAGTAATATTAACATAAAAATTTCAAATTTGCCTTATTCAAATAAGGGAAAATGCATTCATAAATTGAGACACATTGCGTGTATATATATACATTACGCATAACGGGAATAATTTAAAAATTTGTTTTTCCACTCTACTTATCATATCACACTTTGTTTTTCACGTCACCACTTCACCACTTCTCACTGCACCGGCTGATTGTCATTGTTTGAATTGTACAAGTACAACAAATTTGACAGAATTTCCTCGTTGTCCTTTATCATTTTGAAGTTCTTCTCCTCCTTTTTGTTATAGGGTGAGTTGATTCTTCTTTTACGAGAATTTAGCAACCCGTTCTCAAGGCAAAAGTTTCTAAACGATTCGGCCTCAATTTTAGCTTGTGCTAGTCCTAACTTCTTAACACTAAATCCTTTCGTCTTAATTGAATTATTTATTATGTACTGAACTCTATATAATTTCTTTGCATGATCATAATAAATACCTTTCGGTAAGGATTGCTTTATCATATCTATGTCAATGTCTGTCCCTCCAGAAGCATTTGCTCCATAAGTGTTCTTCTTCTTACATGTGTAATTATTACCTTTTCCTTCTAAAAGCTTTCGTTCATTATCTGACAAAATTCCCATGGTGTTGTTATTATTTCCTGTGCCATTAATAATACTGCTATTATTACCACCTTTCGATTTTCCTTTTTTCTTTAAATGGGATGATGGAGAAGAAGTTCTGGAGCCATAATTAAATTTATCTAGATATTTCTGCTGTAACTTGTTGTTATTATCAAAATGTCTACTTCCATACCCATTCTCGTTAAAGTTATCATCATTGTAGTTATCATTGTTAAAGTTATCATCATTATAGTTAACATCATTATAATTAACATCATTATAATTAACATCATTATAATTAACATCATTATAGTTAACATCATTATAATTAACATCATTATAGTTAGCATTGTTAAAGTTTTCATCGTTGAAGTTTTCATCGTTAAAGTTGTCATCATCGTAGTAATAATAGTCATTATTGTTCATGAATGAATACCCAATGTTTCCCTTTTTCTTTTTTCTCGTATTGTAATCATTAGTTTCTTTTTCTGGACTCTGATATTCTATATACTTGGAATTATCATCTGCCACCACTTCATCCGATACTTTGTTATTATTGTTATTATACTCTTCTGTATTCTTATTGTTATTTTCATTTTGCTTCCTACTAAATAAGCTCAAATATTTCTGAAAAAATCCACCCTCAGACTGATTCTTATTATTACTGTCCTTTTCTCCCTTCCCATTGTTACTGCTAATGTTAATATTCTTAGTATTAGTGGTAATGCTGCTATCATTATTGCAATCCTCCCTCAGATTATTATAATCATCATTCTTTCTATCATCACTACATCCGTTTTCTCCATTGTTTATTTCGACATAATTAGCATACGTAGGATTGTTGCTGTTATTCTGTGAATGATTATGATTATTATTATTCGCAACATTGTTAAAATTCTCGTCGTACGTTAAGAATTCTTTATGACTCCTAGTGCCCACGATGCCACTAACGACCTGATCGACCCCATCAGCATCATCACTCTTCATCTGGCTTTGCTTCTTCTGCTTCTGTTCTCTTTGCTGCTGCTTTACCTTTTCTTCCTTCTCGTACTGAACCATGATAGCTCTCAAATAATTGTCATACTCATTCCTGTTTGGGATGCTACTAATATTCTGATTCCTTCCCTTAAAGTAAACCAATTCTCCTATATTTCCTCCAGTAATAACTTCCCCTCCCCCTTCAATTCCACTATTCGTATCAGCATTGCCAAAGTTATCGATATTATTGCCTCCTCTACCATCAACATTGTTAACTCTGTATGTGCACTCTTCTTTCTCTTTAGCAAAGTTTAAAAAATTCTGAATATCTTGAAAGAATATATCTGGGCAATTATTCCTAAGTGACAATTCTTCATTCTTCCCAACTCCATTGCTTATCCCCTTGTTCTTCGTCAACATGTCGATACTACTACTACTACCATCGTATTCCTTCATTCTGCTTGGAACAGTTTCATTTCTCTCATAGTTCTTATTCAAGGAGTATTCACGCATATTCCCAGTAGGTGCAATGGTAGCTCCTCCCTTTCCAGATGTTGCTAAATATTCATTATTTTCACTCGCATGCTTAACAAAGTTAGATATACTTTCGCAAATATTGTTGCTATTTAATAAAAAATTGTTTTTATCTGCTATATCATTCAAAAAGATTGACTTTCTTCCTGCAGCGTTTCTCGAATTTACGACATTCACCAATTTCATATTTTTCTTTTTTTCTCCTTTTACGTACTTTCTCGTAGTTCCGTCCAATGCCTTGTTGTTCTCATGGTATTTTCTCCCCTTCTTCCGACCATTACTATTGTTACTATTGTTACTATTATTACTATTGTTGCTATTATTGCTATTATTACTATTATTGCTCCTATGATTATTATCATTGTCATTATTCCGGTTATCGTCATGGTAGGGTGGGTTAATTTCCATCTCACTCTGATTCAATAACTCTTTTTTAACAGCATTCGGCATGTTGTGTATTTCTCCTCCTGTGCCTTCATCAATCTTGTTCTGGTTAACGAGATTGTTCACATCTCCGTTGTTTGTCATTCCCCCCTCCTCCCAGGCCGCTGCTGATCCTCCATTTTCTATCTTAAATCCGTTAATATTCGTCTCCAACAAATATTCTTCACCCCTCTCTTCATTATAATTCATCATCTTCAGTAGTTTCTGTATTCCGTTCACTGTCAAATTGTTAATATTACAACCAAGAACACTATTGCTCTTTTCAGGACTACTTCCGTTTACAGTATCATACTCATTAGTGATAGCTCCTAGTTCCTTTCCTTCTATGAAAAAATTATTCGTGTTTCCATTATGCACATCCTTCATAAAATCTTTATTAAATGCATTTCGAAGAGCTTCTAAATTTTCCATATTTTCCAAATTTTGTGTTAAATTATCACCCTTGTAGTGCTTCTTCAAATCGAAATTCATTTCTGCCTTAAAACTTTCGTCATTATTCGGGCTACTTTTCATTCGTTTATTTCTCCTTGTTAATATAACTTCTTCATTTTCTTCGTTTTCTTCATTTACCGCTTGTTCCTCTTCGACCTCTTTCATATCAGTATTATCCATTCTTCCTTTTTCAAAAAAAAAGCTATTCCCTATCATATCATTCATATCATTGTTGTTCATATCCCCCTTTTCATTACTGTTCTGAATTTCCCTATTCTTCGTAACAAACTCTTGCAATATAGAAATGTCAATTTCATTATCTTTATTATTATTTTGTACGTTCATTGTGCTGGAGGCTGTGTTGTTTCTTGTCGTGTACCTATTAACGCTAACACCACCACCTCCAATCACGCCGTAGTAGTTATCACTTGAATCCTTACTGGATCCATCCATGAAGCCTTTTCCATTTCGACCTGTACTAGTTTTCTCCTTCAATCTGTTCAAATTTAAAGAACTTGTTTTCAACTCCTTATGTGGGGGGGATGATGATACATAATTGTTTGCACTAGTGTTGTTATTATTTGTACTACTAGCATATTTCTTATTATTAAAATAGGATGAATTCACATATACAGGATTTAACCATTCATTTTTGACAGGTATATTTCCTACATCACATCTGTAAAGAATACACTGTTTTCGAGCCTCTTCTAGAGTATTGTAATGTATCAAACTAAATCCCTTTGTTTTAAATTTTCCATTTTCTTTCCACTGACATCTCCACAATTTTCGAGCAGAATCGAAATACACACCTGTTGGCAGAGGACCCATAGGTATCAATGAATCCTCATTCAGATCATTATTCATGGAATTATTATTATTGTTATTATTACTATTATTTATGTCACTTTTGTTGCTATTACACAAATTGCTAAAATTTTTCACACTGGACAGATTATTACTCTTTGTTCTCTTGTTGCCATACTTCCTTTTCTTTATTAAAGATATATCATTATCACTCGTGTTTTTTTTGTCATCGCCATCTCCAAAATTATCATAATATTTACTTCCCCTTCCGAAAGTAGTATTCGAAACGCTTCTCTTCTCACCAATGTTATGAAATTTATTTTTTCCACTTAACAAATTTCTGTCATTCATAAAATAATCGTAATATTCATTTGGTTTAATTTCTCTTCTACTTCTTTCAAAACCGAATACTTTATTCTCCGAGTTGTTAGATGCCGCCAGGTAACCGTTTTCAAAACCACTTCCAGCAACATCACCAATAATCTCATTCGTCGTGCAATAATAATCATTATTTCCATTAAAATGATAATTCATGTCATAGTTCCTAAAACCAATATTTTCCATATTATTCAATCCATCCTCTCCTTCACCAATATTTAATAGTGCATTATTATATCCATGAGATCCTAATCGTTCCCCAATTTCATTCATTCCAAAATAGACATCTCTTCTATTACTTTTCACCTTATCATAATTAGGAACACTCGAATATTTTATGTTTCCATTTGTTAGCAATACATTCGCTGATGTGCCAATCAATCCCTCCTCATCTCCGCCTATAATTAAATGATCTACATAAAAATCTTTATCTATTCCTCCATTATTTCCAATATGAACATTCATATTTATATTACCATTTTGTAATGCATTACATGGATCTAGCGATAAAAAACGATCACTTTTATATATATGACCTCCTACACCTCCAGAAGCAAAATTAAAAACTCCTCCGATCAGTTGACCATCAGCATCTTGTATCATTAATCCACCTTTTCTATTATCTCCTAAATTGTTCACATTCATCAAACAATCACTAAAAGTTACATATTTCAAAAATGTTTCATTTTGGTATTGAAAATTATCATCCGTGTGCAAAAACATAAAAGTATGAATTTCATGGGGAAACAAGGTGTATAGTATTTCTGATTCATGCATATTTCTTGGGAATATTGTATTGTTTAATAGAATAAATTTTTTATATATAATATCATGAACCATTGAAATGTACTTTATTTTTATCTTATTCTTTTTCTGACAAAAATAGTTTAGTAGATTATTATTATACGTTTTTTCTAACAATTTATTGTAGATATATTTTTCACTGTTTTCATGGGCTCTTCTGGATTTTTTACTACTACTAAATAATCTTATTTTTCTTTCCCCTTTTCTGAACCCTGCATGGATATCTGAAACATCACCACTTTTCATCCCTCTCAACTTTAAAGAACGTACCAAGCCCTTCTTCTCTTTCGTGCTGCTACAACTACTACCACTATCATGTATAGTCGCATGTTCATACAAGTTGTAAAAAAACCACCAATATGGTTCTATCAACCCATTTTTATTCATTAATTTGTATAATAATCTATTGCTCCTTTTATTATTACTTCTTAGTTTTATTTTTGGTACGTAATCCTCTGATGAGCAATTGTCTGTAGATTGTGCATTACTACTACGCAAGTGATATTTATGCTTTGCAGTTAAATGGGAGGTTCCACTAAAATCACTCACATTTGAGTAGTAGTGCTCCTTCTTCTGATTATTTATATTTCCCAATTTGTTATCTCCGGAAGAGCTGTAATATTTTATGCTGAAGGGTTCATCATCATCGCATGTTCTTCCTCCAACTTCATTGCTACCCCCTTCGGATCTACCTTTTGATAAACCAAACTTTTTTCTTTTCTGCCGAGTTCTTCTCAACGATAGTGATGTATTATCTAAGTTATAACTAACTTTCTTTTTATTCCTTAATTTATTTTGTAAATATATCTCATTTTCGTAGTTTTCTTTCTTGATGAACAAATCATTGTACTTATCAAAGACTTGCCGTGTGTTATTCACATCACTATCTGATGTCACTTTTGCCTTTGTTTCCTCCTGATTGTTATGGCCGTTCCTTTTTCCTTCATCCTCCTCATTGTCAACGATGCTTGTGTAAGCATTTGTGCTTTTTCTTCTTGCAAAATCGTCCTTTTCCTCCTCGGATTTCATCATCATGTTATCTTCATTGCTGTTGCGTTCGCTGTTATTTGCATCATGAAGAATATCGTACTGCAATTCCTCATGGATGCCATTATTTCTGCCTCCAAAAAACCCTGTACATGCTCCTTTGTAGAAGTTATTATATCCTCCATTGGAGTAATGGACATTCGAATCGTTTACATAAATAGGGCTGTACGAATTCTCCTTCTTCTGCTCGAACACAATGTTATCAAGAGCACTACCATCCTGCACAAGTAACTTCTCTATCCCTTTAGATTTGTTTTCATTTTCGGGAGCCATGCAATTATCATATAAACTTATTGGTTCCGAAAATTTCTTCATTCGATACATGGCTTTGTCAAGATCTAAAGTAATAACTTTGTTGTTAAATATCCCAATGTACATACTAACCCGCAGCAACACTAATTTAAACAAATTGTAGATACATTTCTCCGTAAATAAACTTGCTTGATAATATTCATGCAAAACACACAATACATTATCAATAGTTTTATTTTCATAATCAACTAAATATTTAAAATTTTTCTCATTCGAATTTTTTTGTAATGTCAAGGAGTAATTATACTTCACATTATTTTTATTTTCCCGAGCTTTTGACTTACCTTCAGTGATTTTACACACATAATATTCATAAGCAAAAAGATCTGGTACCCATCTTATACCTATCATATATCTATTTATACATTTTATACTACTTTGTAATAAATATTGTACATACCCTTCGGCTATTTTGTGGTTCTTCTTTACATAGTTTTCAAAATTGGTAAATTTGATAAACACAAATTTGTTTAATTCATATATGTAATCCGGAATATCATCTATCATTTGATCTTCTGTATAACTATTATTAACTATAATTACATCATTTTTAAAAAATTTCTTATTCATATATGTATTTTCAAAACAGTCATATATATACGAATTTATATATACATTATTACGTATAAAACTGATAATTTTTCTCTTATACTTAATGGATATTCTTTTATTCTTTTTTTCATTAATTTCATTATCTCCTTTTTCACCTGCTATTTCTATAGTGTTATATATATTTTCTTTCTTTTCCATAATATTGAAATTAGTTGCTACGCCTATATTTTGCGATATTCCTAAATTGTTACTCTCTTTTCCTTTACATATATCAGCGTTATATGTATCAAACGTCATTGTATACCTTTCCGATTTTTCTTCCTTCACTGCCTGTTCCTGTATTGCGCAACCTGAATGTAACAGATAATCGTTATGTTCTAATTTTAATATTTCTAATTCATTGTGGTTGTCGTTGCAGTTTACATTGATATCAGCATTTTTTATCACAAAGTTTTTACTTTCACTATCATCTTTCCTTTCATTTTTAAGGTTTATTTCACCATTCGAATTGTCGCCTTCGCAAAGCGCTGTTTCCTTTAGTTCATTCTGTCCACTGTTTTCATTTGTTGTTCGCGCATTCAAATGTATATTCCTATTTGACGAATCATTGTTTTTGTATGCACTTGAACAAGTGTTGTTTGTTTCACTTTTTGTGCGATTGGTTTGGTGCGTATTAATGCCGTTTCCACTTTTTCCGTTTAGCATAAAATGCATCGTATTCATACTTCCGCATTGTTCCATATTCCCAAAAGAATCATTATCCACGTATTCATATTCACTCTGCATATCCTCTTCATTCTCAAAAATAAATATTTTCGATTTTACACAAGTATTGTATTTTATTTTTACCAAAATTACTATCCTATTTCTTAATAAGTCATTGCAATTTAGGGGATTCTTTTTCATGTCATCCATTTTTTGTAAGTAATAAATTTTTATATTACTTAAAAATTTTATATACTTTTCAGTATCGGTATTAAAAACAACATTATCTAAATCTATGTTTAAATATTCATATGTACACAATTTTTCATCATACACATTTTCTGAACTGTCACTATCGTAGCTTAGGGAATTTATATCTATGTTTTGGAGATCGCTAACAGAATCATATTCAAAATTTTCGTTAATTAATATTTCATTGTCAAATGGTAATTTACTATGGGAAGCTTTGTAAATTTTCCCTTCGTCATTTAGGCGTTCATTATTTGTGGGTTCGTCAGACTTACTTATCGAACAATATGAGTTATTGTCTTCGTTCTTGTCGCTACTGCACCTATTATTATTGCTTTCCCCCTTACCCCTTCCGTTTATGTTATTATTGAAGATGCTGTTTTCGCTGTTATAATTGTCGTTGTCTTCACTGTTATGGCTGCTGCAACCATTATTATTATTATTATTATTATCATCGTAGCCCTCATGCTGATTTGTATTGAAATTTAAATAGTTGTCACGATTGCTTTCACAGTTTGTTTTGTTGTTATAATATGTGTTCTTTTTTGAGTCATATATTTTGTTACTTTCATGCTGGATACCGTTATTGCTTCTGGTGTGAAAATCGTCATTACTTCTACTGAGTGATTCGTCATTACTTCTGCTAGGTGATTCGTCATTACTTCTGCTGGGTGATTCGTCATTACTTCTGCTAGGTGATTCGTCATTACTTCTGCTAGGTGATTCGTCATTACTTCTGCTAGGTGATTCGTCATTACTTCTGCTAGGTGATTCGTCATTACTTCTGCTGCGAGAATCATCATTACTTCTACTGTGATATTCTTCTATTCCATTGTTTGCTTCCCCTTTTATTTCTACCCTTCCGTCAGCGTCCTTTGTTTTTTTCATTTTTTTTTTTTTCTTTTTCAAAGTTTTCCTCAAAATTTGAATGTATTTTTCTGCAATAAATTTGGCTAGATTGAACGAGATGTGCTTATTCACTGGCACTTTTTTTATTATATTTGCTTTTTTTGTATTTCTGTTGTACTTCAATATGAGAAAATGTGGAGGAGGCCCCTCGAACCGCAGAATATAGGAGTACGGATTTGGGGAGTTATTGCTATTACTTATGCTACCATTAATGCTATTACTGGGATAATTACACTTGCTACGATTTTTATTGCCATTTGGATTTCGATGCGCAATACTTTTAGTAGCATTATTTATGGACCTATTGTCACAACTAACGTTATTGTTAGTGTTATTATAACTAATTGACAAGGGGATACGATGCTCTGTAAAATTATCACTTAATGGGCGTAGATCTTCATTTATGTTTTTGTCCGAAAAGAAGAAACGGTTACTATAAAAATTTGGCTCAAACGGAATTTTATATTTTTTGATACTTTTTTTACTACATTTATTATCAACATTAGTAATCTTTATCTTTTTTAAAAATACATTGTCATAAGAATTTGTTCGGAAAAAAAGATTATTATTGCTGCACTTCTTAGATTTTAATTGACATGGTTTTTCATCCGTTATGTTATTATTATAGTAATGCTTATATTCAGTTTCGTAATTACAATTCATAAAATTAAGGGATATTCGTTTATAATAATGTATGTGCATGTCATCTTGGCTTTTCTTATCACACTCATATATATCCCCATAATTATTAAAAAAATAGTGGTTATATGTGTTCAACAAAATGTCCTTCCGATCCTGTTCGAAGGACGCCTTAAGTTCCTCCGGGTTAAAATTTTTTAGTTTGGAACCCATAGTCAAGTTAAATTTCGAGTTCATAATATCCTCCTTTTTCTCCCTTACACAAATAGGACTATTCATATCAATGGCCATATCGGTAGATATATCGGTGGTTGTGCCGGAGTTCACATTTCCATTCATATTATCGCTTAAATTGGCAACAAAATTACCATTTACACTCGAGCTTGTATTCATATTCTCGCTTCCACTTAAATTTATCTCAATATGTGCGCATTCTATGCTTCCCCTATTCATGTTCATGTCACTGTTAATGCAATTCTCAATTTTTATATTTAAATCGTCAGGTAAGTTTTCATATATGTTACTGTTATTAACTGTACTTTTAACATTATTCGTTTCTACATTAATATTTATTTCATCTTTATAACATTGTATTGTGCCTTCTTTGGAGTGTTCTAAATTAATTTCGTTTTTTCTATTTTGTATGTGTACACATGGTAACATACTACACTTGAGACTACAACTTGCCATTTTTTTAATTTGATAACGTCAATATTTTATTAGTTCATATATATATATATATATATATAAATTTATATATTTTTTAACGATACCATTATATTAATCTGATATATATTTTTCTTCTACCTTTCTCCAGGAGCCCAATATGTATATTTTATCCATTAAAAGGTATGCATAAATACGTACACACATATATATAGGAATAGATATATAAATATAGAAAAAATAATTTAGAAAAAAAAAATGAGACTTTTCAAAAATAAAATTTGTATGAGTAATAACGTTTATTTAACACTTTATTGTTGTTTTCTTGACACTTTAAAAATAATGTGTATAATTAACAAAATAATCTAATTAAATTGTTAACAGTCCTATGCACAAAGATGAAGCACACATGAATGAACACTAATGTGCCTGCGTAAGTACATATATGTATATATATATGTGTATAAGCAAGCTCACTCAAACTTAAATGCAGAAGTACATACATGCACATGCACACGTATATAATCCATGTAACAGATCTACAAGCTTAACGTAACAACTGATATGAGAACAAACAGAACACTTTTAATTATTGTATATATTAAAAAAAAAAAAAAAAAAAAAAAAAGGGTTTAACGTGTTTAAAAACCATTTAAAGCCTTAATAAAATAAAAATATCAAATAAAATACGTAAATAATAAATAAAATAAATAGGCATAGGAATTTATATTTTAAGTTAATTAATAATGATGCAGAATAAATCTTTTAAAAATATGTTTATATAAGGCACGTGTATAATAAATAATGAAAATCTTAACACATACAAACATCAGCAATGGGTACAACAAACATATTATTAAAGAATTTATGCTAAGGAAGATATTCAAAGGGTCAAAAATGATCGTTACTCAAAGTATGTTATAACATATGCTTGTATATATATGCATACATACATCACACACATAAGTACACATGTATACATACGTGGATGTATCTATTTGTAGGCATACACATGCAAATTTTATGATGTTGCAATGCGCACCTTTAAATAGGTAATTTGGAAAATTGTTATTACGGAAAATGAACAAACAAGCAAAAATTTATATAAGTGTATATAGTTGTTAATTTAATTTTTCACATAATTAAATAAACAAAATGTTTCACTAGTTTTTTTTTTTTTTTTTTTTTCTCTTTTTTGGAAAAGAAAAGATTACCTTATACATATTAATGTTATGATATGTATATGACGTAATCCTTTTTAAAAACAAAATTTCATTGGAATATAAAATATATAGAAACACATAAAATGTATTGTAATACATGTATGTGCAAATATTCCAAAAAAAAAAAAAAAAATACTATATGTATACACTTCAACATACGAACACGTTAAAAAAATTCAAATTATATGCAAAACATATATATATGTGTATACATCTTTGCATATGTATAAATTTTGGCTAAGTAAAAAAAAAAAAAAAAAAAAATGGGTAGCTAACTGTTTTTTCCTAATTTATTAGCCATAAAAAATAGTGAATGGGTATGCAAAATAAAAGAAAAAAAAAGCCAAAAAAAAAAAAAAAAAAAAAAAAAAAAAAAAAAAAAAAAAAAAAAAAGTTATGAACAATCAATGTTGTTTATATATGCATTTGTGTATATGTGACACAGTTGGTATACGCATATTACGCACAAAATGCGCGGAGAGAGATGAGAAGAAAAAAAAAAAAAAAATTTACAGAATTAACAAAAAAACTAAAATGTTTAAAAATTAAAACCTCCTTTTATTTTCTTGTGTTTTTTTTTTTTTTTTTTTTCCCTCTTTTTCCTTTTATACATATTCATATACATTTATATATACTTGCCAAAATTGTATTGATTTTTTCAAAAAAATTCTACATTATGTGTTAAGCATGTATGCTGTCCTCAAAATAGGGGAAAATGTGCTCTCCCATATGTAACAAGCCAATTTTGTTCAATTTACGTTCAATGCTTTGTTACAAAAAAAAAAAAAAAAAAAAAAAAATAAATAAATAATAAATAATCTCTCATGTAAAAAAATAAATGATAAGCCTTGCATATTAAAAATGAACAATTTTGCGTGTAAAAAATAAACAACTTCGTAATTAAAAAAATAAAAAAATTATTATACATATGAAACAATTATTAATATATATATATTATGAAACAAAGAAAGGAAATAGGAAAAAACAACAACAACAAAAAAAAAAAAAAAAAAAAAAAAAAAAAAAAAAAAAAAAAAAAAAAAAAAAAAAAAAAAAAAAAAAAAAAAAAAAAAAAAAAAAAAAAAAAAAAAAAAAAAAAAAAAAAAAAAAAAAAAAAAAAAAAAAAAAAAAAAAAAAAAAAAAAAAAAAAAAAAAAGAACCAGCATGCACTGTTCATATAAATTTACTCATACGACCATGTACGTTTTTTCTATTTTTTTCCTTTCTCTTGTATATATCTACATATGTGCACATTTTTTATTTATAGATTCATTTGTACACATGTGTTATTTGTAGGTGCATAAAGGCTCGTATATAAATGTATGTGCATGCGATTAATTACCACATTGAACAAAAGTAAATATATATGTACATGGCTAGTGGTATATTACATACAAATACATAATATTAAATATAAACATGTGCATTTGTGCAAAAAAAAAAAAAAAAAAAAAAAAAAAAAAAAAAAAAAGCCGTACACAATATGTATATATAAAAAAGTTACTACTGTTTTTTAAAATAAAAAATTTGTTGTAAAGTTAAAGAGAAAAAAACATGCATAAAATAAACATCACATTCTACACGATTTTCTATATATTTCTTTTGTTGTGTACTTTTAAAAATTAAAATATATATATATATATATATATTAACATTATGGTGATGAAATTTAAGCACGGTGCAAAATTTAAACGGTTTTTCATTAAGCACAAACTATTGTAAAACGTACAATTTTTAATTTCATAAAAAGGAATTCATCGAAGTTTTAATTTATAATTACGTACCATAACTAATTAAAATAGAACAATCTCGAAAAGGTGTACTCTTTTAAATACATATGATAGAAGAAGCACATGAAAAGTTCACATATATATTAAACTACGGGGTAGGGGACGTACTCTTATAGAGATAACAATTACGCTTTTTCACTCATACAAATGTAATTTTTGAAGAACTCAACGAACATGCTTATATTACAAAAGATGTTATATAATGAAACGCGTTTTAATTTGATTTACTTCAAGGAAATTTTCATTAAAAAAAAAAAAAGACGAACAAAATTGTAACAATAAGGTACCATGTATGCATGAATATATATATATATATATGTATATATATATACGGAGGCATAAATAGGTGTATATATCAATGATGATTAATTCTAACATGCGACTCTCATATTTAAGTATATGGGAAAATGATAAAAGCAAAATTAATTTACAGTGAAACGAACTATATCCATGTACATAAACTTTATGTTTTATTATGTAAAATAAAATGTGTACGCATACGCTCATACAAGTATAAATAAAAAAGCACGCATGTACACGTACATATAAGTAATGGCCATAGGCTCAAAATAATTTAGTTAAAATTTCAAAATAATAGAGCGAACTTAATTTTGCTTGGTTCGCGAAAATGCGAACAAATATTTACGCACATGTACGTTCAGCACAAAAACAAAAGTGTATTATAAAACTCTTTTTAAAAACTTCTGGTGTAAAAAAAAAAAAAAAATGTATAAATGTGCATGTGCTTAACTATGTGGATGATTATGCTACAAACATGGATATTAAGTGCCACGATTTTTCTGTCGTAAAATATACATGTAATCTGCTTAATTTTTTATTGCATAGACGTTAATGTAGAAATTCGAAAATGTATACACTTAAACGTGTGCTTGCTTGCACATGCATGTAAATGCATAAACGTACAATAACACACGCGTTAAAAGTATACACGTATATACATCTGCGGTATTCATGTAGGGAATGCAAAACATGCTTAAATAAGTTTTAATTCATGAAATAATTTATACTGGTGAACATAAAAAAGGCTAATGATAAAAAAAAAAAAAAAAATTGAGAGACTGCGCATAAAATTCTGCTACGAAATTTTATTGGCAACATCTTTTATGTGATATTATATTTGGAATACATTGTGTATATAGTAACACATATATGCGCGCACATATACAACGTTCGCATAAAAAATATAAAGATAAATATTTAAGCTGTAACAAGCCCTAAATTCTTACGTATATACACATACGTAAGTTTTATATAATATTTTTCTCAAGTGTGTGAATTAAAAAAAATTATGTGAAGCACACAAAAGCGGAAAAATACAATTACAACGTTTTTTTAATCGATGTTGTATATGAGTGCACGTATATATATGTATGCAAATATATCTCTATTTATGTATATATATTCATATACATATATTCATCAATGTTAAGGTATTATATTATAGGTGTGGGGGGTGCGTAAAAAAATTAATTTGTGAAAAAAATGTAACTTCAACGTATATAATAAAAATACTTAATTTTAGGGAAAAAGTGTAAAAGGTAAACAGGAATTCGCCATTATGAATTTGGTAAAATGTGTTATATGTGCATTGATAAAGTTAATTACGTATGGTTATATACACTCGTATATATTTACGCACAAATGCGAGGACGTACACAAATATATATGCAAAATAAATATACATGTATAAATGTATACATTTATGTAGTATTTACACAAGTCATTGTTGTATAAATATATATATACACAAACTTATGAACTTAATTTTCTATAAGGTCAGGGTTTGGATTCACAAAAAAAAAAAAAAAAAAAAAAACAGCAAAATATTCTTACAACTTTTTTCCCTCTTCGATTCAATATTTTTTTTTTTTGGTGAAATAATGAACAAACAAAAAAAAAAAATTGTAAATATGATGTATATTGTGGGTTAAAATTATATTTTCTTCACCAAAACAGATGCAAAAAGCTTAATTGTAAGGTTTCATAATTTTTATTTTGTGAATTATATATATACGTATACATATATATGTATTTGTGGCTAAACCTGTTTTTTTTTTTTTTTTTTTTTTTCTTTTTTTTACCGCTATAGGGTTATATTTTTACTCACTTTAACGCCTTTTTTTCTTTTTTTTTCATTTTTCTTTTCATTGTTTTTCAAACATTTTCATTTTATAACAAATTTGCTTTATTTAATTAAAAAGTCCCTTTAATAAGTTCATTTAATTGTTTCACATAACTTTTTTTTTTTTTTTTCTGTGTTAACTTTTTTCTTGCACGTGTTGCTTGGGTTTATTGCAACTTTTTTTTTTTTCTTCCACATCTAATATATATTTTTATCTAAGTACACGAAAGCACTTGTGCTTATATACAAGTTCCTTTTTATTTTTATTTCAACCTCCTCTCCTTTTTTGTTCTTTTTTGTTTTTTTTTTGTTCTTTTTTGTTCGTTTTTGTTCTTTTTTGTTCTTTTTTGTTTTTTTTTTGTTCTTTTTTGTTTTTTTTTGTTCTTTTTTGTTCTATTTCCTCTTTTTTTTTCATTTATTCAAATAACACGTAAAAATTTTCCACTTTTTTTTTTTTTTTTATCTGTAACACATGCCACTGCGCTTGGGCATTTCAACCTCATTTTTAATATTGTTTTATCATGTTGCTCTTTTCAATACATTTTAAAGGGTAAGGAAAAGCGTGTACATATATATATGTGCAGATTTTAATATGTACATACCATTATGAACCTAAAATTTTGCACCCTTTTCGGTGTGTTATTACTGCAGCGACGTTCGAACTATATGACGACAGCTTTAAAAATAAGCGACCATGCCCTTTTTTTTTCTTTTTTTTTTTTTTCACCTTATCTATTGAGTATGGAGGAGCACAGTTCTATAAATTAAAAGGTTTGTGTACATACATATAAGAATATTAAATGGTATGTAATTTATACTATATATATTTTTTTTTTTCACGTAATAATGTGCTCATATAGGAGAGAAATATATATATATATATATAGTACAGCAAATGTACTAAACTTCTTTTCTTCTGACCAACCTGGAACACCCTTTTTTGTTTTATTTTATTTTTTTTTTTTTGCATAGTACTTAACATTTAACCCTTGCAACAATGTAATATTTTATCTTTTTTTACAAAACCTTCTTTTCACAAGTTCCTGTGAATTGTTTCTTTTTCATTTCTGTTTATTTCACCTTTTTCTTCTTACACAAAAGAGAACAAAAAGGAAAGAGGCTTATTCACACATATGTATATATATATATATATATGTACATATAAATGAGTACTTGCGTACGTACGAAAAATTTTTGCTAAGCGCATATTGTTCTTTTCAGCACAAATCGAAACTCTTAAAATTAGCGAAATGTCGTTTTAGTTAAGGTAATAAAAAAATTACATGCATATATATAAACATATACATATCGATATCACAGGGATTTACACTCCATCGTACGTATATATAAAAATGAATGAATAAAAAATCCATCTACGTTTTTTTTAGTATTAACTCCAAATATATAATATAGGAAGCTCCACGTACGTATATACGCATTCGCTTGTGTACACGTTTTTACAATAAGCCCTGGCAAATGTACGTCGTTCAAATTAGCCCTATAAAAGCCATAAAAAAAAAAAAAAAAAAAAATGTATATATAACATGAAATAACATAGCATAACATAAAAACGAACAAAGTTTATGTGAGTGTTTCTACCAAGAGTTGCATAATTTTTCTCACAGATTTACCCCACTGTTTGTTACACACTGGCAACCACACCGCTGATCCAATTACAGCACGATTTCATACAAATCGTTTTTAAAAAAGTTAAAAAATATAAAAAAAAATTCTTTCCCATTTATTTTGCAAAAGACTAAAGATTTACCTTTTTTGCAAAGGCCCAAAACATGCATGCTTATTTGAAGGCAGTCAATTTTTTTTTTGTCGTGAAAATTCACGTGGGGATGCACAATACATTTTACACATAACATATTTGTGTGCGCAAGTTCAAAATTGCAATAGTTCAGCTGAACGAAATTTGGATGTATAAAAAAATGTTTGGAGGTATTGGTACTGTATACTTATAGATCAGATGCACAACTTTAATCATATAAGCACAACCATTTATATATGAACACTTTTTTTCATTTTTTTTTGATTACATATTGATACGTAGACTGACAGACATATACATATACATCCCATTGTCAGATGGCATTTCTCTCATGTCAAACGTTTGAACCAACCGAAAGTGCTTGTGCATGGATGAGATATGTGCAAAAATTGCACATAGCTGACTGATCGTTCATAATATTATGATTTGAACATGTTATTTTTTCATCACTTATTGACAGAAAAATGTTTACAATACCCATTTCGTTAGCTATTTTATGTGCCTTGTTATATAAAATAACGTGCGGCTTCCCATACTTGTCATTTCTTATCTCTATGTCATTCATGCTTAACCCATATTTGGATATTGAACTTAAGCCTCGACCCATGCATTTAAGTATAGCTTCTTTGGCAGCGAATTTTTTGCTTACGTGGATAGCCAATTTTAGTGTATAATTTATGTTGCATTTTTCTGTAAGGGCTTCTCCAGAGTGTCCATGGGAGTAACATCGGTTACGTCGTTCTGAATAATCGCTTCTGTTCTCGTCTTTACTTTTTTCATCGGCCAATCCATAACTTTCCTGAGTATACACTTCTGTGCCAAAGATCCCCTGTTCAAACTCACGCATCTCGAGAGAACTCAAAACCTTTTTTAAGAAAAACGCTTCATTCTTTTTTTGAAGAATTTTATAAATTCTATTAACATTTAGGATATCTGTTCCAACTCCAATAACATAATGTGAATAAAACGTATGTGTGTAATGATGAAACTTCAAATACTTTTCTATCATTTCTTCTTCAATATCCATAAATTCATTATATTCTTTCATATTATTAACATGATCCTTGTTCGATAAATGTATTAACCCATGCAAAACATACAATGGTAACCTCTGGTTTACGCAGAAAAGAGTATTAAACAGTTTGTTAACTCCTCGAAGAGACATTTCTTCCTCATTTTTATGGTTGTAATCGTGGTCGTGATTTTCCAGCATGTTTCCATCACTACTCTCACCTCTTTCTCCTATAGCTTCATCATCTATCCTTTGATTATCCCTGTCACCACTCTCATCGTTGGCCTTGTCCATTATCTCACGCTCGTACCTAATCCTCGAGAGAATACACTCCTTGTTTATATACGCGGGACATAAGTAAATGTCTCCGGATCTTAAATATCTCCTACCAGATATGTCATCGTGTGCTGATTTACAATTTGAGGATATACCTTCATCACTAGACACATAGTGCAACAGAGAGATAACGTCGGTTGGTTCGTTTTTTCCTCTATGAATTCTATTAAGATTTTTCATATCTTTTAAACTGACAAATGTTATATTTAATTGAAAATCCTTATATTTCATTAGATGAATAAGCTTTCTTACTTCTTTTTCAAAATGTGGGAGGTTAATTGGAATTTCAGTTTGAGTATTAACAATTTCTAGAAGTGAATTCTGGTCGTAATTTTCTCTACTATATGTAGTATTACTCCTATGACCATCGTCTTCATAACAGTTGCTACCTAAAGCTCTTCTTATAACATTGTTGTTTATTCGGTTAATAATTTCTTCATAGTTTTCCTCTATCATATATATTTTACTTAGTTTTTTCATAAAATTTACATTTTTCCATCTTGGTTGTGCCTGTAAAGAATATATTTTCTGTATTACTTTTTTAGCACAATGGAAATTCTCAATATAAAATTTAAGGGGTCTTGTCATGGGGCCATTTTTACATACTACTTTAATCCTTCTTATCGATTGGACATTGAAAAGGCCATCATTGGAAAGAATGCTTCTAGGGTACTGACCAAAACGGGCATTGCGAATTGTAATATGATGAGCAGAACAATTCCGATCAGAATATGGGTAATCCAAATTTGTTCTACCACTGGAATTCCCCAAATGGTAATTATTTTTTTTTATCATTATCCCCACTGAATACACAACATTTGGAAATTTCTGTTTCTTCTGAAGAAGCAGCAAATATAAAAACACTACTTTTACTATTTTCGAACATATATTATTTATTATGTGGACATCTGAACATGGCATTATAATCTGGTGTGGTTTTAAGTTGGTTGCTGCAGCTTATTCAATATGCCTTGAGCCAAGCTCTAAGCGTAAAAATGGTGGGGAAAGAGGGTGCACTTCTGTCCCCCTATATGTTCATACATGTGCGTTCATGCGTGTGTATTCATGCGTGTACGTTCATGTATATATATATATATATATATATATATATATATATATATATATATATATATACATATATATGTACATGTGTATATGTGTTCTTTTGTTCCTCATGCAGATGTACAGGAATGCTTACATATATACCTCATAAACCCATGCACTCGCTTTCATGCATGTTCACGTTTGAAATATTTATACATCTCCGGGGCTAAACCTTTGCGTTCCCCACAAGAGGTGTAAATTAGTTTCGTGTTTTATCAAGTGTTCGTGTGGGGGATAACAGGAAAAATGAAGGACGTGTTTATGATATCATTTTGCATCATATACAAGGAAAAATGTATTTTTTTTTTTTTTTTTTTTTTTTTTTCTTTGGGCGTGCTTTTGGCCTTTTTTCCTTTTTTCTTTTTTTCTTTCTTTTTTTTTTGGGGGGGAGGGGAGTAGTTCATATTTTGGCGCTTCTTTCCCCTTTTGTGTGAAAATATGTGTCAAACAATTGCACAGTGGGGTGAGGTGGCATTACTATCTTGTCAGCATAACGGATGTCGCTTAAGTTTATCCATACCCAACCCCGTAAGCAACTACACGAAATGTCGTTATTGTGCTAAGTTTTTATATCAGCACGGTTACCCACATGCAATTTAACATAAATAATGGAACATTTATTCAAGTCGAAAGTACATTTTTTTTTTTTTTTTTTCTTCCACATAATTCACACACAAATGGAGAAAAAAAACAAAAACGTTGTTTTAGGATTAATCTCTGCACTAGTGGACTATATTACATTCCCTCAAATGTAGAATATGAAAAGTGATAAGATCGAAACGGGACATGTGTCACCATATATGTCACATATGGGGATCCACCTTTTAGAGGGCACAAAACATCTTCCCAAAAACATCTTCCCAAAAACATCTTCCCAAAAACATCTTCCCAAAAACACCTGCCCAAAAACATCTGCCCCAAAACACCTGCCCCAAAACACCTGCCCAAAAACACCTGCCCAAAAACATCTGCCCAAAAACACCTGCCCAAAAACATCTGCCCAAAAACACCTGCCCCAAAACACCTGCCCAAAAACACCTGCCCCAAAACACCTGCCCAAAAACACCTGCCCAAAAACATCTGCCCAAAAACATCTGCCCAAAAACATCTGCCCAAAAACATCTGCTCCAAAACGAGTTCACTGGATTAGCTACCTATTACATTTGACGCGTCACCCCATATTCATGCATGTATGTATGTGAACTTCCCACATGATATGGAACCTTGTCGTATAATCAATCAAGTGGATCTAAATCCAAATATTATTAACACAACATAATGATGCACAACTCCATTGGCGTCCCTATTTTTTTTTTTTTTATTTTCTCATATGGATATAACCGTTGATCTAAAAAAAGTGCATATGTGTTCTTCTTAATGAAAAACTCGTAGGTCAGGCAATATAGGATCCTAAGCGTTGTTCACATTGCATGATTTGTGTTATACGTATGAATTTTTTGAGAGAAAGGGAACTTGTATGTGTGCACCTGTGCATGAGCATACGTTGCGTGACTGTCTTAAAATTAAAAAGATAAAGTAAAAACGAGGAATGTATGAAACAAGGGCGGAGGAAGAACGAAAAAATGATGGAGGAAGGGTGGTGGAAGAACACAGAGGAAGGGCAAAGCAAGAGCGAAAAAGGAATAATAAGTGTCCATTTATATATACACACACACACTTCCGACAAGACAGAACAATCATCATATGCAATGAACCGAAATATGATTAACATAGGTGTTCACAAAACATATGATGGGTAACTTCCTAAATCTCGTTCTCCTCTGTCCTATATTTGCAAACCTGAGTTTTTAAATAACAGCTGTTCCTGAGACTACAGGCTTATATTCACACGTCCCATTTAAAAAAAAAAAAAAAAAAAAAAAAAATATAACTGTTCCCATCCCCATATGTTCATTAGTCTATACATTTGTCTGTGTATCCATCAGAAGATCAGGAAAACGTAGGAGGTATGTCACTGGCCCTTAAATCATACCACACATTATGAGTTAATCCTATTTAGCCGTGACCTTTATTCCTAAAAATCTTCATCACAACTTTTTGAATGGAACTCATAAGTGCACTTGTGTGCAAGACCTATGTAGATATAGTAAAATGCGACTATTATTATTTTATTTTATTTTTTACCTACTTTTGTATATCCAGTCTAGCAACTTTTTTTTTTTTTTTTTTTTTTTTTTTTTCTACCTTTGTATATCCAATGTAGTTTTTTTTTTTTTTTTTTTTTTTCTAGTACTTGGGACCATTCGTGAATATTCCTTATAAATATGAGAAATGCGATCCCTCTCCACTATGCATAATTTTATAGGCTATAAAATTGACAGAGCCATATGACAAGGCCAGATCTACATAGTTGACCTTAACAGAGGCGCGTGTAGGGAAGCTTGAACCAGAACGGTTGCCATTTGTAAGTGCATATTCGTGAGAACATAAATATGAGTCTAAACATCCGTCGAAACATCTGTCCAAATGCCTGTCGAAACATCTGTCCAAATGCCTGTCGAAACATCTGTCCAAATGCCTGTCGAAACATCCGTCGAAATGCCTGTCGAAACATCCGTCGAAATGCCTGTCGAAACATCCGTCGAAATATCTGTCGAAATATTATTTTACTTGTACTCTTACACTCCACAGACACCCACCCACCCCCCCTTTTGCTTCCCCCATTTGAAGAGTCACTCCGCGCAAAGATGAGTAAACGAAAAAAACTCCACCTTAAAAAAAATGACGAACTAGAAGAACAAGAAACGGATGTGCTCATCGTTGGTGCAGATACAGGGGGTCTTATCTTGTCACTAGACCTGGCACGTAAAAATATTCAACATATTGTGATAAATTCCTGTGAGTGGAAGAAAAATAAAATAAATGAGGCAGATATAAGTGCACAATATTTACTCTATCCCAGAACTTTGGAAATTTTACAGGACATGAATATCCTTTCAGAGGTTATACATAGAAGCTTAAAACTAACAGGCGTCAGTTTTTATGCAGGAAATAAATTAATAAACAAAACTGACAAAACATTTTTTCAAAATTTTAATGGCAGTATACCATATATGTTAAGTATAAGTAAAAATGCGTTCAACAGTATCCTGCGAAGGAAATTATTTTCTCTCAATTCCAGATCGATTCAGGATGCCACTATTTTATGGGGCATTGGCCAAAAATATACCTGTCATTGCAGAAGGAAAAATAAAGGGCATAAAAATAGTGGTATTATGTGGTTGCATCAGAATTTGGGGATATCACCTCACGGGGGTGGACAGCATTTCCACACATGCGTAAGTTCGAAGTATCAACAGAAGAGGAAACATGAAAAGGGGAAAAGAGAAAATGGGAAGAACTGGCAAAATTGGAAAAATGGACGAGATGTGAAAAAGCTGTACACGCTTCCCTCCCTCCTCAAGAAAAGACAAGGAAAAACAAGCCATAACTTTAATGGGGAAACAACGGAGAAAAAAAAAAAAAAAAGAATTACAAAGAGAAGCCAAAAGAGTTCATCACATAGTAGTAACACGGCAGAAGACAACAATTCGGACTATTTAAAAGAAGAATCAAACAATTCTTTCGATACAAATACATCTAAAAATACTTGGAGCCAAACAGGTTCCAATTTTTCTACTCCCACATATGGGAATCAAACTGGAAGTAGTGTCCAAGATAGCGATATCCTCAAATATTGCTACATGCACTCTATCAGCAAAACACACACTAAGGAAGAAAATAAGTCTATGCCAACTGTGCACGTTCATTTGCTGAGAGATACAAAAAGAAAAAATAACGAAATATGTAAGGGCACAAAAATGGGTACAAATGATAACAATGCTCATAGTGGGATACAAGACACTGATGAACCCAAAGTGTACAAAAAAATGTATAGAAAAGGAGAATTTTTTCTATGGGGAAGAAACAAGAATAATAGTGTAATGAAAAATAATATGGAAGACCCAAACAAATGCATTGAAAAGATATATGATACACACCTATGTGAAGACAAAAAAAAAGAAAAATCTATGCATCACTGTTCTATTAAAAGCAAATTTATAATAGGAGTTGATGGGAGAAAATCCTTAGTAAGAAAATTAGCAAACATAAAAATGGAAGAAAAAACAAACAACCATATTGAATGCATATCAGTTGATATATGTGCCAAATGGAATATCAACATGAGTCATTATCATTTAACATTAGTTCAATCAGAACATGGTTTTGTTACCTGTTTTCCCATACTCTTTGATATAACAAATATTCATGAACAAAATCTTTACTGTATTGATCATACATTTGCAAATCTCATTAAAGCAGCTAAGGAAAAATATATCTTCAAAAAGGAAGATTCACAGACTTCTAGTTCATCTAAAAATATATTTAATATGAGGATCATGTCTCATCCGTTTGGAGAAGCAAAAAATGACCACGATAATTTATCATCTCTAACAAGAGAGAGGAATAGTACTGCCCATCAACAAATGGACAATCATTTCTTCACATCTCAAAAGGAGGAGGAAAAACAGAAAAAAAATACTAATACAACACATGGAGAATTTTCCAGCAATTTGGAATCACATTCTGGGTTCCTCGAAAAAGGCATACAGAAAAGGGAGTCCCAAAGAGGTCCCATGACTGACGAACAAAATGAACCCAGAACAACTGCACATGTAGAAAAATCAGATGACACGATTAAACAAAACCAGAGAGAGGAAAGAAAAGACGTGCAAAATTCAATACAATACTCAAGTGAGCCATGCATTTGTGAAGATATACCAAAGTTAAATACATCTAATGGGGAAAAGATGGATGAGGCAGTTAGGAAGAAAATCGATTCTGATGAAGAATCCATTGGTAGCACACAAGGATGTATACCCAAGAAGGAATGGAAAAATAATCATGACGAACTTGGGTTGAAGCACCAATTGATAAAGACCATTTCAAACGGAATGACTCAAAATTCAGTTACATCAAAAGAATACTACATCGAAAAGAATCCCACTGAATGTTTCGAAAATGGAACACTCGAAGGGAATTCAGCTAGTCGCATTCATGTTGCTACACACTTGGTTGGAGCTAAAAGGGAGGAAGATCAAGTCACACATACTCTTAGGGATTATAGGCACCATTCCTCAGATGAGATAAAATGTAACGAGAAAAATCCACATGTAAAAGATAAATATCACACTACTATTTATGACTCGAAGGAGAGTAAGACAATGGGTAGAAATAGTGACGATGTCGTATGGGTGAAGAAAAAAAATGGAGATGTTTTTACGAATGGCGAAGGAAATAAAAATATAAACATGCAAGGTGAAAAAGGGACCTTTCCGCTGAACAATTCACACGACAGGGAAAGTGAAAAAGCTTGGAAAAATCCCCACGATGATGATTCCAACTTTCTCATAAGTGATGATGTACAAAGAAAGGAAAAGTACATTGAGAAGGACTACACGATTTACCAATCCAATGATACCGACAGCAATCACGAGGTGTACATTTTCTCCGATGCAGTAAGCAATAACTCCTGCACAGACATAAACAATACTTCTCCATTCATCACACGAAAGGGAGGATACAACTGGCACTTAACAATATGCAGGAAGGTAAACCAAAAAAAAAAAAAAAGTGAATATGCTTATGAAATGAAACAAACGCACAAACTTTGTTACGTAGAAGTAATAGAACTGATAGAAAAAATATTCCCCAATATAAAATTATTTTATATATACAATTTAAAAACTGCGATACACAGAGATAAAATATGTAAAAACTTTTATCACGATGGAGTAATTTTAGCAGGGGAATCAAACTGTTTTTACAATCCCATGTTTAATATAAGTATTAATTTAACAATACATGATGTGTATAACATTGGATGGAAATTGAAGTATTTAATTGATCATACTCCTTCATTTATGCTTCTAGAATCATATGAAAAGGAGAGACAATATATATGTAAAAAGGTTCTATCATGGAGCATAGACAAAATAAATTTTTTCTTTTTACCAAATAATGACTCGATTCATTATCTGGTTTCTTTCTTAAATTGTTGTTCCAAAACATTTAGAAATTTTTCCCCTACCTGTAATTTTTTGGATAACATTTATAGAAAAACGTTTATGTTGCAAAGTGATTATTACAAATTAGACATTATAAATAATTCTGATCAGCTTACAAAAAAACATTTCATATGTGCAGATCGGGCAAAAAATTGTGTTCTAAAATCTATCACCTTCAGTAGAGGAAATTATCAGGAAAGTAATACTACTGTATGTCTTTATGATTACTTGAAAGGCCATTTACATACATTAATTCTCTGTATAAACCTGCTCGACATTGCCAAATACTCTGCATGCAAATCGATGCTTCCACATGGGCATCCATTTATAACTCCTTTTCATTTAAAACGGATTAATAAAATGAAGGAATTTTCTAATCACCATGATAATCATATGCATGATGATGATGATGCGAATTCTATTGACAAACTTATGAAAATTGCTAGGTTGACATATCATACCATGGACAAAGGAAAACAAGGTCCTTCTCTTAAGATACTCTGGGTTGTATGCAACGATCAAAAAATTGACTTTAACTCAAAACATTCAATTGTTAGTGAAGGAACAGATATTACAGCAAATGGGAGTGAAAATGCGAACATACTTTCAGCAATCCTTTCCTTTATATGTCCTTATATTCCTAATAAGTTTTCCCAGATACAAAAAACATCCATGAGTCATAATGCACTTAACGAACTACTTACCAAAATAAAAGCATCTAACCTTGGAAAACAAATTATCCTCTACGATTTCTTAAACGATTTTCAGAGACAATTCAACATTAAACTGGGTACCCCAAATAGCTTCATCTACTCTTGCAACACTACACCAGCTATGTATATTTTTGTTAGACCCGACATGCATATAACACACATGAATTATGTTAGTGATGAGAGTAAAATTACGGCATTCTTCGATTATCTATACAAATTTTATGCCTAAGTTGGCAGAACTCACAAGGGCACCGTGTGGTTTTTTTCCCCCAATCCCTGCTCCTCCTCCTGTGTGCACACTGACACATGGTGCAGGGATAATATAGGAATGTCACTAGCAGTTCCATTCATTTGGTTTGCGCCCTTATTTATGGCCTTTTACAAACATTTACTGAGTTTAACTATATCTGATTAAACAAATGATATGACAAAACAAGGGGAAAAAAAAAATAAAAAAAGAACAAAACGGGTGAATAAGCAAAGAATCTACATACAACATATGGGGAACGCGTTTTATTCTATCCATAATGTTGTCACATGTGCATATAACACGCTGCAAAAGATAATATTTGCAATTTTGAAAAATTATGATTAAAAGTTTTCATTTTCATTTTCACTTTCGTCCTGGTCTTGTGTCTTCATTTTTTTTTTTTTTTTTTTTTTTTTTTTTTTTTCCTTCTCAACCTTTCCCCCCCCCCCCCTTTTTCCTTTTAACTTTACAAAATTTTTTATTTTTTCCCTCAATTTTTTTTTTTTTTTTGTTTTTTAATTTTTCTTTTTTTTTTCCTTTTTTTTTTTTTTCTTTTTTTTTTTTTTTTTTTTTTTTTTTTTTTTTCTCCTTCTCAACCTTTCCCCCCACCCCACTTCTTCCTTTTAACTATACAAAATTTTTAATTCTTTCCATCAATTTTTTTTTATTTTTCGTTTTTAAATTTTCCTTATACTTTTCCTTATTTTTTTTTTTCCTGTACATGTATTTTAATTTGCTCTTCACATACTCCTTCGTGTATTTTTTTAAGTGCGGCTTCCACGTTTCCGACAATTTTTTGGTGGACTCATCGGACATCTCTCCTTCGGAACTGCAGCTCGAGTACTCTGTCGATTCTCGTTCTTCGTGGTCACTCCCACTGTTACTCCTAAGACTGGTACTCTTCACACTGCTGCTCTTCAAGTGATTAATTTTCTCTTTCTCTTTTCCTGATTCTCCTCCTTCTCCAAAATTACTATCAATCTCATCGTTCTTCTTTCTTCCTCCAATATCGACGTTTTTCTTTCCTCCTCCAGTATCGTCGTTCTTCTTTCTTCCTCCAATATCGTCATTCTTCTTTCTCCCTCCAATATCGTCATTCTTCTTTCTCCCTCCAATATCGTCATTCTTCTTTCTCCCTCCAATATCGTCGTTTTTCTTTCTTCCTCCAATCTCATCGTTCTCCTTTCTCTCGCCAATCTCATCGTTCTCCTTTCTCTCGTCAATAATATCGCTCCTCTTTCTGTCTTCAATTTCAATGCCAGTGTCTTCCTCACTGCGAACAGATAGATCTCCACTGTTATCGTCCTCTTCACCCACATTCATCTTCTCCATATTCTGGCATTTTCCATTTGTAAGAACTTCTTCCTTGGCGCAGTTATTACTTCGTCCATCTTCTGTTCCCTCTTGTTCGTTCATATTTTCGTGCTGCTCAACCTCCATAAGTTCTGCATTTCCTCTACAATCCTCTTCACCTTTGTCCATTGCATCTAACTCGTCCAATCTTTTATCCAAATGGTCACTCAATTTTTCCCTCTCAGTGTTGCTTTCGTATGCATCTTTGTAATATCCTTCACATTCTGGAGATCCTTCTTCCTTCCATGTTTCCACGTTGGCAGGTTTCCCATCCGAGCTTACACTACTTGGTCTATGCCTTACACTCTGATAGATATCTTCACTATGATGAGATACTTCACTATGATGAGATACTTCACTATGATGAGATACTTCACTGTGGTGATTTTCTTCACTGCTAACACTTTTCCCAACACGTGTGGGAGACAAATAAGGCTCGCTGAATCTGGACGAGTCGTTCGAATTGAACTCCTCGGAGCAGCTAGAACCTGAGTTGGACCTATCATTCTGCAGGACGTCCATGAGAACATTGTCATCAGAATTCGAAATTAGATTTTCATCAAGAATTATTTTGTGATTATTTAACAAAATAATATCTTCATATAACGGGTAATCTTCAATTTTTATTTTGTATTTTCTATAAAAGTGACTAATAACACATTTCACATCTCGATCAAAATACATTTTTGCATTTTCATGCTGTAAAGAAACTATTTGAGGAAAATCGATAACTGTTATCTTTTCATCATCATCAATTAAAATATTAAATTCGTTAAAATCACCATGAATAATATTTGCTTTTGCAAATTTAATAATAGTATTTATTAACACATCTATAATTTTAAAGGGGTTACTAATACGTACATGTGATAAGGGATAACCATTTACATATGACATTAGAATCATATGTCTATTTAAATCCCATGGTTTAGGGACTGGGAAATTATTTTCATATAATGCTTTTAAATATGCATATTCCTTCGTTGCAGCTATTTTTGATAAATATAACCAATTTCGAAAATTCTTCTTTCCATAATAATCTCTATTATTTTTTATAGTTCTAAATGATATTCTACCCAGTCTATGGATTTTTAAACATAACAAATTTTCATTCGTATCTTTACAAATATATATGTCGGATTCTTTCCCTACTCCTATTTGATTCCCCACACTTTTTAATATTCCTCTATTTAAAAATGCTCTCAGGGCTAAGAAATCATAACCTAAATATGTTAATTTATATCCATCGTATTTTTTATTTTCATGACTTATCAATTTGTTTTTTAGCAATTTTTTTAGCACACTTGTTATACCTTCTTTTCTTAAATTC